TTTGGTTTTCAGTCAAGTTGCGTTTGGGTGGCTATTTCATTATTATACAAGAGGATCAAAATAAAAGTAGCAGTAGTTTGATAAAATACGCACGGACAATTAGTAGCGCGAGCTGACGATGCAAAGGGAGAGGGCCGTCTGATGCATAAGCGCTCGTTATGGTAAGAGATAGCTAAGTGTCTAAATGATATCAATTCGTGGCATTACAGATGTCTTTAGCGAGGACTACATACACTATTACTATGTAAAGTAGGTAAAAAATATTCCCCAACGGGGAGTCGAACCCCGGCCGTATCGGTGAAAGCGATAAATCCTAGCCGTTGGACCATTGAGGAGGAGATACTATCGACTCTACGCGTGTAGATATCAGCAGTATTTATACTTTTTCGGAAAAACCTCTTGCCATTCAGCCGCATTTTTAGCCGCTTAATCACCCCAACCATCTCAATCTTTCGCTTTTCCGAATGCCAGGTTCGCCGATCCCGCCGAATCTAAATCCTGCTCCACCGAGTTCTACCGGTGCAGCACAATCCATCGAGGCACCATCCTCCGATTGGACTTCCACTATGACCGCCTCTGGATCTGCCTCAGCTCCTGTCAATGCATCCACCTCCACCTCCAATAAGCGCCGCCGCGATTCAATGCAGCAAGACATTGCCGGCCGTGATTATTACAATAACTTGAAGCAATCAGAGTTGATTGATCTGGTAGTCAAGCTCCAAGAACAGAATCTGATTCTCACCCGTTTACTGGAACGATCCACCCTTACTACTGCTACCAATACTTCTGCTGCCTCAACCAATCGTTTGAATTTTACTCCAAATGTCAACTTCACACGTACCAAATCTGGATCTGCTGCATCTCGTTATGCCTCGGAAAAGGATTTCCCAACCTTGAATTCAGGTACCAAAAAGGGATCTGTCAATGCCAAATCTACTGCCAACTCTGCCACCACTACTGCCAACTCCAAGAAGAGCTCTGGTTCTAACAAGAAAACTTCCAAGAAGTCTTCTTCTAAAGCCAAAGTCCCCTCTGATGCTGCTGAAGCCAAGAAATGGGCTTTACGTCTATTTTCTACTCCTACTGCTGCTGACACAACTGATGGTGATGATATGCAAATGTCTTCCTCCTCTAATACTGCCACTTCAGCTCTGCCTCCTCCTGGTTATACTTGTGTCTACCTTCCTTGTAGCCACAAAACCAAGCATGCCGATCTTCGCACTCGTTTGGAGTTGCTCAAAATCAACCTCAAACCTGATTTCACTGCATACCTAATTAATGGAACTTTTGAGTAGATATAGTACTTGATATAGCAACTGATAATCACATCAATGCCTGCTATCAGTTGCCAGAACCTTCGAGTATATGCTGGCGCCATTTAGTCGCTTTCTTCAGACTTGACTTAATCCTAAATTTAGGCACGACAATTTAGCTAAAGGCTTAAATTTATTTAATCAAATCACTGATTCTTAGGATCACGTGATTCTTTTCAGCTTCTTTTAACCTCTGTGCGAATGCGCAGATGCGATCCAGTAAAATGTCATAGTAATCAAGAGTATGAAAGGCTCGCATAAATACTCTTCAGTAGATTTAAATCCTTTTTATTGTAAATATCTTCCTATTGTATTGATATTTGTTGTTCCTTACAGACTGTAGACATCCGTTCTACTGACATAATAACTAAACTATCTATTATTAGTAGTAGCTTTAGAATGTAATAGGTACATAAAAGTTATGACATTAAATTTATTAATTTGTTACTCGAATTATATGCTAAACATTTTTGATGTAATAATAGTGCCATGTAGTTCTACTTTCACTTCAACCCCTTCCTCACTTGTTTTATGTTTGTGTGTCCATTTATTTATATCTTCAGCTACTAGCTGACGGGTGCGTTGCTCACTTATGGTCTGTCAAATTATATAATCATCTTCACTATATATACTGTAAAGCATTCAAATTTTAAAAAATTGTGTGCCGTACAAGGTGAATAAAACCACCGGCAAATCCGGAAATGGAGAGGGGGTTTTGGGAAAGAACAACATAACGCGTCTAATTCAACACTTGATAACATTAATTTATATAAGGAGGGCTTGATCACAGCGAAGCAAAGGTGCAAACCTATGACAACAAAGCATACAATCCAGCATTTTATAGCAGCATTGATCTATATGAGAGCTTGATTTTAGCGAAGCGAATATGCAAAACCATAGCATCTAAGCAGCAAATTCGATTTCTCATTTCCTTTATTAATAAGCTTACCAGCAACATAGCGCATTAAAATTTGCATGAATCAGCTTTACCAAAATCAATATATCTCCTATTCGAATTAAAAATTGCTGAAGCTACAGAACTGCCTTTCCAAAAGGTTTCAGCTACCAAAGATGTGATTCATGCGGTGTAAATAAACTCTATAAAGCAATACATAACCAAATTCGACAGTTTTCAGGCCTTCATATCTTGACATGTAGACTTTTCTGAGCCGCCCGAATGACACCAAACAATTTTACTCGAGTAATAGTATCTTTCTAACACCTTCACTCAACTTTTTGGAGACCAAAAAAACATGGCCAAAATTCGACCAAAAAAGCATGAGGGGTACCTCATGGTTTTCATCAAAAATCAAACGACCGCGTTTTTTACCTTGAAAATGAAGGCTTTTATTATGGTATATGTTGAATCAAAATGTTTCTCTTCATACAAAGCAACCCCTGAAATCACTTTTATGAGGCTTTCATATGCAAAATATGGCTATTTTCGCTAAAAACCTCATTTCAAATTTTATTGGATTGCTCAGTAAGTTCATTCAAAACACTTATTACAGTTAGCACCATTGGAAGTGCCTTGAAAAGTACTTCAAGAATGTATTAGGAAGCGATTTTTTTTTTTTTTTGTAGGGGAGTCGAGCTCCAGGTTTTATTTAAAGTCCTTTAAATGTCATACTGAGGGATAGAAAAGACTGTTGGTGGACCCAATGTCTGCAATGAAGGGGAATAAGATATTTTTGAACTAAGTTGGGAAAGAAATCTACTACTAATAAGGTGTGACTCCTAGAGCCAGTACAGTCTTGCGGAAATCGTCAAAATATAGATCATGGATAAGAGCACAGAACACCAAACGAGGACATCAGTACTACGTCAAAAAAAATCAAACAACTTGCGTTCACCAGGATTTGAACCGGGATCCTCCCGTTGGCATACGGGAGTTCTACCACTTCGCCCTACCACCAGGGACTGTATTAGGAAGCGAAGGGTGATCATCACAGTTTATATAGTCGAATATTACAAAATAGATTGAAGAAGTCGAGAAAAGACAAAATCTATCCAATCTTAAACAGAAAAAATATACTGAGCTTGAATCAATTTTGGCGGCGGCATTGTTGCTGGCTGACCTAAATGCCTTTCTGTTGATGGCAATAATGATTGTGATACTGATTAAATGGGGATCATGGAATTAAAAGGACAATTGCTTAGCCTAAATACTTTTTTGGGGAGCTTTGCATCATGAAGATATCTTTTGCAATGGCAATATCTCAGAAAAGTCGCTATAGATCTTACACAAGTCCTGTATTTGCTCATGACCAGCTTTATGTCTTCATCTTATTAAGAGCACCAGCAGCAGCGAATGGTAAGGCAATTCTACTATCAGAAAATGACTATTGTGATATACAAATGCTGCATAAAACCTGAATTTTCTTTCACATTGTCTCAATAATAGGCTTTGTTTGATGTCAGTGTAAGCAAAAAGGATGCTGAGGGAGATACCTCCTCTCTCCCTGCTGACTCTGCTATAACCTTTCTTTTACTAACTAATAATAATTGGTTGTTTAAACTCTACTTGATATACCAAAATTTTATTATATCTGATTTACAATGTCTTTGGCGAGAGCCCACAGGGGGACGCTGACATCGAGCGTAGCGAGATAGGTCGGCTAGTAATGCTTTATGCAGAATTGTATCTGTAATAAAGATTTGTATTACTCCAAGGCCCCAGTATGTGCACTTCAAGCTACAGTACTTGAGATATTCCAAAGTTATAATCATCGGGTTAGAGATTTGACAGCTACTTCATGAACCAGTTCCAACAGACAGTTATTGCCATTAACGAGCTACAAAATTCTTCAATCTCAACGCTTGTGTTGCTGCACCAATACTGGGTACTGCCGCCAGATGTAAATGTAAACTTCGGACGAGAAGTAAAACTTACTATTAAAAACTCGGGTTCATGCTTTACTCAGAATGAGTACACTTGATATATAACTTGGGCAAGGTGGTATGCTTTTAGGATTGAAATGAAACCGCATTAGTCACTATAGAATCTGGTGAGATTCGACATGATAGGCACAAACATCATAGCACATAATTGCATTATCTTCGTAATAAAAGCGACCTCTTCCTGTCACTGCAAGGACCACCATTCAAGCATAAATTTCAGATTGATACTTGCTATTTGATCGAAATGATACTTTTGATAGCTGATCCATGCAGATGATGGATATGTCAGAATAACAGCTTATATTAGCCTTCAAAACAATTGTTGCACACAGCCAAATATGTTTACTGACGTATGAACCAAGTGACACTGATAGAGTTTACCAATAAATTGTAATTTGGTGTATCATTTACATTCGTTTTTATGAAAAAGTAGCAATGGCAGATGTTGATGTAGACGCTTTCACTTTCACATGATGTCACCTGCGGTGTTGAATAGCTATACAGTCAAACCACATTTTTGTAATTCATCCATGATCGCTTGCTGAGGGTAAAAACCACGATAAAAATTTTCTGACAGGCCTGGGCAGGGGCATTGAAATTTGTTGCCAGATGTGAGGGAGAACCCCCTTTTCCATCTTTCAACAGTTATACATATATAAAAAAAAAAAAAAAAAAAGAGAGAATCACAAAAGAAGGACTTGTACATATAATATCAACTTCTCTCTCTTTTTTTTTCTTTACCCCCCTTCTTTCTTTACTCGTGATTCTTAAACTACTCACCAACCAATGTTATTGTCAGTCGCTACGAGGTCATGCAAGCAAAGTCGAGTAAGCACTTCGAATTACCTTTTGCTATCCCACTTTTTTGTCCTAACAGTGATGCAATGTAGATATGTCAATGTACAGCCAAACCAACAAACACGTTGCTATGGCTAAGAGAGTCTAGTAAACAACTCTACATCAAAAGACGTCTATCTACCAGCAGTATCCACCATCGACATCAGTCCAAAAAATCAACTTTTGATACTACGAATTACAAACAATTAACACACACTTGGACACCAAAATATATTACATTTAGACCTTTATCAACAGAGACAAAACTGACGGATGTGGAAACAAAGCATGTAGACAGGCATTACGATGATATATTATCGATTGCTCTGGATCAGTCAAATGTTTCCATTGCACAGTCGCTTGTAGACACAACATTCGGTCTACTGCGAAAAGGAAAACCAGAGCTGGCTTGGGAGTGCTATCTAGATCTGACGAGCCGAAATCAGCAACGGCATGTATCTCGCGAGCAGTACAAACAGCTGATTAAATACTTTAATCACCACAAGAGCAACAATGAGCAAGGGTTGGAATACGTATTGACATTGGTAGAAGACATGAAACAGCTCGGCTATCAAGTGGGGCGAAAGGAGAAGCTGCTAGTGATGCGTCTTCTTGGTTTAAACGGAAATCTACCAGCCATGGAAAAAGTGTTTGAAGACTTGAGTAAAGAGCAACTTTTAGAAATCACAGATCCAGCCGCAGCTCAAAAGCCATTCAACATCATGCTCACAGCTTACAACGAACACACTGACAAGGTTGGAGCGAGGATTGCAGCAGAGAAATCAATGCGATTATACGGAGAAATGCTGGACCGCAACATTCAGCCAGCTGAGTCAACAACTCGCTTGCTCATCAGCAATATTCGCACAGCAGAAAATTCAGATGAAATGGTGGAAGACGTCTGGAACTGGGTGTGGACGAAGATTGGCATGAATGTCGGCGGAAAAACAAAGGAGTTGGAGCCATCACTGTATAGAGGCATGGTGCTGTATTTTGCCAGTGTGGGTCGAGCTGAATATGCACTCGAAATCAACGACATCATGACAAAGAAGCAGATTGCTCGCACAGTGCCTACCATGACGGCATTGATTCATAAAGTCGGACGAGCTGGAAATATCGACAAGGCTATGCAGCTATTCAACGAGATGGTGATTGTGGAGGGTCTCATCCCTACTGCAGTGACATTCAATGCGCTTATCGACATTCACGCACACAAAAAACCAGCACCAGATGTGGCAGGAGCCAACAGAATGTTCGACACCATGCGAGAGGTTGGACTGCACCCCGACGATGTAACCTTTGGTACATTGATCGATATGTATGCTAAACAAGGCGATCTTGCCAGTGTCAAACGAGTGTATAAGGACATGGTGCACAAGTATCATTTCGACGCAAGCCCGTATGTGTACTCTTCGCTTATTGAATGCTACATGAGGCTCAACGACAAAGATTCAGCAATGGAGGTTCTGACTCTGCTAAAAAAGCAAACCCATCGCCGTGTTCCTGTAGCTCGTGAAGCGCAGAATCTCATGTTTAAAGGTCTGATAGAGAACAACTACATTGCAGAAGGCATCGATTTGTTGGGGGCAATGATCAAGGACAAATTTCAAGTCAATGTCCAGACATTTACACCACTACTGTCGTATTATGCCAACCAAGGTGACACGGAAGGTGCGCATAAAGTTGCTTCCATGATGACACAGGCTAATGTAAAGCCCTCACTCCAAACCTATTCCTGCCTGCTGAAAGCATACGCTAAAGCAGGAGACATTGAAGGCGCCGAGAACATATTCAACATCTACACACAAAAATACCGACCAAATGCAAACGTTTACAACGCTCTATTGTATGTTTATACCAAGAAAAATGAAATGGACAAGGTGTTGGATACTTACAAGCGCATGTCGGCAGCCTATGTCCCAGCCAACGTGTATACATATGGTATCCTGATGAATTTCTACTCGAAACGCAAGGAATTGAAGGCCGTCGAAGCACTCATGGAAACAATGCAGTCAAGCAACATAACACCGAGCGTTACCTGCTGGACCATCTTGATGCAAGCTTATTTCGAGTGCGAGAAACCAGACAAGGGTCGAAGATTGATAGAGCAAATGACTCAAGCTGGCTTGGAACCGTCAAATGTGTCTTGGGCTATACTGATCTCTGGATGCATCAAATCAAACGAGCTGGATTTCGCAGAGTCTGTTCTCGATGAAATCATTGAAAGAAGCAGACGCTTACGTGCACCTCCAATGTTACTCAGTGATAGCAATCGCTTGTCAGAAGGAGCATATGCAAAGGTTATCCCAGAAACCATCGAGGACGTCTTGAATAAATCTCAAAATCTCATGCAATCCAGGTCTAGCATTCCATCTCACCTTTTCACACCCATCATCGAAGCATACAGCAAGCGAGGCGATTTCGACAAGGCCAAGAGCGTATTCAAGAACATGTGCGACTTGAAGGTTGCCGTTACGGTTGAAACTTACACTATGATCATGAATCTGTTCAAGCGAGAGAACAAGTTTGATACTGTGGAGTTGCTTTGGAATGCACTATACAGGCCGTCGAATGAACAAACCCATGTAGACAATGTAGATCCTTTACTGCCCAAAGTGCCATTACCCGTCAAAACTTACAGCTATACAAATCTACTCACTTTGGATGAAGACGGTGCTGATGAATTAACAAAAGTAGTGACAAACCAAGTGACATCATTTGCTTTATCAATCTATATCGACACTTTAATGGCTCAGGAGCGCACAGATGACATTCAGACACTATGGCAACAGCTGACAAATGAAGGCTATCGTTTTGATGAGCAGAATTGGAATCGCTACATTACGTCCTTGATCACATCTGGAAAATTAGACGAAGCCTGCACTCTAGCTTATCGTGAGTTCTTTGATTCAAAATCAAGGCAAGATGTGGGCAACAAAGTAGGCACCTACAAATCGATTCGAAAAAGAGACGATATTTCTATATCAAACGATAACCAGCTTCATACCCGTACTTGCGCTTCATTTGCCGATGCTTTCCAGATCACTGGTGCTGAAAAAATGGGCGAACCTAGACTTCGTTCGGCCGTGAGTGCAAAAATTAAAGAACACATGCATCAAAAAGATAGATTAGATCAGAAATTGTAACTTTAGCTTATATATATATATATATATAGATGGTTTAAAATAAAATAAAAGGGTAATTGACCTGAATCTTTTGTATAATTGATCCCTTATGAATGTATATGTTCGTTATGGGCACATTGTTGTATTAGGCGCGATTGAATAGTAGTATAATTAAGGGTGATTTTGGGTGGTAGGTTGACGCTAATAATACAGTAGAGGTATGGTATCAGTACGAGGATGGAGATGGTGGTAAAATCGAATGGCCCTTTTTAGCCAGCTTTTCTAGCTGAAAGACGACTTGATATCCCTCATGCTCAGGATCGTCCATTGCACCTTGTAATATTGTATTGTGGGTATTTGTACTGGTACAGCGAATATTTTTGCCTCGAATGATTTGCTCTAAGGCTCCCTGTGGCGAATCATTAGATAGTTGCTCTCTAGAATAAGATCTTTACTTACTGTGTGAACATTGCGAACTTCAATGAAATCGGGTTCAAATGCTAGAACATATGGGTACGACAATGCAAAAGAATCTGGCGCACCTTCCCAGTCGATTCTTGCACTTGATCTGATGAAGCGTCCCCGTTGATCCACAAAGAATGCAAATTCTGATAACGATGATCATGGTAAGTGTATGTTTCTGTTGGCAGCAACCGTACATGTCTTACCATTGTAGCAAACAAGATATTCAGCAAATTGTATTCTATAAATGGTGATAGGTCTCACATCAGGTCGATTAAAGACAAAGCCCAGTTCCTCGTCTTCTGGATCCAGCAAAGCTTGCACGCCGAAATTCTTCATGTCCACTACACCTATCTCTCTTGGCGACGATATGCACATCTTTGACTTGAGTAGATTGATGGACGAGGCTTCACTGGGCAAGTACAAATCCTTGTAGGCCTTCAATCCCACGGGCCCACTCCTCACCAATCTCTTGAGGCTGAACAAAGACTTTGTCTTTTTATTTTCATCCATGATCACTGGCTCCAAAACTCGAATGGTTGTCGCTGATAGAGTGTTTGATTTGACAACGCAAACAAGTGTTTTGGATAGACACTCGCCTACATGGAAAAATGCTGTATTTTGGCTGACAGATCGTCCTCTTTTTGCTTGCGGTGATGCACCCGACGCTAAAATCTCCAGTGGGAATGTCCATAATGTCTTGTCTGCTAGCACTAGTAATTGTGATTCAGGCATCAGCTCAATTTGTGAGACTTTTTCCACTGTAATGATGCGTGTAATAATATTTTTTTTGGTGGCGGGATCACGCTTTGTGACATAAACACCTTGATCTGCTCCTACAATCACTTGCTCCATGTTGTTGTCGTTATAGATAGTTGCCGTATTGTTGACTCTGTTGGTAACTGTGAAGTGATGTTTGATCAATGGTGCAATGGTAAAGATAGACCGTGTCTCCGACAGCAAAGCCTTCTGATCCATGATCTTTTTGATCCATATTTGCTGCATGGACGAAGCACTTGTGAAAAGAGTGATAGCAGGTGCGCCTTTTCTGCCATGATGGATAAAAGTGATGGATAAGCTGCTCGATTTAGCAGCGGTTGCGAGGCTTTCAGAGGTTGATGGGCGAGGTGCTGCGTTGTTCATGGTGGCTAAATTGGTTGATCTGCTGTAAGGCAGTATCGAGCTGGCTCGTTTTTGTCGATTGCTGGTTGAAACATTAATGGATAGCAATTCCAGAGGAATCGGCTGTAGAATGTATTCGTTTGTTAGTCAGAAAACTAAGGTTATTTGGTAGATTTACATACTCTTCTATAGGTCTTGTACTTTTCCAAATGATCCTCGTACTTGATTTTCGCCAATACCAGATAATGGTCAAACAAAAAGACCTGCAAATCAGATGCCTCAGAAGACGAATTCCCTTTTCGCTTCATTCTGCCCTTCATCAGCAATTGCCGTCCAGGCTGCTCCAATTTGAGATCCTGGATCCGCTGGTTAGTAAAAGACAGCTCCACCAAGCAACGGGTTCATACATACCACATAGTCAGCGGGCGATTTGAACTCGAGTCTTTCGCCTATCTGCTGCAGATTGAAGAAATTCTCGCATTTTCCAGCTTCAATGTTGACTTGCTCCAGGTAGGCTGTGATGATATCCATGATTTGAGGAATTGCTTCTTTATCAGGGTTATCGTCTGGCGTTCTCTTGAGAATCTCCCTCAACAGCAGATTGTATCGGCCTAATCTGGTGGTAGGTTTTGTCAAGTAACCGTTTAACTCCAATCGTCTGGATTCTGGTTTTCGCTCAGTTTCCTATGCAATCTCTATTGGCACTGTTGCGCATTTCACATACTCTTTGGTCATAACTTACCTCTACAAACTGCGCAAACAATGAATTTCTCTTCTTTTCGAGCTCAAAAGTGAATTTGCCAATGACCTGATGAGCACCGTATTCAACAAATGGATGGAAATAACGGACATGATCCAACATGACATCGCCAATGCTCGAAACGAGATACTTCTCAGCTTGCCGTGCTTCCAATGCTCGAGAAAGCTCTGTGTTGACATGTCGAATGTCTGCAATGTTATAAAAGACCTGCTTGACAAATTGCTCGCGCCTTTTATCGTCGTCAATGATGTCCTGACTCAATAATGGTTCCACCCAGAACTATACTGCATTGTCAATAACAAGTGACACCTTAAAAAGACTACAGCTTACCTCATGCACATACTGCAAATCTCGCACAAAATCCTGCTCTGTGTAGATAAGCTCATAGATGCATTCTTGTCGTTTTCTTTCCTCGGGCAAGGTAGCCTCGACTATATTTTCAGGAACAGAGTGTGACCATAATCTGGTGTTTTCTTCCTATTAAGCCAAGTCAGTAAAGAAAGAAAGGAGGTGCAGAAAGCAGTGGAAAATGGCAAATATACCTTGACTTGGTGCTGCTGGCTTTGTTTTAAACTCTAGACAGACAAATGTGTTACTTGAGACCTTCTCCTGATGCACAAGAACCATAGTACTTGCCTTTTTCTTCAAACAGGACCAACTATAACATAGATTATCGCCTGTACAAGTAGGCGAGTAACAGTCAGTGAGATCTGTGTAGATACCATTCGGTAAATCGGATGATTGCAAGTCTATAAGAGTCGGTTTGAATACACAGCACAATGCAGACCACTGAAAAAACATGTTACCACTACTGCTCTCTCTGGAGAATTTCTCAGAAACATCGTCTTCTTTGGGTGTGTTTGTCATTTCCCTAAAAGCATACAGTTCGTCTACCGAATCAATGAATACAGGCTCGTAGTTGACATCATGGAAGAAGTTTTGATTTCGAAGGGCTGCTCCAATCTCAATGGCCTCCAAACGGTCATTGTTTCCAAGTATAGAGAGTAATCGATCCTAGAATATAACCTTAGCAAACGTATACCGCCATGCTTCGAGGAGGACATCCTTACCACTGCCTCTTTTCCACTGAAAACCTCATGATACTCTATGCCGTCCTTGACCAATGTCGAGCATGCTATTCTCTTGTGAAGCTCCTTTGCTACTTCGGATAAGAGTGCTGTGTATATAACGACATGCTGTGATCTATAAGCATCAATTGACTTTTGCTGTTCCTCTCTCTTGGATTGCATTTTGCTTAAAAATACAGACGAATAAGATTCTGTCATACTTGAGCTGTTGGGAGCCATGGTGAGATCAGAAATGTCAGTGAATACAGTGTCTGTCGATAAGCGAGATTCCAGCTGCGGCTGCTGCTGCTGCTGATTATCTGATGGTGGTAAGGGAAAGGAATCTGAACTGCTGCTGTAGTGGCTCACTTTGACTTGTGGTGCAATAGATTCTGGATCTATAAAAGAAAGACAACAAGAACAAAAAGAAGAGAAAAAGGAGAGGCAAACGTTAAAAGAGAGAGATCACCTTTCGATACAGTATACCATTTACCCCTTATGCTATCCTTACGCCGACCCAAATCAGGAGAGACAGGAGCTGTTGTTGTTGTTGTTGAAGCCTCCATCGCTTCTCCATCGCCATCCCAAGACTCCACTATCTCGGTCAATGCTTCATCCAACATCATGTCTTTTTCCTGTATTTCATCGCCCTCATCCTCATCATCCGTATCGCTTGGATCCATTGGCTTAATGCATATGATGGACGAGGGCGGTCTATCCTTGAAGTTGAATTCATCATCCTCGTCATCCTCATCCACATCTTGACTGGCATAAAGTTTAATTGGATCGAATGTGTTTCCCACAGCGAGGCTCTCTATGGCGTCTTCTTCTTCGTCTTCTTCTGGTATATTAAAAGAGGGGCAACTCTGGCTGTTGCCATGGTATTGAGGAGATGTAGGAGTAGCTGATTCAACGTGTATAGCGACATTTACAGGTTCAGTTTGAATTTTGAAGGGTATACTGGAGTTTCGCATTGGCGATGACATCCTCGGTTGCTGCTGCTGCTGGTGGTGGTGCTGCTGTAGGGCTCTCTTCTTCAATTCAGATTTCGTCTGACTGTTGGCAGCAGCTAAACTCTGTTTTCGCACGGGTAACTGTTGCTGGATATAGTACTTTTTGATAGCTTCTGGTATCGGACTACCAGATGCTAAATCGTAGGTGACAGTTGGCGTTCTTTTCAGGTATAGAATGTCTTTTTTTTTCTTATCCATGAGTGAATTTGGTTGTATGGAGCTCATAGTCAGGACAAAGAATAAAGTGCAAGAGAAAGAGAGACAGAAACAAGGAAAGCTCTAAAAAAAAAGTTAATTAAACTAGCAAAGTATGATAATAAAATCGGGACAGCAATTAATAACGAAAGAAAGGCGAGAAATACATGTGTGGAACCCTACTTGGAAAGTATAAAAAGTGGAACCTTGTGTCCTGATTAGAGGATATCAGAACAGAGTTGCTAAATTGATGGTTTTAGACTTTAAATTATGCTCAATTAACCCCTTGATGGATCTCGCGGGGCATTAAATTCTAGATATCTTACTCTGATGACTTGTGGTCCTAATAATGTCAAATCCAGAGGCAAGCCACCACAGTCTTGAAGCGTGCCTCTTGGTGCCTGAGATTCCCTGCCAATGAAGAAGGATTCATCTTGTTTACATATAACTTTTTGCCATCTGTACAACCAGAGATGTCACCGCCCTGTATATCTGCGGAGTGATGAGTTCAAAGCAAACCAAGGAAAGCTTCTGTACATTTATAAAATCAACCGCCCCCCTTTTTTTTTGTACCTCTTCTTTCTTTTTCATCCACTGTATCATCCTTGCTTGAGCCATGATCAGCCTGAAACCTGCGTATACCTCATATCTGGGCGAGAAACAGATCGACAGCTTGCGATTATACAAGTACGCTGCCGTCGACAAATCTCCCATCTCTCGATACATTTTGAAGCACTATTGGGATTTTGCCATCACTTTATTTCCAAGATGGATAGCGTATGTAGCTAATTTAGATCCAAACACACTTGCTCACGCTAACGACATTCTTCTAGTCCCAATTTAATCACTCTGATCGGCTTATTCTTCATGATTGCCAATGTCATTGTAGTTTGTATATGGTCGCCCAATCTTGATACGGATGCTCCCAACTGGATCAACTTTAGTTTTGCTGCTGGTCTCTGGCTGTACTCTACATTTGATAACGTAGACGGTCGTCAGGCTCGTCGCACTGGAACATCTTCTCCGTTGGGTGAGTTATTTGACCATGGCTGTGATGCTGTGAACTGTACGTATGTGGCTTTGTTGCAAGCAGCTGCATTGGGCTTGGGTCACACCCCCTCTGCTGCACTTCTGCTATTCGTTACAATTGCTGGCTTCTATCTTTCAACTGTTGAGGAGTACTATACTGGTGTTCTCTATTTGGGCTATGTGAATGGGCCAACTGAGGGTATTATTATTACATGTTTGGCCTTTATTTGGTCTGGTGTTTATGGTAAGTCGGTTTCTGGGCGAAATAGGTTAAGCATAACAAAGCTTTGCTGACACGCTGTGAACTGCTCAATAGGTATTGCTTCCTGGCACGTGCCTGTAGATGAGATCTCATGTCTCGCTTGGACAACGTCAATTTTACCCAGTGGCACCACTGGAGCTGACCTGTTTGTATGGGGTATGGTTGTATTCTTCCTTGTTACACATCTTCCAGTATGGTAAGAAATTGCGGTGATTTGATAATGTACGGTGCCTGATGTTTGGGTCTTGTTAGTGTTTATTCAATTGCTCGAGTGTGTAAGGAGAAGGGGCTCAAGAAGAGATCAGTCTTTGAGAATGTGTTCTTACCTCTAGTCTTCACCGGCATCTTCATCTATACATGGTTGTCATCCTCCTCATCCATCATTTTCACAGAAAATCACTTCATCGCATTCGCTATTTTCTCAGGACTCTTGTTTGGTGAAATGGCATCTGATATCATCCTTGCTCATTTAACAAAGTCAGAATATCCTCGCTTTATTAGCATTTACGCACCATTATTCCTGTCATCATTGATTGTGAACTTGCAAAGCTTTTTCCAAACGTAAGTAGCATCATGCAGCGTCCACACTGTTCATTTTACTCATAGCAGGCACTGATATCTTTTGCTGGGAACGTTAGTAAACTGGTAGATGAATACATTCTACTGCTTGTGCTATGCTGCACTAAATTTTACACCTTCATTGTAAGAGCAGTCCGTGTCATTAATGCATTCTGTGATTTCCTGGGCATTCGTTGTCTTGTGATCCCTACATCCAAGCAAACAGATAGAGTCATTGTACCGAAGACACCAGGTAAGATTTTTGTGAGAAGAAATCAGTGATGTCCTATGCTCATTCGCATCGTTTGTAGCTGAAGAAGAGGCTGAATCCTTGTTGGTAGCCCAGGAGGAAGGGTCTAATCAGCAGCAACAATACAACACATTCTAATTGGAATACTACCAACATCTAATCCACCATCTAATTTATATTTAGACATTAAGCTATTCAAAATATACATTTAACATGCATACCCTAAATAATAACATAAGCTCAACCTTACCATTGAATCAAATGTTGCTAACCTTAGCTTGAGGTAAAACTTAAAAAGGAAATTTTATATGAAGTCTGGTGTAACATGTTTATCTCAAATCCAGGGGCAGGGTTCCATATCACAGATCTCTAATTCGCTTGGTGGAGAGTAATAATCACAAAGCAAACGTAACATTTACTATTATAATACCGGGTATTTGAAAGTGAAATTCTAATCATTTTATTGATAAAGTGAATTCAATTCAAAAAAAAAGCTACAAAAAAAAAAGAAACCATAAGATTATGCTTTAAACGACATAAGTGAGAGATGAAAAATGCAAAGAGAAGTGAAATGAGAAAAAAAATAATGAGAACAAGTTTGATTATTTTGCTTCATATACGAGAGAAAAGAAATGAAGATAAAAAAAGAGAGCATAAGGGATTCAATTCCAAAATATATATACATCAAGTAAATAAATTTAGAAATTGAAGGGGGGTGTTTTTTTGTGCTATTGTTGAGATTATAGTGGGATTTTTTTTTTGTGTAAGGTGATAATTTGAGGGTTTTATAGAGTTGGTATTGTAGACATGAGATGAAGAGAAGAAGGATTTTCTTTTTTTGGTGTTTTATGTTGCGTTTTCTTGAAATTTGTGTATATAAAATGCTGATTGAATGCAGATGTAATTGTGTATAGTGTGTATATTGAGCCTTATTAGCAACCCACAGTACCAGCATTGTTTGTTGAGTGCCATGACATGCCGACCATATTTGACATCATATTGTTGCTGTTGCTGTTGTTGGATTGCTGTTGTTGTTGGTTGTTATTAGGGCTGTTTAAAGGTGGTAAATGCTGTTGAGAAGATGCTTCACTTTGATGTACTTGTTGCTGGTGGTGATGATGCTGTCTTCTGCGGCGATCCTCCACTCTTTGGTGTGTCTTCATATGCTGAGACAAGTTATCAGATCGAGAAAAGGTCTTGTGGCAATTGGGAAATGTGCAACCAAAGGGTCTTTCCATGGTATGAATTCTCATATGACGCTTGAGGTGTTCCAAACGCTTGAATCTTCGTTGACATTGAGCAATTGGACAAGTATGAGACTTTTGCTGACTCATGCCGTTGTTGGTACTGTTTGTGTTGGATGAGCGGCGTGAAGAAGCAGAGGACTTGATTCCAACAGTAGCAGAGCTAGCAATGACAGAACTAGCAGTGGACGACGAGGAGGACGAGGAGGAAGCAGCAGCGGCAGCAACCACAGCAGCAGCAGCATTGATGCTATTGTTGGCGGTTTCACTACCATTTGGGCTTTGGATAGGATAAGGGTGATAGCTGTAAGAACCCTGTTGCTGCTGTTGTTGTTGCATCATATTATTAGAACAATTGAATCTATCGTGATCATTTGAGGCAGCTGTAGTGGCAGTAGGTGAATGAGTTGGGCTTGAGGTGTTATAGAATGCATGGCTTTGGTGTTCATGATTGAGTAAAGACGAAACACCACCATTAGGCGAAGTTGGGGTATCTTGATGGATAAAATTCTGTTGATGCTGATGCTGTTGATGAGGATTATAATGACGCATATATTGCTGCTGTTGCTGTTGATGATGATGTTGATGAAAGCTGGCATCGCCCTGGTGTGATTCAAAGTATGGTTAAAATCACTGCTACTTGTAATAGACAAAATGTGCGTACAAACCTGTTCAGAGTAGCTGTGGCGTTGACCGTACATGTCCATCATGTCAAATGCTGGAGACTGTTGTTGCTTTGCAAAGTAAGCTGGAGATCTATCATCGAATACTTGCTGAGATGGTATGGATGCATTGGAAGAAGAGACAGAAGCAGCAGCGGCGGCAGCGACAACTGCAGCAGCAGCAGCAGCAGAGGCAGCGACAGACTGATTGCTGTTATTCTTGGAACTGTTGTTGTTGTTGCTGCCACCCTTCTTCTTGGATCCACCTTGCTGAAGCATGTTTGTCTTTTTGGTATGAGTGCGGTAATGAGCGTGGAAATTATCAGAACGACTGAAACTTTTACCACATCCAGGAAAATGGCAAACATGAGGTCTTTTGCCAGTGTGAACCAACATATGACGCTTGAGATGCTCATAACGTTTGAAGCTCCAAGTACAGTAAGGATAAGAGCAAGCATGCTTATGTTGGGTATTAGGGCCGGAGAGCTGTGCACGAGAGCCACGACGAGATGCAGCAGAAGCCTTTGCACCTGCAGGACTATCGGGAACTACATTACCAGTAGATGAAGTGGAACTAGTAACAGCAGTGCTGGTGGTCATGGTTGGATTGCCAAATGAGTGGTGTTGATGATGTTGCATAGAGGTCAAGAAGCTATAGTCTGATTGGTGCTGTTGTTGCTGTTGGCATCTAACAGAGGCAGCAGCATTGGCAGCAGTAGAATAAGCATTGCTTCCATGATGTTCATTTTGCTGAACACAGTCATTATCCATAGAAACAGCCGAGCATGAGCTTCTTCGATATGCGTCTTGATCATGCATAGATGACGGATGCGGGATGTTGGTTCCGAATCCAAAGGGACCCACATCAACAGAGAATTTACGCTTGAACTGCATTGAATCGAAAAGAACAGAGGAAGGAGAAACTGCTGGAGTGAGAGGAGGTGACATATGCTGTTGGTACATCATACCAGGATTGAATGCACTGTAGCTTGGAGGTGGGGGTGGAGGTAGATAGGCAGATGAAGGTATCATGGTGCCTCGATTATCAACAATGGAACAACTGGGTGCTGGTGGAGATGGTGTAGAGTTCTCTTCTAATTTAGGCAACTTGTCGATTCCAGGTAATTTTTCGTTCATGAGAGGTGTATTTGGCTGTTCGTAATTTGACATGATTTGCTGATGATTCATCTTATTTTTGTTTGATGCTGAATGGTGTAAGATATAATATAGAAAGAAAGAAAGAGAGAGAGAAGAAAGCAAACAGTAAGCGAGAATTTCATTTCATTATATACATACAGAATCAATGATCGACACATAGAGAGGAGTATTTAGTGCTTAATAGATTACTCATTTAGTATGAAAGCTTCTCCTTGTGATTCAAAGGAGTCGTATGTTTCTCTCATGTAAACATAGGGGGGGGGGGGCCACTGTGGGACTATCAAAAAGGAGCTTTCTTGTATATAAACTATATGCATTTTACTCCTTAAATTTTATTAATTATAGCAGTAAGGTTTATTCGCAGTAAGTTATCCTAAACGAGACAAAAATTGTATGATTCCAGTAATATTATCAACATTATACAGCTGAACATGCATAACGATATGCGATCGGTTTTCTTTGTTCCTACCAACAGTCGAGATGATCAGGTTGCAGCAGGGTGATGTGTATATGAATACGAGAACATTGACTTGTGAACACTTGCTAGTGTCTCATGAGACATGAGCCCAGTGGCTGTATATATTATAATACCTTCATATATATCAGGCATTGCATTTTTTACAATCAAATTATAGTTTCGTAATAATCTCTCTCCTGACTGAATATTATGTGGAATCAAGGAGCTTCCGATAAGAAAGAGGACGCAGAACCTCGTGCTTTCAAGATATTCCCCCCCCCTTTTTTTTACATGTAGATTCAAGTTGATGGTAGTTTTTATATGCTATTTGCTCAAAATACGCCTGTCTATACACGATTTGCCCCCTTTTCACTCTGTATGTCTAACCTTAGGTGACATGGATTCATATATATATATATATATATATATATATCCATCCTTGTAATATGACCAGGTCACAGAGCCTGTTGACTTGACATGTCAAAGTGCACAGGATTGATAATTCAGGAACATAAATGAAAGCAAGCTCACTTTCACAAGAATTCATTCATGTGATTCTGGCAAATGTTTACTTTTTTTTTCCTCCCCTATATTATGCATTATATACCTATATCTTGATCTGTATCAAGTTAGCCCCTTTTATTTTTTTAGGTATTTATTTAGCACATTATAGCACACCGTTAGTCGAGATCAAATCAGCAAGAAACAGTGATAAATTAGTACAGTCTTGACAAGAAAAAGGTCTTTGACATAGCCCCTAAAATCAAAATGGGAGCCAAAGCCATGGCATACTATCCTCAAGCAGCCTCCTGTGTCCAGCATTTGCTCATTATTTATGTCGGTATTGACATTTAGGGATCATGAACATGTCTTACAATGTGAAACGTCCGACTCGGATGCAATGGTCAAAGCATTCAACCCTACCGGACTCCAATGTTTACATGGCAGCAGACCAATACTAGAGATTTCACTCATAGCAGAGACTAAAGGATCCTCCTTTTTGCTTATCCACCCGTTTAAAGTATGTAGAGCAACGATGAAAGCATCCATCCATTGAATCGATCGACTAACAGTTGCAATTAGATGGCCAAGGACCAAAAGACCACCCAAAAGCGTTCCACCCTCGCTGATGTTGTCACTCGTGAGTACACCATCCACATGCACAAGCATGTCTTTGGTCGCTCTTTGAGAAAGCGTGCTCCTCATGCTATCAAGGCTGTCAAGGCTTTTGCTCAAAAGGCTATGGGTACCAAGGACGTCCGTCTTGACCCCTCTTTGAACAAGGCCGTCTGGTCTCGTGGTGTTAAGCACACTAACCACCGTATTCGTGTCCGTATCGCCCGTAAGCGTAACGATGACGAGGATGCCAAGGAGAAGCTTTACTCTTATGTCACCTTTGTCCCCACTGTTGACTTCAAGGGTAAGTTCATCATTCTATCTCATGCAATGCAATTGTTAATTAACTCGTATTATTAGGTCTTAACACCGAAGTCGTTGAGGATGAGAACTAAATCATCTTTTGATCATCATATACAATAAAATGACAAGCTTGGGTAGTTTTATATTAAAACAGCAGACTTCCATACCTTCAACAAAACATTGACACTGTGCATTGATTTATTACATGTGATGATTTAGTAGTAGATTGATGTAGTTACCAGGGCTCATCTGTCAAATGTCGATCTCCAGGGCGTGGTTGCCTAGCAACGCATGAAATGTATCCCTTGTTGACAGCAGGAGGTCCAAATCATACGACATTTCATACACATTTTCATCATCATTGGAGTGGATACGTACATTGGAATTTTATAGATGAAGAATTCGAAATATCTTTATTCTTTTGTATTTGATTTATGAAAATTTATGAAGGGATATGGATAAAATTAGTAGGCTATATACATTTTACTCTATGGAGCATCTAGAAGTCCGGCTCATTTTCGAGAACAATACGATATCTGGGCTTTCCGTCCTTGATAGCCTGAATTGCTTCATTGACTTGATTCATGGGATACTTGTTGATCCATGGCTTCACTGAGGTAGTGGCAGCGAATCTAAGCATGTCTTCAATTATGCGGGGAGAGCCAATGATGGAGCCAGAGATAGTGAGCTGCTTGCCGGCCAGCAGGAAAGGGGGGATGCCAACGAGAGGAGTCTCAGGGATAGCAACCATGATGAATTTACCATTACTTTTCAACAGGTTCAAAAATAGACTCCAGTCGAAATCATTTGCAAAACTTGTACAGATGATATACGTAAGAGTGTTTGCTCGACTCTTCATCATATTTTCATTGCTGGTAACAATGTATTCATCACAGCCCAGTTCCATGGCATCTTCACGCTTTCTATCGGAATGAGAGAGTGCAACAGCTTCAGCGCCCATTGCTTTAATCCATTGAATAGCAAAGTGACCAAGGCCACCGATACCAATAACACCAACACGATCTCCAGGCTGAACGTTGTTATTCTTTAAAGGTGCGTAAGTGGTAACTCCAGAACAGAAGAAGCAGGCAGCCATCTCGTTTGTCATACTACAGGGAATCTTGAATACAAAGCGATAATTGCCTCTCTAGAAGCAATTGAGCTTTAGTTATACATTTATACACAGGTGTCAGTTGAATACTAACCCAATAATCTGCATATCCTCCAAACGTCTTGTCGCCATTTTTCCAGTTGCCATTGTAAGTACCACCTCTTGATAAAAGACCTTCTTTGCAAATATTCTCATCGCCTCGTCTGCAGTCATCGCATTCACCACAAGAATCGCACTGAGCACCGACACCAATACGATCACCAACGCGGATGTGCTTGACATCTTTGCCAACTCTTGTGCAAATACCAACAATTTCATGACCGACCACAGCAGGGAATTGAGTCTTTCCCCAGCCTTCACTCAATGTATGAATATCGCTACCACATACCCCGCAATGAGAGATAGCCATTTCGACATCTGTCTCTTCCCAAGTTTTCAAGGGCAACTCCATTTGTTTGAGTGGAGAATCTATGTAGTGGCATTGTTAATATGAACGTTCAAGTAAAGTACGAATGCCAATTTATGTACCTTTGGAAGTGGCAGCCCAACCAATGAATGTGTCTTTGTTGTTTGAAGCAGAAGGAGACATGCTTTGATTTATATTGAAAATTAGGATCAATGATATTAAAGAGAAGATTTCGCTGAGAGATCCTTGATGCTTTTATATGGATCTAGCCTCGAGGAAGAGAAATTAGGTCCCTTCATAAGTTAAAACTTAAAACCGGAACTATAGTGCTTTTAACTGCTAAATTTTAGTTTATGTAAGCAAGTTCAGGTCTCCTTGCTTGGGAATACACGGAAACAGTGAGTTGTTTACATAATACACATTGAAATGCAGCACATTTGCTCAAGAGATACCCCTCACTCTACTATCGGTTCTTATTATATCCGCGACAGCTCAGGGTTAGATACATTTCTAACCTTCCTACTGTTCAAATGACAGCTTGAACCGATAAGGCCCAGTAACGAAGATAAGCATATGTGCTATGTATGTCGTAGAATAATCAGTGACCAAAAGGGCATGGCTTGAATTTTGAAAATGTAAAAGCATTATGTAAGCCTGTACATTGTTGAGTTTTACAAGCTGAAACAGAAATAGCTTTAGTGTGCTTATTCCCATGGAATCGTGTATGTACCTTGATCTACTAGAGTCTGTAGCGTCAAGATTATACGATTCCAAGCAAGCTTTTAAATAGCTATGGATAGAACAAATTGAGCACTCAAAATTATACGCGAATTTTGAGGTGATAGACTTTAGATCAAAACTCTTTGTAATGTTGATCCAGCATGCTCTTATTAGTAGTGCAACAGCATACGAGATGTAGTTATCTATCTGGTTGCATTATTATTGACACTTTACATCTTTCTCGAGGTCATAGAACTGGACGCAACATGACAGCTAATCACAAAATTATAGATGAAGCTGACTGTATATAAACAGGTTTATTGTGGTATAATTGCTGCCCAGGAGTTCAGCTTGTACTCGTACTACAGTCTGTAGGTGTTTACAGTTTTTTCTTTGATTAAGCTTCACAACTTTCAATCCAAAAGTGATATCCTTTCACCTGGCTGGACACGGCTAGATCAGGAATCACATTTGCACCAATACTGTAAAGCATCTGGCGTCTGTTACATAAAACTTTCTGTAAATGTAGTGTTGCGTAGATGCTTCATAGTGTATTTCAATCAAGTAGAAAGTTGACGGTTTGGTAATCCAGGCTGTTTTGATTTATAGTATAACTTTTTTGTTGAAATACGCTTATTTATTCAATATTGTCCATGTGCTTTAGATTTCTATTTACAATTGACGATAGAAGAGATAACGATCTCCACATTAGCACCTCAACCAGTGTTCTTCGTTTATTTGCGTTGTTACCATCACAGTAACTTAACCAATTAATCAAAGATAACCTGTATAGTCGCCTCGGATATTCAACTTTGTGATAACTGCCCTGCATTACAAGATGTAAAATTCGTTTCTTGACATTTTTATATTACATAAGACTGGAGACCCGTTTCAGGTTTTGTTTGTTCGGTCTTTTGTTTTACGTAAACAACTTTCAAGAGCCCCACCAGGCTGTTCCGTCGATTCCCAGGTTGATATCGTGTCCCCTACTACATTGTGAATAGTGAATTGCATTTACCTGTATAATGAGCGCAATTCAAACTTGAAAGTATTCTAATAAAAGCGAGAGAATTTGAGGAGAAAGCCTCACGTTTGCGCTCGATTTTGAATATATATATATTATGACTAGCCGACCTATCTCGCTACGCTCGATGTCAGCGTCCCCCTGTGGGCTCTCGACAAAGACATTTTAAATCAGATATAATAAAATTTTGGTATATCAAGTAGATTTTAAACAGTATATTATTATTAGTAAGAAAAAAAGAAAGGTTATATTAGAGCCACCAGGAGGAAGCGAGGAGGTATCTCCCTCAGTATCCTTTTTGCTTACACTGATATCAAACGAAGTCTATTATTGGGATAATGCGAAAGAAAATTCAAATTTTATGCCATTTTCTGATAATAGAATTGTTATATCATTTGCTGCTGCTGATGCTCTTGATAATAAGATGGCGACATAAAGCTGGTCATAAGTAAATACAGGACTTGTGTAAGATATACAACGGCATTTTTAAGATATTGTCATTGCAAAAGACACCTATATAGGGAAAAACTCCTAATAAAACCAAATAAAAAAGGATTCAAGCTAATCGATTGTTCTTTCAAATTCATGATCCCCATTTAATCAGCATCGCAATCATTATTGTCATCAACAGAAAGGCATTTAGGTCAGCCAGCAACAATGCCGCCGCCAAAATTGATTCAAGCTCAGTATATTTTTTCTGTTCAAGATTGGATAGATTTTGTTCTTTTTCGACTTCTTCAATCTATTTTGTATTATTCGACTATATAAACTGTGATGATCACCCTACGCTTCCTAATACATTCTTGAAGTACTTTTCAAGGCGCTTCCAATGGTGCTAATTGTTATGGATGTTTCAACTGAAATTATTGAGCAGTTGGATAAAATATAAAATGAGGTTTTTAGCGGAAATAGCCATATTTTGCATATGAAAGCCTCATAAAAGTGGTTTCAGAGGTTGCTTTGGACCGAGAGAAACATTTTGATTTGATATATACCATAGTAAAAGTCTTCATTTTCAAGGTCAAAAATGCGATCGTTTGATTTTCGTAAAAAACCATGAGGTACCCCTCATGCTTTTTGGTCGATTTTTGGCCATGTTTTTTAGGTCCCAAAAAAGTCGGGCAAAGGGGTTAGGAAGCAAGCACTAGCTGAGAGAAGCTACTTGGCGCTATTTTGGAGGTCTGAAACGAACTCAAACGCGAGAAATCACAGCTCGAATATATCCAAACTTCGCTGTGTTTTGCAATTACTTGAGCAATACAAGGTGATGCAGGTATGTTGTCTGCTCAAACTGGAACCGCTCTCGTTAATACAGACGTGGAGCATCGTAAAGGACTTAGGTCCACTGTTACAGGTCGCTTATGGAGGTTTATCATCAGATTGCGGAAAGCTAAACCCCAAATTTCAGTATGTATCAGTAGGGTATTCAGCCAAATCATGATTTCCAAGAGCTAACAGATACACTTAACACACTTAATCCATTAATTCAAAACTACGCTACAAATACAGAATCGCCATTTGTGGTGCTTTTATCAAATAAACTCTAAATCACGCGTGATTTGTGACACAGTGATGTAGCTGTGCGCCAGAAGGTGTGAATTATTCAGTGACAAAACGAAGCTAATTACATTTAGAAACCAAATTATCAACTGAAAAAAATACTACATCTATTAAGCAAACTATAAATGTCAATAGCCACAAGTTTCAATCATAACATGTAAGGTTAGCAACATGCTCATGTGGTGATAATGACAAGTCAGTTGTCCTAAATACAACCTTACAAGCGTCACGAGCATGATCAAGCCATTTATGCTTTAATTAACTGTTAAGATTTGTTTCATTTATCATTTGTGTGTTTTATTGCTAAACACTCAAACTCTATCATACGTAATTGGTGTTACAACCGCAGCAACAAAATATAAGCCATAGATTAGAAAAATATGGCAATTTTTGCTTTTAAAGAATGGAAGGGGAGTTGCGTCCTCATGCTGATGAGGCATGTCAAAATAGATGATAGCATTCAATCAAAGGATTGAAACATATGTAACTCCCATGAATTCAAAATCTATCCAGTAGTCCGCTCAATGGCAATAAAAGATGCTATTGTATTGACGTGCTATACAGGCTGAGTGCATTTATCGCAAGTTCCGTGCCAACTTCTTTCTTTTGATCAGCTGCATCCCTCTTACTCTCCTGACGCACTCCTTCGTGGCATCTACATCTGGACCACTCAACTCCTCTGCACTGGAGAGCATGGATCTCAACTACTGTTTGTCCTTTTGATCCAATGCTTTCCAATTCAATAGTAACGGCCCAGTAGCTACAATACTAAGAACTGTGTCCAACTCATGCAAGGTTAATGCATCAGTAACGGCAGATGGTGAATTAGCAGCGATACGGCCGGATGTCTCTTTCATGTTGTAAATCTTTTCCTCCAACTTCACCACATCAATCTTGATTGGGGAGGGTGCTCTCATTCTTCATCGTCATCGTTGCTTCCTTTCTTTTCTACACACTACCAGAAAGAAGAGGGCCTGTATGAACTTTTTGTCCTAGTCATTATATAGTTGATACTATCTTCTTAAGCAGATTCTTCTCATTGATATTGCTTTGTCGAATCTCCTGACTGACAAAAATAATCAGATCTCTCGAACAATCTTAACAAGCACTTCCACTTTTGATAGCAATCACTTCTTCAAGTCTGTAATCAGCTTGGATGGCGTTTATTTTCAAAAAACAAATATAAATGGGTGTGATTAAACAGCTCAGAGATAAAATACATTTTCCCAGTGTTATGACGTTGCAGCATAATCATTTCGAAGAGAATAGGAAATATGAATCCTCATTTGACAAACTATGTTTTTATTCAGACCCTAATGATACTATTATATACAATAGATACACTGGTTGCAATAGCTTTTGAGGCGCTCGCTTTGGTTGAAAGACCAACGATCTTTTTTGCTTTCGTTATCATTGCCCAGTTTCCACCCAAATTTCTGATCTTGTTAGACGGTATCTCGCGCATGAAATTAAGTCTAGCTGATTCTCGTAGCACATTCTATAGTGATGGAGATTAGCAGCATGATCCTCAAATGACTTGCTGGTTTGTTCTTGCTGAAGCATTATTTGGCTGCAGCCTTGTAATGTGCAATGCCTATGCCAACTTTCCCTTCACACTTGAGAATTCCATATCAGCAGAGCAAAAGTATTCTAGTGTTGTGCACCTTCTGTCTAATTTCTGCCGCTATTTCAGCACCTATTGACAATTGTAAATCTTGCCATGTCGTAAATTTCCAATGCGCTCTCTCAAACGAATACGTATCGGGGAGTCAATCGTCTTGGCTCTCTTCTCTGAATCGATGCCAGTACCGAGTTCATTCCAATTCACATAGACACCATACTTCTCATCTTGCAATTCGTTTTTAGACCCATATTAAGGCTGCATGTATACAAACAAATACAATAAACATCTGCACCATGTGAACGTCCAATTAGTCATTTTTTTGTAACAGATATTTACCAATTTTTTATTTTTTTTAATTTTCAAGAATTGTTTGTGTGTTTACTTGTATTGCCAAAGGAATAGGATGAAATAAAAAAAAAAATGAAAAAGGGCATATCATAAGTTGTGTGATCGTAGTGTTTCGATAGAATAAGTACAAAGAGTTTGGGAGTAGCAGTAGCAGTTCATAGTTAATAGTATAACAGAAAAAAAAAAGAGAATTTACATATATAAACGGGGAAACGCGCGCGCGCGCGAGAGAGAGAGAGAGAGATAGACGAGTACAAGTAAGTTACAAAATATAGACACAGGATATTTGAAGTTATTTTAAATATCTCCAAGGAAGCCCTTCAAAATTCCATCGACACTATCGACAGCATCTGTTAACTTTCTCTTGAAATCCTTCTCGCCAGAATCATTATAGATGAGAAGATTGGGAGTATCATCGGGGATCTTTTCAAGAGCATCCTTGGTGGCCAGGTTCAAAATCTTGTCCTTGATGTACTTGGGTGTAACTTCACCTTCTTCCAAACTTAAGAAATAAGCGGCAAGACCAGCTACGTGAGGGGAAGCCATTGATGTACCAGAGATAGTATTTGTAGCATAGCGACTGCCTCTCCAGATGGACAGAATATTCAAACCAGGAGCAAACACATCTACACAAGAGCCATAATTGGAGAAGTAGGCACGCTCATCTTGGATAGTGGAGGCACCGACTGTGATGGCCAGCTCAGCTGCGGCAGGTGAATAATCACAAGCATCACGATTATCGTTACCAGCAGCAACAGCAAAGACGATACCAGAATCAACCGCACCGTTGACAGCAAGGTCCAATGATGGAGATTTGCCGCCTCCCAAACTCATATTGGCAACAGCGCCCTTGTATTTCTTGTTGTTCTTCTTGGCAGAGGCTGCTTCCTTGAGATGCTCAGTAGTGGCCCAGTCAACACCACGTACAACATCACTCATTGTACCACTACCATTGCTTCTCAAGACTTTAACAGCAACAGGTTGCGCTTTCTTGGCAATACCATAACGCTTACCAGCAATGGTGCCAGCACAATGGCTACCATGGCCATTTCCATCTTCATCACGATCACCACTAGGTACAGTATGGCCCCAAACTGCGCGACCATCAAAATCAATGTGATCTACATTGACACCAGTATCGATAACATAGACCTTCACACCTTCACCACCATCAGGGTTGTATTCGTACTTTTGATAATTCTTGAATGTGAGTGGATCAGCATGAGAGACACGAGAGAGACCCCAGGGAGCATTACGTTGCAATTCATTTGCATAAACCATAGAATCATGCTCTACAAAAGCAACCTGTGTCCCCATTGTTAGTAATGTTATCTCACGCTACATCATCGCTTAGCTTACATCGTCTGATTGGCGGATAGCCTCTAATACATGGTCGTCGAATCTACCAGCGTAACCCTTGAGGTTGGGGGTATCATAGACATGAGCAATACCAGCCTTGGCAACATGAGGATTCAACCAGTCAGTGATTTTGTAGTTATCATTCGCTTTTTCAGAGAGAGCGCTGATCCAAGAGGCATGCTCTTTGATTTCATGGGATCGCAGATTGTCCTTGAGTACTACAATATAGGAATTGGAAATCACCTCAGCATCAGGGGAAATGTACAAAGGAGCCATGTCATTAGTGGGGTCTTGATAAGAGAGAGGCTTTGCACTAGCCAAAGTGGCTACCATCAATGCACTGGCGATAAGACTAAGCTTCATTTTGGATATAAGAGAGTTTCTTGTTTGCTGTGAAAAAAAAAAAAAAAAGAAAAAGATAAGGTGTGTTGAAAATGGATAACAACTCTTGTATTTATACTAGTTTATCAGCATTGATTTGAATGCACGAAAGGGACGAATGACCACTGATTAGCAACAATGTGACCTTTTGAGTTCACCCTCCCCTTCCCCCCCACTCAAATGTATGACCCGATGATTCGCTCTACCAATGCATGATTTTGTTTGTATATTTCTAGTTTTAATTAACACTGTTGTGTGTCTGATAACCACAAACCTGATCACTCTCCAACATATTTAAACAAGACCCCAAACTCATTGCGCTTTATAGATTGGCCTGTGCTGTGCATTTATATACTCACTCTCTCACAGATTCCGATGTGATAGCTGAACCAATCAATCCATGGGGTGGTGATCTTTTGAAAATTCACACAATACACTAGATAACACCATTATGAGCCTTAATTACTTATCGTCATTATTGAAGGGCTCTCCAAGTAGCATGGTAATACATTAATTGGGCGTTCGGTACATCTATAGATGATGCCATTTTTACCTCAAAACTTGGCGCAACTTTCTAATGATAACTCACCCCTTTTTTCTGCGGTGAAACCAAGTGGTAGAGATAGCATCAACTGACAAACACTGCTTGGAGACCAATTATTTCACTGGAATAAAAGGTCTAATAAAAAACACTGGACTTCATTTGGGTCGAATGTCTCCAATTTGGAAATTTATACTCGTAGCGTAGATACACTTCTTCTCTTTTTACACCATGTCTTTTTTCATTTGGATTTCATGCGCATTTTAATTCAGCACCGATAACTCTGAGGAGATGTTGAGTACACAGAAAGATAGGTGGTAGAGTATAATCCAATGTTGGTTTGAAGATTGATTTCAAATCTGTGGGTTCGATGACTGCACCATCATAATCTCTAGTTCGTGTTGATGCCATTAAATGCCTGCCCAAAACCTTTACCCTGACCCTCTTTAGCAGCTAGTGCAGCCCTCAGCCCAGCTACTAACAGCATACACTTAGATTAGGATTGCATAGTAATATCGTTGCTAGAATATCTGCCAAATTGCTTTGGAAAAGAATGTTTAGTAATGTTGCACTCCACAAGTAGAGGCAAACATTCTAAATGCGATGCTAGTAATAGTAAAAAAAAAAAGCATTTTGCAGTTTATGTTGCAATTTTCCACATTTAAGTAGAGAGCGCAAGACAACACCTAATTTGTATGCCCTTATGACATTGTTCTGTCATAAGATTCCATCTAGAGATACATACAACGCATGGTAGCCATTTATTGCTACTTGCATGCTTATTTTACTATATTCACACTCGCAACATGTGTTGTATGTACTTATGGTTAATGAAGGCGATTTGTCGCAAATTTCGGTTGCACATTGTAGTTAATTATGCGATCATATAAAAAATGCTGGAAGCATATCAGCTACAGCTTTTGAGCCAGACGTTTTTCCAGAAACCAACATCAACATCATCGATAACCAAGCTCAGTCATGAGATGTTGTCCAAGAGGACAGTCATATTCATATGTGAGCTAAGAATCTCTATCTATTATCTGGACAGAACGACGAACGACGTTTGCTGCATCTCGACCATCTCTGAAGTAACGGGAGACAAAAAAAAAACGGTATACGAGGCCATGATTGATGAAAGAGCAGCATCAGATAGCAATAATTTTTATGCACGTGCCAAGGCACTCAAATATTCAAACTGAGAGAATGACAGAGTAGCACTTGAATCAAGGGGAAATGTCCACCTAAAATTGTGATCAGACTAAGGTGGGAAATGCTAACAATTGGGTTCAAGACGTCATTGAATGGGCGGCTTCTACCGTATAATCCCTCCTTGGAGCATAATATCACACAAGAAATGCCCCGCGCGAGCAACCTGATGTGCTTCGAGTAGGGATCGCCTTTTTACTAGGTATGCACGTATGACAAGTGCCTACCAGATTCGACAAAACTCCGTTTAGCAGCAAATATCAAAAGCAGGAAGCTGTAAAGGTGCTATTTCCACGTCTTTTCTCTTTTTCTCTTTTTTGTAACTTTTGTTTTACTTACACATTCTATCTCTAGCCATTTAATTGATATTCACATCCAACAGTGACTCAGTACCTCATCATACAGGCTCATTCAATGTTGTACACTAAGAAAAAGAAGAGCAAGTTAACGCTAAGGAAGCTCGCCAAACAACCGTACATTGGTGTTATTGAGACAACGATGTTATATCGTTCCGCTGACGATCCAAAGGAGCGCTTGATATCGGTAAGTCAATATGTGCATAAAGATATATATCGCTACTCAATTCGAAACGAGCCGATGGAAAGAAGCTCAAGCTTTTCGATATGAAAATGAAACATAGCCCATGAAAGATGTTAAATGGAGTATTAAAAACTTTTTTTATCCAATCAGGTATTTACTTTGTTTGTGGAAGAGCCATCAAGGCACTTGATTCTGATCCGATTCTATGAAGATTTTGAAGAGTTTGATAAAAGAGTATGTAGCAAATGTGTTCCTACAAAAAGATATGTGTTCTTATAATGACTGGCCTAGATTAAGTGTTACTACAAAAAGTGCAAGATCTCTCTACCGAAATTACGACAAGATCAGGAACAGCATGCAGTTGCCACGAGTAATGTGTCGCGGAGAAGCAGCATTAGTAGTAACCATAGCAACCATAGCAACGGCAGCTTCCGTCAAAAGCTGCTCTACAACTTTTCAAGGAAATCAAAGCACCTGCTCATCAGAAAAAGTAATTCAGATAATATCGAACGCTACTTACGTCATTGTGTGAACGATTTAAGCATTCAGTCGTGCTCCCTCTTCAAAGAGTTCCTTCAGCCTCAAAGGGATGAGGATAATGTTATACCAAAAGAGATGGTGCAATCTTTTGTAGAAGAACAACACGTGTCTCTACTGAATGCTATTGACAACAGCAGCAACAATAGCTTGAGTCAGCATAGAGACATTGTTAGTACATGCGGTCCAACTCCACCACCCGATAAACAACAACAGTTAACGCCACCGCCAGAGCATGACAACGCATCATTTTTATCCTACTCATCATTCTCTATCCCACCTCCACCATCACAACCACCTCAATCTTCAATACCGCCACAGAGGGACTTGTCAGACACAAGTGATATCACATCTTCATCATTTTCTTCTGATATTCCTGTTACAATACAAGACTTTCAGCTCATTAAGGTTATTGGAAGAGGTTGCATGGGCAAAGTAAGTTTGCTTAAATTTACACATCCGAGGAGTACAACCCTTTTTAATTACTAGTACTCCCCTCTTTCCCTGATGATCTTAGGTACTTTTGGTCCGACATCGAAGTTCCTCTCGTTTATTAGCATTGAAGGCGATTAGTAAGAAGGCTGTTGTTGAGCAAAGCCAAATCGTTCATATTAAAGCAGAGCAACAAATCTTGGCCGACATTGCATCTATTCATCACCCCTTTCTGATCAAATTACACTACTCTTTTCAAGACATGAACCAGCTCTTTCTTGTGCTAGACTATCATGTCGGAGGTGACCTGGCAACTCAACTTCGGATTAACCACAGTTTACCACCTGATAGATGCAGGTTCTACACCGCGGAGATCATACTAGGCATACAGGAACTACATCGCTTGGGCATCCTATACAGGTACAGGAGTATTATTATGCGGGGGCATGTTAAGAAATGACTAATTTTTTACATTGATTGTGTAGAGATTTGAAGCCTGAAAACATCCTACTCACTGCTGATGGTCATCTGGTATTGACCGATTTTGGACTCTCAAAGCAATTCTATGATGGGCTGAGTTTGGAGGAACAGAGGACAGATACATTCTGTGGTACAGCTGAATACTTGGCACCTGAAATATTAAACGAGCAACCTTATTCTTACGAAGTTGATTACTGGAGTATGGGAACCATTTTATTCGAAATGCTGACAGGAATCACACCGTTTTGGGCAGAGAATCGGGACGACATGTACAAGCGTATTCGACAAGATCCTCTTCAGTTTCCTGAGTTCATCGACATCGAAACAGCCGACTTTATTGCACGTTTGCTGAAGCGAGACCCGAAAAGACGACTTGGAAGTGGCCCTGACGGACCTATCCGAGTGCGTTCCGATCCGTATTTTGAATTTATTGATTGGAACTTGATTTACACAAAACGAATCAGACCACCCTACATACCAAACTTGTACTCAGAGACTGATTTTAGTCACTTTGATAGTGAATTCCTGCGGTTAACACCAAGGCTATCACCTGTTGGAAGCGATTACATGCTGAGCCAAAGTTTGGATCGCGCTTTTGAAGGATACTCGTACACCAATCGCGAAGATACTGGATTCGACTCGCCTCCATCTGAACTATACAGTATGTCAGAACCACCTCCGCCTGTTACTTTGTTGGACACTGCCATGGGATCTCTGGACGAAGGCGCTGGAGATAGAGGCACTCGATATTTTGTATATAATGGAAGCGATGATGTGATACCCTATGATGATTATGCTGACAGCATCGTCAGCAGCAGCGACGACATTCGATCCATCGATTTTGTTCGACATCAAAGCAATAGTTTTCAGCGATACAGTGGCGATGGCGAGGAGGATGATGTAGATACGTATTATCCTCCTAGACCGGCTAGGCCTGTTACTAGAAGTAATGTATCAGTTACACCACCACCACCTTCAATTTCGACGGATACTGCAGCGGTACCGACAACACTACATGATCAGGCTAATTTAGATAATTCCTCTTCATCAATCTAATTTTTATATCTATCCCCTATTAATTTATGGCACATTTTTATGGCTTTTTATGTACCTGATGCAAATCGTTTTTCTTTATTTGTAATACATTTATTTCGGCAGGTCTCGAACGCATTTTAATTAGAAAACAACAAAGACCCTTAAAATTGCAAAGCAAAAACAAACAAACAAGCAAACAAACATAGGCACTTGATGCCATTGGTGCTCTCTCCTCTAATTGCACAACTCTGCTTTTGGGTATTACGCTACACTAATAAATGTCGCTAATATTCTTGACTGTTGCTTTGTAGCCTCACTATTACCATGCTATGATTCGTCGGTGTAAGCTTGCGATGCAGCAATATTTAAGGTCTCCCAAAAGCTGATGGCTAATTGCCGCTGAAGCATTGTATGAATTGTATAGCCAAGATCTATCAAATACATACCTATTTTGCTTTGCGAAAGTTATTCAGCGCCGGGATCTTGAAATCATGCTCTTTTCCCTAAAAGCTGGTGCCATTTATATATGAACACCACTACCATATGCTGAATTTTTCTAACTGCTTACTACCGCCTAAAAATTCTCCATAATCCACTTTTAACTCTGTATCTAAATTCTTTACGATGCTCCACGTCTGTACTAACGAGAGCGGTTCCAGTTTGAGCAGACAACATACCTGCATCACCTTGTATTGCTCAAGTAATTGCAAAACACAGCGAAGTTTGGATATATTCGAGCTGTGATTTCTCGCGTTTGAGTTCGTTTCAGACCTCCAAAATAGCGCCAAGTAGCTTCTCTCAGCTAGTGCTTGCTTCCTAACCCCTTTGCCCGACTTTTTTGGGACCTAAAAAACATGGCCAAAAATTGATCAAAAACCATGAGGGGTACCTCATGGTTTTCATCGAAAATTAAACAATCGCGGTTTCCACCTCCAAAATGAAGACTTTTACTATGGTATATATCAAATCAAAATGTTTCTCTCGATCCAAAGCAGCCCTGGAAACTTTATTTATACCACTTTCATATGTAAAAACTCGACATTTTCGCCAAAAACCTTATTTCATATTTTCGGAAATTCCTCAATGAGTTTTGTCAAGATACCTATTTTAATTGGCACCATAGGATGCGCAGTGAAAAGTATTCCAGATATGCATTAAGGAGTAAGGGGTGATCTTCGCAATTTATATAGTCGAATCCTTCAAAATAGGTCGAATTGGGTTGAGAAAGTTCGAAAACAAGCAAATCAGAACAGAATCATGAGCGGACATTAAAACGATTTTGGCTGTTGGATGGTGGTAATTGATGTTTTAGACGCTTATAAAAAGGGAAATGTAAATTGAAAACTGCTCTAATCTATTCTGGCTACTTTTTGCGTCTGTTGCATACTATTGTTCTATTTGATAGAATAAATTGTTGTAAATTGTCTACGCAAATGCGTATTTTAGTGCGAAATGCAGAATTGTTATCTTATTCAAGATAGCATATGACGCTGTGCTTTGAATGCAAAATCCAGCGCTTTCTAATGTAGGAAAAAGTAATCGCTTTCAGAGCATTGTCAAACTGACTGAACTGATAGAAATCTGCTTTTGTTTTGCTTATGAAGTATTTTATATAAGCATTAAAGAGTTGGAGGTTGAAAAGTTGAACCCTTTTTGATAAACGCTATCAAAGCAATTTGGAATGAACTCAACTTGAAATCATATGCATGTTATGGTCAAACGATAAACCTTTGAAATCGGCGTTTCAACTAGTATAGACTATCATAAAAAGCTTTAAACTTGTAGAACCCTTTCTTGTTTCCATATTTCATTTTTTCTTCTTATCTAAACAGATTGATAAAGAAGGATGGCTGCTCAATTATACGAAACTACAAGTGGACGTCTCTTTCACGCAGGCGCTGTTGCTGTGATTACAGTAGGGTAAATACTTTTCTTTCAGAATATCATGATAACTACGCATGCTGATACACATTGACCATCTAGTTTACCTGCTCGCGGTAAAACTCATGCCTCTCGATCCTTGTGTCGCTACATGCGTTGGTTAGGCGTTTCTACCAAGGTATTTAGTGTAGGCAACTATCGCAGAGAGAGATTGGGCTCGTTGTCTGAAGAATGGTTTGACCCACGTAAGTCGTTGAGAATATGAGAGTGAATGATGTTGATAACAGTGTGCTGGTAGATAATGACAAGGCTACAGAGACTCGCCTGCAAGTTGCTGATGAGTGTCTAGGTGATCTCATCAACTGGCTTCAAACAGGAGGTGGCCAAGTGGCTATTTTCGATGGCAATAACGTAACGGAAGCTAGAAGAAAACAGATCCACGACAAACTGCTGGATAATGACATTCATGTAACATTCCCCCTTAAGTAGATGCAGTACTAATGTATTAACACTACTTTGATAGCCATTATTCTTGGAGTTTATCTGCAACAAACCTGATATCATTTTAGCCAATATTAGAAGTGTCAAAATTTCGTCCCCAGATGTGAGTATATGAGACAATCCAAATGGCACTAGTCTAACCCAGAGTTTAGTATGTTGGATGGGATCCTGAGGAAGCTGTGAAAGATTACAAGGTATGCTGTATAAAAAAACTGGCCATTTTCTTTGTGCTTATTTGTTTTCTTTGGTTAGCGTCGTATTAAACAACATGAGGACAACTATGAAACAATCACAGACACAACACTCCCCTTTGTCAAAAACATGAATGCTGGCGAGCAGTTTATAGTGAACAATGTCATAGGCTATTTGCAGGTAGGTAGAGAGAGAGAGAGAGAGAGGCCAGATATAGAGCATTATCATATGGATACTGATGTGTTTTTTTTTCTGGTGTAGTCTCGTATAGTGTATTATCTCATGAATCTTCACATTCAACGTCGTACCATTTATTTCGCACGGGTAAATATCACGCTGTAATAGGCTTACTGAAAGAGTCAATCTGATTTAATTTACTTTTACATGTGTAGTCTGGTCCTTCTCTCAACGACAATTCATACAAAGCAGATGCAAATCTCTCTGTCGAGGGCGAAAAGTATGCTGAGAAGCTAACAGAGTTTATGTTGGCTTATCATGATCAAAAAAATGCCACTAGAACAGCTGATGAAGAACGCCCCTTGACTGTAAGTAGACAGCATAAGCGTCTTGGTTGGTTACTGACATACACGCAAAATATAGGTTTGGACATCGACACAAAAGAAATCGTTGGAGACTGCAATTCCATTCATCAATGCCGGTATTCCTGTCAGACAGCAATCTGTATTGAACCAGCTAAATCCAGGAGAGTCAGATGGATTATCTCCTGCTGAGGTCAAGGAAAAGTTTCCCGAAGAGATTGCAAAAGTAAAGGAGAACCCATATCGCCATAGATATCCACGTGCTGAGGTAGTGTAGTACAAATTGTCAGAAAATAACGTTATATTAACTGTTCCGCTTCTTACCACAGTCGTACCACGATTTAGCAGTGAGATTGGAATCTGTCATTATGGAGCTTGAGCGTGAAAAGAATGATGTGCTGATCATTGCTCACGAAACAGTGCTGCGCTGTTTATATGCCTACTTGTTTGATAGACCTGCTTCTGTAAGTTGGATGAGTGGGTTTGCTTTATACGGTGCTCATCATTCTGTTTTACGTAGGAAATTCCAACAATTTCAATTCCAAGATCATGCCTCATAGAAATTACACCCTCAGCATACGGCTGCAAAGAATCTCGTATGGAGATCTTGTAATTCAAGACAGTTTTACCGTAGACCAACAGTTATGCACTTTTCTTTTATACATAAATTACATTTGATATCTTTATTCGATAGCATATATGGTTTTAAAATGTAAATCTATGTCCTCTGCGTTGCATATAATCGTACTTTGATCTACATGCCCAATCCGAACGGCCCGTGTTCAGTTCTTTTGCTACCAGATGCCATATGCTCTCACCCGTTTTTGTATCCTGCAATTTGTACTTTTGAACCACTTCCAATAACTGCATCTCTTCTTCATATGTCCATGCTCCTTTTGTAAGGTTGGGTTGCAGAGAGTAGAGCCATCTTGTTCGGCATTGCTTTGATGATCGTCCGTGAACCATCTTGGCCACTTGCGCCCATGAGGGGACATGTCCATGCCCATTTTCATATTTGCTGACAGCGAATTCCAGTATTTTGTCTTCTTCTTCAGTCCATGCTTTACGTTCTCTGTCGTCTTGATCCTCTTCATGAGAGTTCCACCATCGCATGATTTGCTCAGGGGTGCGATTTGGCAAATAGGTCATACGAATTGCTGTCCAGTCATGTCCAAACATCTCAACGCCATCCCGGATCAACGCTTTCTCTGAATCTGACAGTCGTTGGTTTTTTGATATCTGCGTTTGGTCTTGTGTGAATTGCAGCACGCGATGCCATCGATAAACACATTGTCGTTTACTGCGATTTGGCATATTCTGTACAACTTGCTCCCAGTTGGAAGTGCCATGTTCAGCAACCAATGCTGTTAATAGGTTGTCTTCTTGCTCTGTCCAAGTGCCTTTCTTGATATTCTTGATAGACAAATGCTCTTCGTATTGATATCTACATTGCCGAACATCTCTTCCTGGCAGCTGCTTGGCTATCTTTCTCCAATCCCCTTGATCCAGAATCTGCTTCTTCTCCAGCTGTTTATTGACTATCAGCTCCAACGCTGACAGCTCCTCTTTGCTCCATGGACCAGGCTGATGCAGATCGATGCTATGGTTTGATGTCTTTCGCACCGTATACTCGCCTTTCAACCATGCACAGACTAGTTTACCCACTCGCACTCTCCAGGCAGGCCCGTTTTCTGTCTTGTCTTTCTTTATCTGATCTCCATACAACAATACAAACTCTTTATCGTCTCGTACAGTCGACCAAAATTTACGATAGCAGATCAGTCGATTTCTACCAGGCAACCCCTCCGCAATCTTTACAAAGTTACCCTCGCATTGGTGTACTCGCTCCCAAAATAGTCTGGTTTCTTCGTCTGACCAAGGGCCCTTATTCATGCCGGGGTCCAGCTCAGTCAGCCAGACTCGACTGCACTGCTCGGGCGTTCTGCCTCGTATACCTTCAGCTACTTTGTTCCAATCTTGGCCAAATACAATAGTGCGTCTCAGCAAAAGATCCAATTCATGTTCTGTCCATTTTTCTTTCTTGATAGCAGGGTCTAGCTTTGAACGATAGTGGTTGCGAATCTGAATCCGTGTACGCCAAGGCAGATAGACTGACGCTATCTTGGCCCATGATGACTGTCCAAACTCTGCAATGCCTTTTAAGACAAGCTCATCCTCTTGTGCTGTCCATTTTTTGCTTGTGTATGACTTCAGCTTATCGCCTGTAGCAGTTGACGGCGGTCTACTAGACCATTCATTGGCGATACGTCGAGATGATCGATGCGGCAAAAAGTCTCTACGGATGGCCAGCCATTTGCCCTTCCCCAGACTCTCGACACCCTGTTGTAATAGCTCTTTCTCGGCTCTGCTGAAAGGACCATGCTTCAATTCAGGGTCAAGTGTATCCGTCCAGCGTGCTCTGCATTGGTTGGGTGTTCGAGTTGGTAGGCAGTGCTCTGCAACATCATTCCAATTCTTGCCATTATGCTTTACGTAGTTTAGTAGCATTGCGTCCTCCCATGGTAGCCATTTGCTTGTTTGTTGCGATGCAAAATGTCGAAAAGAAAGAGATTGGCATGTAATAGGCACAGGCTTTAGTAACTTGAAATATGAAGAGGTATATTTTCGAGCAAAGGCAGCCAGCATAGCATGTCTTTATGTTGATAATGTAAGAGATGGAGAAAAGGTGTCAAATCAAAATTTTGCCACAGGATGCACTACACAGGAACAAGCCCAGCTGACAATTCGTCTAGCAACGTCGCGCGACTGGCTCGTTTATTCTCAAAACTGGACGGAATTGCACATGAACTTCTTTATTTGCATACCATAAATTTTCATGTTTCAGCAGTTCAAAAACATATTTCCTAATGCTTCGTTGAATATACGTTCTATAACCGAATCTGTCGGGTAAAGTGCGCAACATGTGCTCAAATGAACATAGACTAAATGTCTGTCGTAGAATTAACAATACCGAGTGGAATCGTGGAGTGGAAAGGTATTTCGTTCAACTGGGCTAGTTGTAGTATGTTGAACCAACAACACACCCACATAGATTAGATGCGCTTCGAAACGAATTTCAGAACCTCAACTCGATATTTTCAAACCGGCAAGATTACAGGTAAACTCATAGCATACACTTTGGTTTCGCAACAATTGACACCAGCATGGATAGTGACACACTCTCCTCACAGCATTCAGCATCCAACAAAGAGGAAGCATCCCTTTCCATCAGAAATCTAAAGGCAACAGGACGAATGATAGACAAGCTGCAGGAAGGTTGGGATGGTATTCACAAATCAAATCTGGACAATTTCGAGAAGGCTCAAGTAAGTAAACGCAGGGTAACAGTTTTGAATAGCATATTAACTTGTTGCAGGTAGCAGATATTAAATTACGGCAGTTGAAACGAGCAGGTGAACTCCATTACAAAGTATGCGAGACAATGGAGCATGTCGAGGATAATATCACCGAGATTCATTCAGATTTAAAGACGATACAGGCATCAGCAGGTAAGCCATTAAAACATCCGGCAGAGATCGCTTTATACTGAGAGATTATTTAGCCAATCTAATGCATGTGCTCGAAAAACTTGAGGAGCAAATAGATCAAGTATCTGTAGACTATGAAAAGCAGCAATTTGAGCTGTGGAAACAAGAGCAAGAAAAGGCTTTGATGGACGAAATGTCCAATAGAAGGTATGCTTGCCTGATTGCATACAAACATAGAAAAATAACAGAATTAAACAGACAATTGCTGCGAGAGAAAGAGGCCAAACTAAAACAGCAGTATGAAGAGTATGATAATATACAGCAAAAGAAACGAGTGGAGCTTTATGAGGCCAATTTCAATGCAGAGCTTGAGGATTACAGAAGAAGACGAGAAACTGAGGTATCGTCGCTATACTCTCGTGAGTAGTTGTGTGTATTTGCCACATATGACAAAGGCACTCATATAATGAATATAGATCAGAGCAATGCAACTGCTGATAGCACAGCATCACTGGATCAAGTGAAATTGCAAGAAACAGGCGAGGATCTGGATCAGTTTTTGGGCGATACTACTGAACGTACACCTTTGACATTGGAGAAACAGCTCCAGACGAAAAAGACCAAAAAAGAGACATCCAAGACAAAAGTTATATCACAGTCAGTGTATTCATCCAGCGATGAGGACGACAGCAAGATTGAGATATTAGCAGACGAGGATTACGAAGATTTATAAACATTTACTTTATTTTTGGTTTATTGGATTTAAGTTATGATATTTTGTAGAGAAATTTACACGTTGAAGAAAAGGAGAGGGGAAGGGAAAAGATATAGTTGTACTTTGAAGCATATACACAAGGCGAAAATATTAAGAAGGGGGCTGTTGTTGTTGCTGCTGCTGTTGTGGCGATGATTGAGCCGACTGCTGCTGCTGCTGCTGTTGAGCTGCTGCTTGTTGTTGCTGCTGCAACTGTAGTGCTTGCAATCTTTGTAATTGTTGTTGTGCCAGCAAGGCAGCCTGCAAATTTTGTACATTATTGAGTGGGCTCTGTTGCTGTTGTTGTTGTTGCGCAGGACTCGTTGCAGTTGTCGAAGCTGCGGTCGTGGTGCCATTGGCAGCAGCAGCAGCAGCTACAGCAGCATTTCTCATTTGCAGTTGTGCTAGATAACGTTGCAATTGGAGTTGCTGAGTGGCTGGTAACTGAGAAATGGGATAACCAATTTGGGCTAATTGAGCAGCAAACATGAGAGGATTTGCTTGTAATTGAGCTGCAATAGCTGCTTGCTGTTGAGCTTGCGATTGAGGAGATGATGATTGGGATTGTGTGGCAGGCCGTGCTGCTTGAGGGCTGGATTGTGGGACAGCAGGTGATGCCATTTGAGACACTTGCTGGGCAACTGTTTCTGCGGATGGTGTTGGTGTGTGGATTTCTGTAGGATGCTCCGTTAGATAACTAAGAACCTGTAGAATCATACTTATAAATACTTACGTTGTTGTGTTTGCTGTTGCTGTTGCTGTTGCTGTTGTTGAGCTGCTAGTAGTTGCGCTTGAGCCTGAGCCTGTACTTGAGCCTGAGCCTGTACTTGAGCCTGAGCCTGCTGCAACTGCAACTGTTGTTGCAACTGAGCTTGCTGTTGTTGTTGAAGAGCATTAGCGAATCTTTGGATGGTGGCAGGCGTAGGGGGGCGTGTTTGTCCACCACCAGCAGCATTTTGTTGCTGTTGAACTTGCTGTTGTGCAGCAGCCATGAGCACCATTTGTTGTTGCCTAAGCAACTGAAGCTGGGCAGCCGGGTATCTATTGAGTGGCAGACCTGCAGCCACATTAGGAGCCTGCTGTGCGATGGGAAGTTGTGGTCTAGCAGTGGCAGCGGGGGCAGCATTTTGGGTTGCAGGAGAAACAGACGAAGCAGCAGCGGCAGCAGCGGCAGCAGCACGAGCTTGAGCGGCAGCAGAGGAAGCGACAGACATTGGAGGCCTGACCTGTGCTTGATTAGCAGGGTTAGTGGCATTAACAACGCCAGTGGTGCTTGCTGTAGCAGGACGAGATGCGCCATTGGGAGCTTGAGAACCCAAACTCATGGCCGCTGATAGCTGTCTTTGTTCTAGAACAGCTTGTGCCATTTGCCTTTCTCTTTGTGCTTTGTGCAAACTCATTTCCATTGCTGAAGGCAAACGTTGGCCGGCGCTATTTGTACCATGTACCTCAATAGTAGGACGTGGAGGAGCAGTCGTGGTTGCAGATTGCCTCTCGGCCTCTTCTCGCTTCTTTTGTGTCTTTTTGATAGCCTCGAAAATATTGTGCTGTCGCTGGCGTTTATGAGGAGAGTCGAAACGAATAGTGGTTGGGCGTCGTTGCAGTTCTCGCTTCAATTTGGATGTGTAAGCGCTGCTCACTTGTCCAGACAATGAAGTGAGATTGTTACGTTTCCATCGATCATGGCATTCCCAAGGTGTACGCTTTTCACCAGTCAGTGGCATACGAACAGAATTCAATGCATCACAGATCAAATCCCAATTGAAAGAGTACTCTATGATGAATGAAATCAAGCATACATCATCATCTTCAGACCAATGAGTCGATGCATGTTGAAAGTTGGAAGGTGGCTGAGGTGTCGATGGTTGTTGAGCAGGCAAATCACGATTTCTTTTGTGTGCAAACAAAGCTAGATTGCAAGCAATTAGACTATACTCTTTGACCTCAATACATGTATTCAACTTACGAGAAACAAGAGGCGTAGAATCATATCTTTCATGTCGAGGCAATTGCTTGATATCATCCTTACTCTCGTCGTAAATGATAATAGGGTTGCCGTCAATATCTCTTTTGCGACTGTAACGTTGTGGTGCTTTGAGGGAAATCTGCTTTGCGATAAGTTTACTGATTGGTGTGATTTTACTATACTCTAATTCATTAAAGTAAGTGTCCTCGAAATGTGGGTCTGGTGGTCCAAATGTCAGCAGCTCAGGAAACAAGGCACTCGCATCAAACTCTTCCATGTCTTCAATTGACAGTGTCATGATGGGCATATTGGGATCAAAGTTGATGAAGCGATCTCTGTATTCTTGAATGACGTTGGGAGAAAGCGTAGCAGGAACAACGGGAGGTGTGGTAGGCATAGCTGCTGTTTCTTCGCCAATAGGTTCCATCTTTTCATCAACAGTTGATTCAGGCAAAAGTTCAAGCGTATCATTGCTGGCTCCCATCATTGCATCCGATTTTAGCGGTTCTTCTGATGCAGTTGCTGTAGTTGTATCCTCCATTAATTCAGGTTCGTCAGCAATAGTATCGCTGGTGATGGGTGTTGCATTTTGATCAAGCATCTCCATCTTTTCGGTCGAATTATCACTGACAGGAAAGGGTATCATTGTCTCAGGGTTTACTGAAATGGATGTCTCGTCATTTAAGGTGGGTGCTGTAGAGAGATTTTGTTCCACAATAGGTAAAGTGCACACATCTTCGTCTTCAATGATGGATGAAGGCGAATTCTTTGATATGGGGGTCGTAGGCAGATCATCTACTATTGGAGTTGTAGGTAGACTTTTAGGTTCTGGGATTCGAGTCTTTATACACACAGTTGCTTTATCATCCGCTTGGTGCCAATCTAGTACAGCTCTTGCTGTTATATATGCCATTGCCATTTTCCACTTTCTCTCTTCCTTGAAGTCTGTGTGCATCCATTTCATTTCATCAATCATTAAATCCCAATGTGTTTTAGGTCTTGATGGAGCCTTGTGTCTCTTCAATTGCCGTAAGCTCCACGAATTCGTTCTTTTCAGAGCCTCTATTTTCTGGATTGTTTTGACAGATTTCAATTCATCCCTTGCAAGCATCCAGTCATGCGTTGTCAATGTCTTGCGGGCTGTTTGTAGCTGTTTGTAGAGTGGGAAATGAGTAGCATGTAACTTCCAAGCATATAAATCGATGCCTTCGTATTCGTTTTTTGGTGAGTTTGATGATAATTTAATTCCATTATAGACAAGGGTACTCGTATTAGGAGCTTTTGTATCAATATATGGTGTGTTGGTGAGGCTCACAGTCTTTCGTACTGCTGGGCGTGGTTGCTGTGGATGAGTAAATGCCGTTTTTGTTCCTGGTGAAGCTAATAAATCCTTCTGATCGAGGCTAGACAGTATTTCATCTACACTCTTGGGACGGACAGCGCCACTGACGCCTCTAGTAACCATTCTCACAGGAGGAGGAGGGATTCTTCGATTCAATGATTTTGTGTTGCTATTTGGAGAATCATCTGCTGTTGGCTGTGGCGATGGTGATTCTTGCTTTAGTTTGACATTGCTGATTTTGTTTCTATCCAAGTAGACACCCCATTTATCTTGATCTATTTGGGTCACATCACCGCCTTTCAGGAAGGAAATAACATGGTCCGTTTCATCAGAATCCCCTTCACCTGTCATTGTAAATAGCTCTTTCAATAAAAGTTCCCTATGTGTGACAATAGTTCTAAGACGCAAAGATTTTCTCTAGTCAAAATAACAAGCATTGAGGAATTTTCAGACTACTTTACCTAATTTTCTTCTTTCGTTCTTCTTCGGCATTGTTTCGTAGCTTTTGTAATGATTTCTAATAGATTATTTTAGTAGATACTTTATATTTCATACTCTGCGAAATTACCAGTTGCGATTCCTTCGTATTATTTTCCATTTCCTTGTTTTAACGGTGTTTGGTAGTAGCAAGCAGCAAAAAAAGAGGATAAGAAGGGGTCTTATTTCTTTTCTCTATATCAAAGATGGAGGAATTGAGTCTTTATACAATAAGAGAAGAGAACGCGCTATTTCCTAAACGAAAAAAAAAAAAAAAAAAAAAAAAAAATTGGTAAATAATTTCTTTTTTCTTTTTAGATTCATGGTATCACCACACGCCAAATATTGATTTGAGGGAGAAAAAGTGTGGACGCAGGGTTCTTGAGGAGAAGTTATGACACTAAGCCACTACCATTGCATTTTGTACAAATTTATTGCGCTTTCATGTGTGTTTGCTTTCGAAATGTGTCATTTGATCTATTTCTTTACTACGGATTCATATCTTGAAAATATTGTATATCCTGGTCGTAAATTGGAACCAAATTTTTTCTGTACCGGGTCCACACCGTTTCTCCTCAACAAAATTTGTAGGGTGCGATTTAATAAGATACCCACGAAATCCTTACAGTGTTGCTGACTGGATATATGTAAAAAATATAAGGCTATGTATACTCACGATTTATCTAGCAAAAGAGCTGTGTTTTATCTACAAGTTTGTTTTTTTTATATGTAACAATTGTTGGCTCGTTTCCTTTTTTTAAGAGGAAAATGAAAAGAAAATGGAACATCAGTGCTCTATACACTACTACTTAATTAACTGCGTCATGCCAATAAAATAGCCTCGTTATTCGAGTCACGAAAACACTGAGAAACACTAGTTTTTTATCGAAAACAAACCAAAATCTACTGTGAATGACAGAGACTCACTTGCATTCGTTTTTTACCGTTATGAATGCACAGCTATCGCTCTCACTGCTTCAACGTTAGAACAAATTGACTTTTAAGGAAATATTCGGAGTATAAATAAACAATCTCCGTCTGACCAATCAAATGCATGCGTTATTGGGATACTGTGAGCGATCCGAGCTTCCCTCGTCATCCAAGGTCACTCCACTGAGATTAGGGATTAATGATAGAATTAATTTATTTATTTTCTTTCATGTGAAAAAAGATATATATGCAAGTTTTTGATGATTGTGGTTTTCTATACAAGTAGATTTTTGGTTTCATTTAAAATCGTTTAAAGGTAAGATGCCTGAAAAGAAAAAGGGATCAGATTAATATCACCGACATCTTTGAGTATGTTTCATCGATGTAAACTTACGCGTCTGCTAGCTTCTTCGAGATCGCTGTCAGTAAGCTTGTTCTTATCATCGTTATTAGGGATTTCGTAGACACCACCCAAGATTACGAAAGGATGATAGGCGAAGAGGTTGAGATCACTCATTTCAGTGACACCAGAAAGTACGAGAACGGGATCAATTTCAGATGAAATACCAGCAACAATACTAAAAAGCAACCGCTAAAGTTAGATTCCACATGATCAAGAAACATTTCCTGACGTAAGCTTACTCAGTATCCATACGATCACCGATAATACAGGTTTCCAAACGAGACAAGCCAAGAACACGTTGTGCATAACGCATGATCAAAGCAGAAGGCTTACCACAGAAGAAAGCTTTAGTCTTAGTGACTAATTCAACACAAGCGGTGAAAGCACCGGTAGCAGGAATCTTACGGCCCTTGGAATCGAGAGTCTCTACATCTAAATTGGTGGAAATCAACTTGGCACCTTGTTGAACAAGTTGAACGGCCTTGGTCAACTTTTCAAAGTTGTAGACAGCAGATTCACCCAAAACAACATAGTCAGGATTGTGATCATTCATGAAGAAACCCTTGTCGTAGAGAGCATAAGCAAGACCAGGTTCACCAATGACATAACAGGTTCCACCCTAATTCACATGTGAGCTTAATGCATTGTGGCATTTCCCACTGAAAAATCTAAACTTACCTCGGGCATTTGAGAGTGAAGGAAGTAGGCGGTAGCTTGACCAGATGTGAAGAAATGATCTTCGGTAACATCAATACCAAGACGTTGAAGCTTTTGCTGCAATTCACGAGGAGTGGGAGCAGAGTTGTTGGTCAAGAAGAGATACTTTTTGTTATTCTTCTCCAAGAATTCAACAAATTCCTTAGCACCAGGCAATAAATTGGAGCCCTATGTTGCAATATGTAAATGCACTGTTCCCGCTTTGTGGCACCACATTGTCAAATAATACTTTACGTGATAGATAACACCATCCATATCAATAATGAAGCCCTTCTTTTGGCGAATGGCTTCAAGACGCTCGTTGTGGAGAACGGGATCACGGAACAAAGCCCAATCTCTAGCAGAGATGCCATCCTCATTAGCATGAGGAGTAACAGTACCTGGTTGAGGTTGTTGTTGTTGCTGTTGTTGACCGAGAGAGGCAGCGAAAGAAGCGGCCAAATCACGAGTTTCATCAGCAGAAGCAAACTCAGTGGTGGAAGTGTTGATAGTAGGAGTAGTCATCTTTTCAATTGTAGAAAATCAGAAAGAAAAAGCGCATTTTGCCTGTATCCCATTTGGTTTTATAAGTGTCTTGTAATTTTTTTAAACTGACTCAAAAACGTGTTTCTCATGTGCTGGGGTTTATTTTCATCATCTTGTTTTTGGTTTAGTTGTAATGATTTGAAATGCCTCTGGATTTTAGCGTCTACAAATGCTTCATCTGATGTCATTTCTGATAACAATCTGTACACTATTATCTGTTGACTACCTGTAATCAGGCATCGTTGCTGAAGAACGCACATTGAAGAAAAATATAGAAATTTGCTTATCAGACTGCTAATCTTTTCTTTTCGTATTATCAGGCCATCATTCTGGCGTCTTTGATACTTTCATGACCACAACAAATGGAATAACCATACACATTGGATGATGGCTCCGATAAATAATTTCTATTAAACACCTGAGCACGGGAGATGTGAAGCTTATCCAAATCAGATCACAGATGGATAATGATATAGTCTTCCATGAATTATAACATTTCAATAAAAAATATTGGTGCGTGCTCGTTATGCGTAAACCGGCTAAAGAAGATTGGTTTCGAGTCGATGTAATAGACGAGGACTAACTGGCAAAAAACTTCATAAGCTAATTTACATATGTAATTTGGTTTTTAATCATCATTTATCATCAATCAGAGGTTATCGAGTCCGCGAACTCGAGCCCCTCATCTTTCAAACCAAATATTTATCACGATTTCCGATATTTCTAAATCAAGAAGCTTCCTGTGCAATGTTGGATATGCAGCTGATTAGGTAGTTATGTGCGATGCTAATGTGGGTTAAGTTCCATATGTGAATGGCTCTAATAATGATGCCATATAACGGATTGGATGTCGATCAGAACTCTAGTAGTTATGCAAGCTTCGAAGGATTTATGTAGATGTACTGAAGGCGGTAGAAAAGTATGACAAAATCAATGCTTCTAATATGTTATTGTAACGGTATGAACAGCTATTATGTTCGAAAGCAGTAATAAAGATTTGATTAATCAATCCTTTAATAATGCGAGTACTTATGCTTCGGGTGGCTCTCTGCCTTCGCTTCGCTTCGGTGAGAACGAGCCTGCGAAGAGGCAGCTCGCGCTACCCATTGCCCTTGCGTATCTTATCAAAATACTGCTACTTTCATTTTGACCCTCCACTTACACATGAAAACCCTTCATATTATCTGTGGATCTGATTCTTAGATGCTGCTCTACATCCATATACATGTAGCTACTTTATATACGGGCAAGCAGTATACTGGTATTTCCCCTTTTTAATTCCTTAGTGTCCCTGATACAGCAAAATCTGGGTGCATGTGAGCTGCATTTTCTCGCGTTAAAATCCGTTTTAGATCGCTAGAATAGCACCAAACAATTGCTCTCATCTGGCAGTTAGTTTATGACGCCTTTTCTCAACTTTTTGGAGACCAAAAAAGCATGAGGGGTACCTCATGGTTTTCATCGAAAATCATGGCTTTCTCCGCTAAAGATCACAAAATAGCAGAAAAAGGTGGGATTTCCAGTAATGGAGGTTCCACGCTGGATTCTAGCCATAATCCAGGCAACAACATTTTTACCTATGCATCACTTTTTCAAGATATCAAGAGTCAGAAGCGAACAACCTTCAACATTGCTCCAGCTATCGACAACAACGCCTCCACAACTGGAAGACCTTTGGACTACAACTCAACATTCGTAGAAGCTAAAGATGACTACTCTCTCGTCATTGATTGTTCTCAATTTGCTGGGATGGTATTCAGAGAGAAGCCCTTGCTCACTTGTCTTCGAGATCACTATTCCAAAGGATTGGGAATTAGAACACGTATGGTTGGTAAGAACCATAAGGTCATTGAAATCAGCTTTCCAAGCCAGGAAGATTGCGAGGAGGCTCTGAACAAGGAACTCGTCTTACAAGGGAAGATAATTAAGGTGAACAAGACTTTGGACAAAAATGCCAACGTCCTCAGAGTAGGTGTCTCTGAGCTTCCTTACAAAACTGAAGAAGTTTTGAAGCCTTTGATGGTGGAGACCTTCCAAAAATATGGGGACATTCTCAATCTTGGTCTTAGCTATACCAAAGATGGTAATTGGTTTACTGGTCGCGGTTTTGTCACTCTAAATAGGGACAAATTAAAAAGTTACGCAGCTGAACTTACCCCTCAGATCCAGTTTGGGAATTTCAAGGAGAAGCTACATTTGGTTTGGAGTAACATGAACCCAATTTGTCAAGACTGTCACACTGATGATCATATCAAAGCTGATTGTCCTCGAACAAAGAGGAAAGCATGTTTCCGATGCGGAAGCTTGGAACATCTCATCGCCGGGTGCCCATTAGCCTCATGGAATAGAGTGAAGAAAACTAATGATCACAACAAACAAGGTCAACATCGCCAGCAAGAAAATGTTGCCCAACCTAAACCTATAGGTAGAAAGGTTGACCTTTTAGATCTAATGAATGTGGACCCTCCTAAGTACCTCAACCACAAGAAGGGGAAAAGGAAGGCTACATCCCTTTCGTCGAAATCCACAAGCGATGATGAGGCACTTTCCAAGGGGGAAGTATCTTCAGCTGACGAGCCAGAGTCTGATTCCGACGCTGAAAATGTCCAAGAACATTCAACCAACTTGAACGACAGCAAGGATATGCAAATGGAAGAGGAAGGTGACTCCCATGATGGTGAATCTCAGGGTGATGAATCTCAGGTTGCTGAATCCGAGGGTCGGGAATCTCAGGCAGGTAGCCTCTCACAAGAGGATGCTCCCAAGGGACATCTCGAGGAGGAGGAGGACAATAATTCCTTTGGTGATGAGGAGTATGTCAAGTCTACTAGCGAGGAAGATAGCGATGGGGAATCTCCTAAGGTTGTTCAGGACAATGTAAGTAGATATAACTTGCGACACTCTGGGCACAAGAACAGTGTAGATGAACCTACTGAGGAACATCCCAAGCGATCTATCGATGAACTGGCTTCTACCCCTCCAGTAGAGGACAGCGAAGGTCCTAGCAAAAAGCAGATTAAACAGCAAGAGACTAACACCAGAGACGAAATGGTCTTGGATGGATCATCAACCACAAACACATTATAATTAATTAATGAGTAACACCAACCAAACTAGAAACATTAACATTAGGATAGGTTCCCTCAATTGCAGGAACCTCAACAAACAATATAACACCAATACAACAAATAGGTTCATCACCTACCTTAAGCAACAAAAGTTAAATATATTACTATGCCAGGAAACAAATATTCCTCACCATTCCTTTGAAAACATTACAACAAATTTTAAATATCAATTCCAGTACCACCAAGCAATTTGGACTGGACAATGTGGAGTCATCAACTTCAATCCATCACTGAATCTACAACAAATCAAAATACTAGAAGACGGAAGAGTTATTCTGACCAAGCTATCACTGGTTAACAATAACATGCCTCCAATTTACATTTTAAATATCTATGCTCACTCTGATGACTACAGGGCGAGAAATCACTTGTTCGACCAAATCATCAGTCTCCTCAACTCCATGCCTGAGATTATCCCTTCTCTCATCATAGCCGGTGACATGAACTGCTGCTTCGACTCCACAAGCCAACGCTATAATCGCCAAACTGGAAAGCCCAAAAGTTTCATTGAATTTTTGAACACTCACTTTTCAGATTGCTTGAACCAACCAAATTTACCGCATGATTACACTTTTAGACGTGGATCGTCTCTTTCCACTCTCGACTATATGTTTGCAGGCCGCGATGCTTTCTTCAAAATGAGTGATGGTGATATCACATTTCTCTCTCAAGAATGGACAGACCATGCCTTGTTAACCAAGACATACACTACCGGCATGACTAACTGTGGTAAAGGTGTTTGGCGGGCCAACCCCTTTCTTGCGAAGAACCCTATCTACGTCAACAAATTAAACACTGCTATCTCTAACTACGTTGAAACCAAATTAGATCCTAACCTATCTGCTCAAGAAAAATGGGACCTGATTAAGAAGAAAACTAAGCAAGTTACTCTAAACTTCAGCCGCACTCACTGTTCATGGAGGAAAGCTAAAATCAAGAAGTTACAGAGCGAGAGGAACAATTTGCTACGTAGGTACCGGGATGATTCCGTCTGTCTTAATCTTTTGCTTTCTCCTGTCGAAAAGGAGCTATCCCAACTCCAACAAGAGATAGTTGACGTCCAACGACTGAGAGCAGGACAGAGATGGCACGAGAAGAGTGAAAAGTCTCCAGGTTACATCAAGCAAACATTAGCGGAAAAGGCATCCAAGCGAACAATCTCTAGCCTAAAGCATCCTACTTCCGGGGAACAATGCTTGGAAACTAGTACTAAACTTGACGCTGCCAAAGTCTTTTATCAAGACCTATACACCGAGGAAGAAATTGATCTCAATTGTGTGGAAAGAATGCTACAATATATCGACAAAACAATTCCAGCTGAGGACTCACAGGACATCATTGAAGACATACCTTACGAAGATATCATTCAAGGATCTCGAAGAACGCCAAATGGTAGTAGTCCGGGCCTGGATGGTATATGTTACGAAATTTTGCACCTTCTAGTAATCAACCCGAGCTGTGAAGCGATTATTCTGCAAGTGTTCAACGATGCTTTATCACTAGGCAAATTCCCAAAATCCTGGCAGGAATCATGTATTGTGCTGCTACCAAAGAAAGGGGATATGACTGACCTTGGCAACTACCGTCCAATAACCCTAATAGCCTCTGATTGCAAAGTGTTTACCAGACTACTTAACTCACGAGTCATAGAGGTAGCAAGTGACCTTATAGGCCCCCACCAAAGTGGTTTCCTGAGAGGTAGATACATTGGAGACCATGGGATGTCGTTGAAAGTGATTGTAGACAATGCACGTGAAGCAAGATGGAACAATTCTGGAGAATTTGTCGAATATGCTGGGATTATGCTGGACAACGCCAAAGCGTATGATAGGGTACATCCCCAGTATCTATCCAAGGTCCTAGTGAAGTTTGGTTTCCCAAAACAGTTTGTCCAATGCATCTGCAAGTTATTCTTCGACAACTCCATTTACGTGAATGTCAATGGCTTTTTAACAGATCCTATCGAGCAAAGACGCGGCATCAGACAAGGAGACAGTATATCACCAATGCTGTTCAACTTGGCTATTGAACCATTTCTGCTATCTGTGACCAAAAGTACAACTATCTCGGGGTATAGTCTCCAGCACGTCAAGCCTATAAGCAAGAGAACAAACAGTTGGGTGGCTCCTCCTCCATTGAAAGTACTCGCATATGCGGATGATGTCCTGACTTTCGTCAAGTCTCGGGCAGAACTTCTTGATCTGGAAGAAAGATTGAGAACTTACAACAAGGCCTCGAACTCCAAGATCAACTACGACAAGTCCGTGGCCTTCCCTCTTCATGGTGGAAGAATGACAAGCCAAACTGGTGGCCTAATTCAAGATCATGCAACAAACAATCTCAAAATCAAATGGTATGATTCTACGTCTACAGGATTTATAAAATACCTAGGTTATCCAATTTGGTTCTGCAATCAACAAAGAGACGTATACATCGCTAAACTGCTGGGTGATATCACTACTGCTGTTGAAAGGTTTGCAGCACGACAAGTCTCACTGTACGGCAGAGCGAATATTGCCAACACTATGATATTGTCCAAACTATGGCATGTCATTCGGATCGTTTCCCTGCCCAAAGACACAGTCAAGAAGATAACCTCAATCATTTATCAGTTTGTAATGTCTGGCCTGTATCCACCTCTAAAAGGCAACTCCCTCTTCCTACCAAGGTACCAAGGCGGTTTAGGACTGATTGATTTAATGGCGCAACAAAAGGTTCTGCAATTCAGATACCTGAACGCTTTGCTGACAGAAAACAGCAACAACATACCTGGTCTCACGTATAGGCTACTAGTGGATTATTTGAAGATGTCGCACGACTCACCATCGCACATAATCCCTATACTGTTCCAAACGGCTAGATACAAAAACCAGTTAAGAGGCTTCCACCCTTATCACATGATGTTCGAGGCAATAGATACTTATATGAAGCATTCCCCATTCTCACTCGCTTGGTCTGTCAAACCAAATGTCATGACACTCTTGTCATTGCCAGTGCTGGAAATTCTTGATTTTGTCAATGAGGAAGTAGCCATGGGATACACAAGCAGAGACTCGATCAGGGAGAGTAAAGTTCATGACTTCTTCCACGTCAACCAGGAAACAAGTACTCTGCAGATAAAGCCAAGAAGTGAATGCAAGCGACCAAACATTAGGAATCAGATAGAAAGAGGTCTTCTCTGTGGGAACATCAGATTGGAATCTTTCGCGGATACAAGAAACATGGAGGCTCATCTAGACCTACAGCCTTTCGTTGCTATGCTTAACTACCAAGACCGCCCAATGCTTCAAATGTCAAACAAATACTTGAGATCAATTATGCTGGACATACACAACCTTGATGTTGGACGAAAGTTCAATCATACCATCAGCAAAGTCCAGTGGAAACACTTCTATCATCAAAACATGCATCACTCTGTGAGAAATGTCTGGTATAGAATGATACACAAGCAATGCCCGAGCAAATCAGCTCTTTTCGTTCGACGCCTGAGGAACGTCGAAGATGACAAATGTACCCTCTGCAATGATACTGAAGATGCCAAACATCTCATGGTTAGCTGCCCCCACAAAAACGACATTTGGTCCAACATCTTTGAACAATTCCTGGGATACCCCAAGGTTGCTAATCCACAACAAGTATACCAATCTATAGTTAACTTAAACCTGAAGCAATATTTCATCTACAACCTCGATATCAAGATTACAATCTTCGACCTGTTTGCTGCCACCATTCGTATGATATGGAGATTCCACCTCCTACAAACATTCGAAGGAGTGCCATTTGATACCAACAATGTCACCAACAAGATCAGTGCTGAAGTGATGAGATTGTCAGATCTCAAGCATCAATATTAGTAGTAGCTTTAATAGATTTTATATATGGCAAGTCACTTTGTTACATACACTTGTCCATCATTTGATGTTCTTATTATAATGTATATTTACTAATAAATAAGCAACATCCATACAAAAAAAAAATTTTCATCGAAAATCAAACAATCGCATTTTTCACCTTGAAAATGAAGACTTTTACCATGGTATATATTGAATCAAAATGTTCCTATCAATCTAACGTAACCTCTGCAATCACTTTTATAAGGCTTTCATATGCAAAATATGGCTATTTTCGCTAAAACCTCATTTCAAATTTTATTGGATTGCTCAGTAAGTTCATTCAAAACACTTATTACAGTTAGCACCATTGGAAGTGCCTTGAAAAGTACTTCAAGAATGTATTAGGAAGCGAAGGGTGATCATCACAGTTTATATAGTCGAATAATACAAAATAGATTGAAGAAGTCGAAAAAAGACAAAATCTATCCAATCTTGAACAGAAAAAATATACTGAGCTTGAATCAATTTTGGCGGCGGCATTGTTGCTGGCTGACCTAAATGCCTTTCTGTTGATGACAATAATGATTGTGATACTGATTAAATGGGGATCATGGGATTAAAAGGACAATTGCTTAGCCTAAATACTTTTTTTGGGGAGTTTCGCCTCATAAAGATGTCTTTTGCAATGACAATATCTCAAAAAATTCGCTGTAGATCTTACACAAGTCCTGTATTTACTTATGACCAGCTTTATGTCGCATCTTATTAAGAGCATCAGCAGCAGTGAATGATATGACAATTCTATTATCAGAAAATGGCGATTGTGATGTACAAATGCTGCATAAAATTTGAAATTTTTTTCACATTGTTGTCCCAAAAATAGGCTTTGTTTGATATCAGTGTAAGCAAAAAGGATGCTGAGGGAGATACCTCCTCGCTTCCTCCTGGTGGCTCTAATATAACCTTTCTTTTTTTCTTACTAATAATAATATATTGTTTAAAATTTACTTGATATACCAAAATTTTATTATATCTGATTTAAAATGTCTTTGTCGAGAGCCCAGGACGACAGCGACATCGAGCGTAGCGAGATAGATCGGTTAGTGCTTTTATGCAATAAAGATGGGAAACTGGTTCCTCGATTGATACACACTTAAGTTTGCCCTTGAACACAGAATTGTTCTTCAAATTTTTCATGCAAAAGTGATTTGCTATTGTGAATGCAAACACATAAAGCTCATCAGGGCCATAAAGTTGTATGATATAAACACTTTTATTTATAGGCATTAATAGAATTACATAATAGAAAAACTCAAATTTGAAATAGGCAAATTTGACCAAACTAATCCAACAAATCGACGCCAGCTATTGGAAAAACAACTTAGTCATTGATTTAATAGCCATTAGGTCATCTGTAACACTTACATTGGAACAAAAGACATGCCATCATGACCGAAACCATTCCTAAACCATTCAAGTTGGCAAATGTAATAGTTGAAAGCGCAAAAAACACGACAGCATTCAAAATACGAGAGATGCAAATGACATAGGACTTCCAGCTGCCTATAAGTTTGCAAGAAGCGGATTAGTATAATGCATGATGCAGGCGTAAGCTCATTTTTACCTCTATTCACCGGTGTATTAATGAGTTTGATGAATGCATTGAAGCAAAGGATCAAACCAGCAGTGATCCAAAAAATCTTGATAGAGAACAATGGATCATCACAGCCACTACTATGCCCAGATCCTTCAGCTGGGGCAAATTCCGCAGCCAGTGACAGCACCGTATAATGTGCGCTTTCCACGGTGCTACTATTAGTTGCACTAGAAGCAGCAGCCGCATGCTCTGTTGTAGCACACTTTTGGAGGGTCTCTTGGAAAGCAGCGTCGGTATCAATACCATTGTTATGAGATGTGATAATTTCAGTCAATGCGATACCAAAAGCTACTTGAAATAGATGAAGAGGAAAATGGAGATACATCCACAGTTGACTAAGTTTGGTTTCACTCATCATCTCGCCGCTGAAATCGTCAAAGTACATGAAGAAGTAGCAAAAAATAATAGTGACACCAAACACATTACAAGCGATAACACTTGATGTAAAGTTTGATTCAGCAACCATCTTGATGAATCCCATGCAGTTTTCACCGAGAATGATAAGCGTGAAAAGACCAAAGCGCTCACCTAGATGACTAGCAGCTAATGATACACGACTGTTGCCTTGCAAGTAGACGTGAACGATGATTTCCATACCTATACTAATGTACCAAAGAGCATATCTTTTAGTCATATCTGCCTGGGATTGGTATAGTAAGGACACTCCCCACATAGCAATGGAGATGGCGCTGGCAGCAACATAAGCACCCAAAGGTCTGCGAGATGATTTGAAATGAGCACCAAGAGAGACAATGAAGATGACAGCATATTCAAACAATACAACAGCTTTCATGATGATATAGCCAATGATGAACCATTTGGGTTCTGCTTCAAATTTGAGTTTGTCACTGGAACCAGCCATAAGGACTATGTGGTGTCTTTGTGAATAAGTGAAGAGGGTAATGGAGTGGATGAAAACTTACTTAGGCCACAGAGTTCAATAATCTTATAAATATGATGAGCAACGTCTGCAAAACAGTGTTAGCTGCGTCATGTGAGGCAAAGCATCATGAGCTTACCTTGTCTGTCGTAGCGAGACGAGTACAAGGCACTGGAACACCATGTCCACCACATCACAACAAACCATGCAGCGTATGTGTTGAGAGTTGCGATACTGTTGATATGCACGGAATGTGTGAACTGACTATAGACATTTACATATCAGTATTACTCTAAATGTTATATGCATAGTGCATAGCTTACCTGAGCCAGCCGACATAAAACACATCACCTAACAGTTCCACCCAAGTAGCCGAGGTTTCTTCGCCAATTTCGTCAGATAAATCCGGATCAGGAACCGCAAAAATGGCTCTTCTCTTGTTATGATGAACATGATGAACGATAGGAATGAATTGGACCTGTACATAGACGTTATCATTCAAATCTAACAGCAAATCCGTAGGCGAATGATTAGTGTGAGGATGCGTTTTAGGAGCCTCAGAAAAGTTGCCAGAATCCGACTTTTTGAAGGCGCCTGAGCCATGCTTTTCGCTCACTGGCTTTTCGTTCACTGGCTTTTCAGTGCTGCTAGTGTTGGTGGTTTTGTCAGACGAAAATGTGTTTGACTTTTCACCTAAATCAAACGAACTTTCTATTGTACATTAGCAGAAAGTTAGTACCATGCGCTACAGTGGCTCATGTCTATAGCATACTTGAGGAATCACTGAATAGGTCGCTTTTTGCCGAAGCTAATTGGGCTCTCATTTTGACAGTTTTATGTACTTTGACTGAGAAATCTCTATGAGTTCTCTCCAAAAAATCAATAAAATCATCCGTATCTTTGAAGCGTGCGAACTCTTCCTTCTCTGCGGGCGTGAGTTGCAACTACAAAAGTGTCAATTAGAAGAATAGTTGTTGCAAGTCGTTACATTCTGCCTTACAGGTTTCTCCAGTGTCGCAATCTGATCATCATTAAATTTAAAGTCTTGATCACCCACCAAATGACGAAAATGCATTGCTACAAAACACGGTTGAGTATTGATTCACGTATTGCTTGAGCAATGTTGCGTACTTAATCTGACTCTAACATCCTCGCTATAGAGAGTATCAGTATAGCCAAACAACACAGGAATATGAAGCATATTTACACAATTGGCTCGTCTGTCATGTTATTGACATCCTTGACAGATGCAATAGACTCTGGATGGTGCTCATTCCAATCAGTTTTTTCGGCTTCGTAAGCCTCAGTACGTTTTTGATGAAGCTGAAATTCCTTCAAGGGATGCAAAAGGACATCACCAATGGTTTCAGTACCATGTCTACGAAGAGGCTTTCCAGTAGGGTCATGAAGAGGGGCCACCACCTCATGTTCATTGGTATGGATACGGACCCCAGATCGTATAGAAGCAGCACCAGCACCACCTGATCTGTTACTGATATAACTTTCATTCGCCATTTGATGATTAGCAGTATAAGAGGGTCTGCGATCACCAGCATTGCTTCTTTCAGAGGTTGCACTGAGATTAGATCTGTTACTGATATAGCCAGCTTCCAAAGCTACTTCATCATCCGGTTGCAGTGATTGCCTCTGTCTTCCACCAGTGCCACGATACCCAAATGCCGGAGCTTGATATCCTCTATTTTGGGCCATGAAGGGTAAAATTAACTTGGTATATAGATGTAAATGTCTCTACAGTTGGTATATATGAAAGTATAATAATGTTGCTTTTTTAGTCAAATAAATCTAAAAGGTCTCTAGCGAAATAGAAGGAAAAGAAAGATGTTATATACTAATCTCCAAAATCAAGGGGAAAAGAGAAAAGAGGGAAAAAAAAAGAATAAACAAAAGGCCATCAATATTAAACTTTTCCTCGGTTTCCATCATTTTATAGTAATCTTGGTGCTTGCAAAGCACAGCGTTCAAACAGAGTGTTAGGTAACTTGATTAAGCAAATCAAAGGTTGTACACGGCGCTAAAATTGATTTGCGACCCGAATATTTGATTTTATTGACGACGATGATGCTGCTCATCTCTGGTAGATCCCTATTAAAGGAAAGCCCGGTTTGTTGTTATTATTTGTTGGTACAAACCTCTCTCAAGGCTAAAAAGATCTTCACTGAGACATCTTGTATTCACAGAGCATCGAAAAAAAGATGGCGGATCAACTGATACATGTGGCAATACCATACATCTGAACAAGTCGACGGAATCCAGACAAGGTTACGAGTGGCAGTGCACCTGTTGTAATGTAACTGTGCCCATCTACAAAGTTGTCTGCCTTCAAAAGAGGCATTGAGTGAAGAGTACAAAAGAAAAACAGGTACATGAAGATCTCAAATTAGTCTTTCGTTCGTGCTACCCAAAAAGTGCTACGCTAATTACAAACGCAATTCCAATGGATGCGAATAGTTTAGCGGACAAGGTGCGCATTTCATCCTATAAATATAAATTACCAAAATTGATTCATTTCAAGATGCATCATTAGAGTAGTACACTACATAGTTTGCCAGTGGTGTAAACATAAGATCCCAGGAACTATTCCCATATGCAATCTTATTCAACCAAACAATTCATGATTAATTACAAACATCAAAAGGACGCCAGGCCATTCAAGTACCTCACTCATGGGCGATGTCGAGTGATACAGGTACGATAGCATCGATCGACGGGTGCCTGGGTGCAAACTTAAATATGTATGTCCACCAAACATCGCAAGCTGAATGAGTTTTATATGCCTTCCTAGGTTGAGCTGGTTGAATAGTCCTCTTCATATGAATATATACTTGGCTTATATGCATTCAAACACGCCTTGTATACTAGTTTTTTGTTGCATATCGCGCGCCAACTACTTTAGTTATAGTATTAAAGTATTCATTGCGTAAGCGATATCGTATAAACACAATGACAAAGTGCGATATGTATTTCTTCTATGCAAGTCTCACAGACACAGTGGAATGGAAACTGTCGATGTGCGCTCTCCAAAGGGCTACCGTATAAATTGAGTGCTAGAACAGCTCAAGCGAGGCTTTGAAAAACATTTTACTCAAAGCACGGGAACTCTTACACTAAACCTTAGTACTGAAGCTGTCAAGCTAGTCCCAAAATCTTCGGAACAGCCTCTAGGCCAAGAAAGCACAGGTTTGACACTGGGCTACTAAAATTATTCTGATATTATTAACATTAGAAGAGAAGAGAAAGTCGTTCTTGAAGTGACGAATACAATCGAGACGTTGATATTGCACGTCCTTATGAGCAATAAGAAGCTTTACCCGACCTGTTACGGCCACTTGTAACGAGTAAAAATGCCAATCTGAGCATTTTTATGGCTAGTATGATGAACAACCATTACTTTAAACGAGCCTTTCGACACTTCGGGTGGTTTCCTGACCTACGTTCAAACGGCTTGCGCTGCCGTGGGCCTTTGGCAAATACGGCAAAATTAATAGGGCTAAAATGTTAGAATCTTGATTGTTGATTGATAAAAAATCACTAATCATATGAACATTTATGCTTCGGATGGTTCTTTACCTTCTCTTCACTTCGGTGAGAGCCAACCTACAAGCAGCAGCTCGAACTTCTAATTGCCCTTGCGTATCTTATTATAATATTACAGTAGTCGCTCTATATAAGGCTACTTTTTTGGCGAGGTTTTTTTAGCCTTATTGCCCGCATAACCTTAACTGGCGCGCGTGACTTCTGTCAAAAAAGTCGTGCGCGTAGAATCTATTACTATAATAGTTGATCAAATAAATCAACTTGATACCTCCCCAGTAACATTCATTTATCTGTTTATTTTACTTCTATTGAACGTAATATCCTATCATGTGCCTTAATCAAAGATCAAGAGATCGCCTCACAATCGAGCAAAAGTATCGCATTATTATGCACAACATGCACTTTCCTAATCTGACGCAAATGCAACTCGGTCAATGGGCTCAAAAGGAATTCAACCTTCATCACTCAGTCAAGCAAAAAACTGTATCGAACGTCTTGAATTCACAGGACAAGGTGATCAAAGCTTACGAAGGAGGAAATTTGAAGGGAAAAAGCAGCAGAGCCTTGACGATGCCACAATTGGACAATGACATTTTGGAGTACATTCAAGCCATGAATGCAAAATCTCTTCCTGTCAATCGTGGAACTATTGCAGCTTTTGCAAAAGTAGTCGCACACAGAAAGTACCGCATGCATGAATTGCCAAAGAATAAGCAAATCCATTTCTCAGATGGATGGCTAACCGATGTTTTCAAGAGAATTGGTGTCAAGTCAAGACATTTATATGGTGAAAAAAGCTCAGTCGACTTAACATCATCTAAGATTGTCGAAGAACTCAGAAAGATTGAAGAATTGTTGGAGCCATATGATCCCAAAGATATTCTCAACTTTGATGAAACTGGCTTATACTACGAGCAACAACCAACTCGCACCATTTGTCAGGAACCTTTAGGTGGTTCAAGAAAAAGCAAGAACCGATTCACAGTTGGACTAATCACCAACTATGATGGATCCTATAAAGGGCACCCCATTGTAATTGGGAAACGAAAGACACCAAAGGCAGCAAACAAAAAACCTGCTTTGTACAGAAGAACCACCAACATCGGGCAATCCCATTACGTGGAGTACCATTCATCTCCCAATGCATGGATGAACACCGACATCTTTAGGAAGTACGTAAAACGTTTGAATGCGTCTTTCGTTTACGCCGGAAGAAAAGTTGCTCTCTTGGTTGACAATGCTTCAGTGCATAAATTGAAAGAAGAATTCAGCAATATTAAGTTGATTTTCCTTCCAGCAAACACAACAAGCAAGTTGCAGCCTTTGGATGCCGGTAAATCAACAAATTTCATTGATATACGTACTCATCTCTAATCACACACTCGATAGGAATCATTGCGAACTTCAAGGCTCAGTTTCGTTGGCACCAATACTACAGGGCAGTGAACAAGTATCTTGCTGGGGTAAGCCTTGATCTTACCGAGGAATACAGAATGGATGAGGTGGATGCTCTGTATTTTCTTGCTGATTCTTGGATCAAAGTTAAGCCTCAAACAATCCAAAATTGCTGGGATCATACGAAGATCCTTGATTTTAAGTTTGCTCAGAGACAGAGAGTCGACTCGGAGGATGTACTCCCATCTTTCGAGCTACCTTTAGACGATGATCTAGTCAGCCAGTTGAACGAAATCATCCCTGAACTTCCTGGAAACAGAAGTAATGATGGGGTTCAATTGGTAACTGAAGTAAACGACTTGGATCTAAATGCAGATGAGTCTGATGCAATCGTTTTTAATCCCGTGATTGTTGAATTTGAGGATGGCGATGATGTTACCCATGGATCACAAGAGCTTGAGGTAGAGGAAGAACCAGTAGAGATTTACGATGTTGATACGAAGGAGATAAGAGAGAAGTTGAAGCATGCGTATGAAACTATCTTGTACCATACCATCCCAATGGATGAAAAAGAAAAGTCTATGCTGAAAACTATCCGTAGGAATCTGAACGATATCAGATCGGAGGAAGTAGCAGAGAAAAATCAAACAGATTTACGTGATTATTTTGTTTAAATGTGTTATTTTTCAATAAAAGCTATATATTTTTTATTATCTGATTGGCCTTAAATTCAATCTCAGCGATCACCACTATGAAATAAGGCTAAAATTTTTAGAATCTGTAGCCTTATATAAAATTAGGCTATTAAGGCTAAATAGCTGGTAAAAAAAAAAAACCTGAAAAATTTCAGCCTTATTCCCCGCATAGCCTTATATAGGACGGCCTTATATAGAGCGACTACTGTACTACGTTCATGTTGACCTTCCACTTACACATGAAAACCCTTCATATTATCTGAGGATCTGATTCTTATGTAATGCTCTACATCCATATACACGTAGCTACTTTATATACGGGCAAGCAGTGTACTGGTAATTCCCCTTTTTATTCCTTAGTGTCCCTGATATAGCAAAACCTGGGCGCATTTGAGCTGCGTTTTCTTACGTTCATGGCCGTTTTAGGTGGTCAGAATAGTACCAAACAATTGCTCTCATCTAACACTTACTTCCTGACACCTTTGCTCAACTTTTTGGGGATCAAAAAAACATGACCGAAAATCGACCAAAAACCATGAGGGGTACCTTATGGTTTTCAGTGAAAACCAATCGATCGCACTTTTGACCTCAAAAATGAAAACTTTTACTATAGTATATCTTGAGTCAAAATGTTTCTCTCGATTCAAAGCAACTTCTGAAACCACTTAAATGAGGTTTTCATATGCAAAATTTTGACTTTTTGGTCAGAAACCAATTTTCATAAATTGCTCAATAAGTTTATTCAAAACATCTCTATTACTTGTTACCATTGGAAGCGCCTTGAAAGGCACTCCAAGAAAGCTTAAAGAAGCAGAGGATGATCATCATATTTTATATAGTCGAATCTGCAAAAATAGTTAAATCGAGTCCAAAACCATCAAGATTTGGCCAATCTGGAACATACTATGAGTCTGAGTTGGAATTAGTTTTGGCTTGTGGAGCCAGCTGGAAAACTCAATGCCCTTTTCATAAGGCAATACAGTAGTAAATGCCCTTGAAGCGTATGAAAAGTAGGTGGCAGGTCATAGAACTATCGTTTATAATGATATTTTATTGCATTCTATATCATTCATAAGGATAGTTTCTTGCATTCTATATTTAATAACGTTAGTCTGGACATTGATGATTCATGGGTTGGATAGCATGTCTGCAGTAAGTAATGAAATCTCTGAGGCTCGAGCCGTTGTTCAAATAAAATGCTTACAGCATTGAGCAGAGGAAAGAGGGTAGAAATAACAGTGGCTTTTGTTGATTGATTGTAAAATCATTATTCACATATGAGCCAGGCCAGACAGATGCCTTGAAGCTCAGGTTCCTTGTTAGGGTTGTAAAATGTCTAAGGACTGAACATTTATTATAATATGATGATATACAAATTCTATCGTGTTAAACGTATGTTTCAGAGCAAGGGCTTGCTTGGATGTAATCTGTGTATTAACGATTGCAAAAAGAGACTTGAATATGTTCGTGGTCATTAAGAATATATAAAATTTATTTCTAGTATTTGATGGAGAAAAAAATGGGAAATACAGTAGATACAAAAAGAGGAAGATTTCCACCCTTTTAAGAGATATTTATATGAAAGTGAGATATGTAAAATTAATATGTGGATTGAGGAACAGGTATGTAAAATAAGGTAGAGATGGTGTTGCAGTAGTTGAATGGTTCCAGACGAGTAAAGCGTTTACCATTGCTTGCGTTCCCAACGATGATCATATTTTTGGTTCAAGGCAATTAATTTGACTTGTTCACCATCCTTAATTTCTTGCCATGGGTGAGGGTTAGCTTTGTGATTCCAGGCGACATCAGGAGCTCTAATAGCACGGGCGCTAAAGAAGACAGCACCGGAAAGAGCAACACCGAGAATACCGACGATAGGATACACCTCAGGCTTTCTTGAGGCTTTGAGGAAAGAAGAGAGAGCGGTCATTGTTGTTGTTATTGTCTAGAGTATAGAATAGTATATGGATCAGATCAAACAATGGCAGAAAATGATAGCAGTATTTATACAAATCAAAAGGCTTGGAAAAAAATCACACCACAAAACATAAAGTGCATGTTGGTTCCTGACAGGAAACCATATATTACTGCTTTCATCAAATGACAATGGCGACAATAGATATAAATCACAGGCAGTGTTAGGTTTATTTTTGTATTATCGAACGATTTAATATTTCAGTGGCCTGATATTTTCTCTCCATCCAGCAAACAATTTCTATAAAAAGTACTATTGTGCCACTTGAGCTTTAACGTCTATTGGTTGATTGCACAAACACACCAGTTTTTTTTTGAAATTTTGCGGGGGGCAAGATAACGTTTCCCAGCCATCCCGTATTCCAAATCTAGCGCAAAGATTGCAGGAATATTCTCTAGTGCTGTCAGAGCCCAGTCTTCGCGTGTAGTCGTACTTGAAGATATGGCATTCTCTAAAGAATTCAAGAGTGTTCACTATTGCAATGTCGCTTTGTTGTACTGTGGCATGAGTGCCACACGTAAAAATTACCGTGCAGTCTTCAATTACCTCATCTAAAAAGTTGAAATCGTCGTTCATCATGAAAAAGGCATTTCTACTGTACATTCGATTTTCCTACTAATATTCAGTGTAGCTTTTTATATTTTGACACACTAATATCACATGAAGACCCTTCATAGATCATCTGTAACTGTTTTTTCTAGGATACTCTGCTTCTGTGTTAATGGGAAAAGTTCATCTGCGGGCAGACAGCACAGTTGCATTAGCTTTTGCACATTAAAAATATGCGAAACACAGCGAATTCTGGGTGTATTCGAGCCGTGTTTTCTCGTGATATGGGCTGTTTTATACCGGAAGAATAACCTCAAATGGTTGCCTTCATCGAGCAGTTGCTTTGTGGTACCTTTGTTAAACTTTTTGGAGACCCAAAAAACATGGCCAAAATTCGACCAAAAGCATGAGGTAACCCTCATGGTTTTCATCGAAAATCAAACGATCGAGATTTTCACCTCGAAAATGAAGACTTTTACTATGGTATATCTTGAATCAAAATGTTTCTGTAGATCCAAGGCAACCCCTGGAATCACATCTGTGGCACCTTCATATGTAAAATCTTGACATTTTCGCTAAAAACCTCATTTCGTGTTTTGTAAAACTGCTCAATAAGCCTATTCAAAACATCTCTTTCAATTAGCACCATTGGATGCGTCTTGAAATGTACTTCCAGAAAGTATTAGGAAGTATTTTTTTTTTTTTGTAGGGGAGACGAGCTCCAGGTTTTATTTAAAGTCCTTTAAATGTCATACTGAGGGATAGAAAAGACTGTTGGTGGACCCAATGTCTGCAAAGAAGGGGAATAAGAAATTTTGAACTAAGTTGGGAAAGAAATCTACTGCTAATAAGGTGCGACACCTAGAGCCAAAACAGTCTTGCGGAAATCGTCAAAATATAGATAATGGATAGAGTACAAAACACCAAACGAGGACATCAGTACTACGTCAAAAATTCAGACAACTTGCGTTCACCAGGATTCGAACCGGGGATCCTCCCGTTGGCATACGGGAGTTTTACCACTTCGCCCTACCACCAGGGGCTATTAGGAAGTATTGAATGATTATGACAGTTTATATAGTCGAATATCGCAAATTTGATGAAACAAGTCGTTTTTAATCTGGATTTGACCAATTCAAAGCAAAATCTTTAATCGGAATTGTAATTATTTTTGGCGGTCGATCGTTGTTGGCAGAATTGGTAAATCAATAGAATACACATTAAATAATCGAATGACAGGTTATGGCAAGGCACTCGTCGAATTTTAGCGAGCTCGTACAAGCAATTTGTCTACTTATCAAGACTCCCACTAATGGTATATTTATAAGATGCAAGTATCTACCATTAGGAAGATAAGTCTAGTAATTTCACATTCTGAACGATGCCTCAATTCTTCTCGTATGGTTAGATCTAGATCTCAAATTGCGTTGTTGATCATAGCTATATATCATAGCTGTCTTAGTGCAACGGCATGAGCCTATCCTATTAAACCAACTGGAGCGCTTTAGCATGGCTGATAACTCAGTAGTTATATGATGTCTTGTTGCAGGCCGAAGACACCAACTGAGATGACAATAGATCTGATCTTAATATAGATGGGTCAATTCTACGCTTTAGATGTGTTCTAGGAAGTGTTGTGCTTGCGATCAATGTGAAGAACCATGCATAGACTAGACATCCAACAACTGTTTACAGACTTTTGAGTTTGAAAGCTGCCTTCGTGATGCTCAATGCAAAATGTAGAATGCACAAACACAAGAGATTGAATGCCAGAAATCAGACATTTGACGCTGCGGCTCAGGCTTCTATGAGTGTATGATGAGTCCAATGCAAATGTCTATGAGTTAGCCGGATTATCACGGGAAAATAGCTCAGGAATATTAGTAGCATATGATGTTTTTCGAGCATAGAAGAGCCAAACAGGGGTCACAAAATCATCATGGAAAATATTTTCAAATGCAAATAGCAGGATGGTTCCATTTGAATAATTTCCCCACCCTTTTCGCTTTTTATTTTTTTTCCTTACACACTTGCAATTACGCTTACGACATCATGTTTCGTATAACTGGGCTGATTAGTATCACATCAAGAACCTCTGCAAGCTTCAACACTGGTAAAGTATTCTCGAGATAACGGAACGGTGTTGGTGCCATGATAGAGCGGATATTGAACTCGCATTCATGTATCATTTTAGCAGGAACTAGGATGGGTGGCATGAATTATAAAGCAAGCTCTTTATGGCGCGTTTTTAGTACAGCAACTGTGGATAAATCCAACACCGTTAGGTCGAGAAGAGCTTTGTTTTACGGTATTGAAGGCCAAAGTCTTAAATGTTGTATGTGATGAACTAAATGGATGTTAGTCCCGGGCAGTGATGAGAGAAAAATCCATAAATCGATTACAGTCGGGGCAGATTGTGTCGTGTATGATCTCGAGGACAGTGTCTCATCGAGTAAAAAGGGAACAGCTAGACACATGGTGATTGATGCCTTGGAGGTACGTTACTTAAGGAAGATTATCCACGTGAGATTGACAGTAGACATAGGCTTCAGAACATGGAAAAGCAGAGAAGGCAGTTAGAATCAATGCTGTCGGATCAGGTAAGGCTTTTCAGTAGAGGGACAGTCAATGTATACTCATGTTCCATGTACATCTTGTAGGACACGAGCTGGATGATCTCAATGTCATTGTTAGTAATTACGCTGTGTGTGCATGCATATGATGTCATGTCTAATCATTGCTTTTAGCTGCATTCGAAACGACTCCAAGCTATCGTGATTCCCAAGGTCCAGAGTGCAAAAGATATCCAATTTGTCAGTAGAATGATTGACTCGGTAGCAGTAGAGTCCCAGTAAGTGATTGTAACGTTATTACTCGAACGGATTCTCATATGAATTCATAGACGTGAGCGTATCCGATTGATCGCATCTATTGAAAGTGCTCTCGGCATGATGAATATTAAGGAAATTGTCACAGCAGATCCTCGTTTAGATGCATTAATAGTAGGTTTTGGCCTAGATGATGATGATGAGACGAGACGACTAATTTTAAAGTAGTTTGCTGCAGAGGACTACTGTGCAGACCTGGGATTGATAAGAACAAAAACACGAGAGGAAATGCTATTTGCTCGTCAACTCATTGTGAATGCAGCAGCCGCCTATGGTTTGCAAGCCATTGATTTGGTGTGTGTGGACTATCAAGACCAGGAAACGCTCTTACAAGAATGCAAAGAAGGCAGAGAATTCGGGTTTGCTGGAAAACAGGCTATTCACCCTGACCAAATCGACATTATCCAAAAGGCATTTTTACCTGATCCTAACGATTTGGAGAGGGCAGTGCACATTGTGAATGGATTCCAGGTCAACTCACAAAAAGGTATTGGCGCATTCAGCTTGGATGGCAAAATGATTGATATGCCTGTAGTCAAGTGGGCCGAGAAAGTAATTGCTCGAGCAACAGCTGGTGGAATGCAAATACCCAAGGTGGAAGACAAGGTGAAGAAGGACGAGGAGAAGAAATAAACATTGAATACATGCTTGGAATAAAAAACCCTCATTTTTCTCACGGTAATTCATGGCTGCTATAAAAGCGACCTCACCATTCGCTTCTTGATGAACTCTTTTGTCCCTCTTTTTCTCACGTTTTTACCATGTTTGTTGCTGCACGCCGTATCATCTTGACTCAAGCCCCAAGACAATCTCTCGCTGTCAGAGCCATCTCCACCGACGCAACCAAAGAAGCTTATTTGGAGCATATTGAAGGCGGTATCTCCATTTTAAAATTGAATCGCCCTTCATCCAGAAATGCGTTGTCAGTAAATCTGCTGACTGAATTCAGACAAGCTTTGGCAGATGTTAGGTTCTCTGGTGAGTCTCGCGTATTGATCATTCAAAGTGCTGTGCCTGGTGCATTTTGCTCTGGTGCTGATCTGAAGGAACGTGCTACTATGAGCCCATCTCAAGTGACCCAATTCTTGTACTCATTGAGAAAGGCTTACAGAGAGTTGGAGACTCTCCCCATTCCTACCATTGCTGCTATCGATGGTCCTGCATTTGGTGGCGGTTTGGAGATGGCATTGTCCTGTGATCTTCGTGTTGCTGGTAAGTATGATTGAGCCATGATACAGAATAGGCGCGCTGATCTAATATTCATCATTCAGGGCCAACTGCTAAAATGGGCTTGACCGAGACCAAATTAGCCATCATTCCAGGGTAAGTGTCCAGCAACCAATGTTAGAAAGGGATGACAAACTTAAGTGCTATGTAGTGCAGGAGGAACCCAAAGATTGCCCAGACTCATCGGTATTCCCAAGGCAAAGGAGTTGATCTTTACAGGTGAAATTATGGATGCTCAAAAGGCAAAGGAGTATGGTGTTGTAAATCATGCCGCAGAAGACAGTGCTATCGAGAAGTCACTCGAGATTGCAAGATCCATTTTGCCTCAAGGCCCTGTTGCTATTCGTATGGCTAAATTGGCTATTGATAGAGGCGCACATTTAGACATGTAAGTAGCTAATGTTCATCATCGCTGATCCGATAGCTAATGTATTTGATGCTCTCAGGGACTCTGGATTGGAAATCGAGCAATCATACTATGCTCAAGTCATTCCTACGCAGGACAGATTAGAAGGTCTCAAAGCATTCAAGGAGAAGAGAAAGCCAGTTTACAAGGGCTGTTAAGTGGATTCGGTAAAATTCTTGAATAAATTGCACAAGCAGAGTTATGCATGTATTTTCTTGGTTGGCATCGTGGCGTAGATGGGCGTGTAGCATCTTTTCGCCACTATTTGACATTGTAGATGTGTAGTGAGTAACAGGCTGACTAGTGGCAGTTCAGTAATGATATTGATATGCGGGATTCAGTCCAGTGCTCGGGATTTGGACATGCTGCCATCAATACGTTTAGAGATCTGTACATTGAGATGCCAATTGCTGATCGTGCCTTGATTTGAATTTAAACAAGCGGGAGTAAGTTCTCCACTACTCGTTCATCCACTTGATTTGATCCATTGTTGATTGTCGACATGTATGCTCTGAGAAACTGCGAGCAACTCACTTCGGCTCTCAGATCTCAGTTTACTGCATCTGCCTTCATCCTCATATGAAGCCATCATCAAACCAGATACTCTCCTGATCCAAAGATCCAACATTTGACATCTTGCCTAGTCATGGCTTGTTCTGCAGTGACCTTTTTTCCTTGCTAATCGATGATTTTGCTTCAAGAAGCTCTTTTGGAAGCAATCTTGAACATCCGACCGAAAATTTTTTCATAGGAAAGCACTTCGGCGGGCGGTAACCAGTGCATGCCTTTCCTGGATGAACAAATTCAATGGTGATTTTGTGCCGGAACAGGCGCAAAAGAGCAAATTTTTTCGTCTGTTGCCAGTTCTTACTCTTTCTCTTTCTCTTTCTCTCTTTTTTCTCTCTTCTTTTCGACGTTTATTCGCCGTTTTCTTCATCTAATTGTCTAATCTCATAATTTTGGGTTTGACACTTTAACATATATAAACTACAAAAAAAATTTTAAAAATAGAAAAAACCGAAAACCTCGTAATGTCTACTTCTCCCGTTGTCACTCCTGCTGAAGCTGCCCCCGTCCAACAGCTCTCAGCTGAACAACAACAGCAAATTGCTCAAGCTCAAGCTTCTGCTCCCGCTGGTGTCAATGCTGCTCCTTCTCCCTCAGCATCTCTCTATGTTGGTGAGCTTGATCCCTCAGTCACTGAAGCCATGCTCTTTGAGATGTTCAACATGATCGGCCCTGTCGCTTCCATCCGTGTCTGCCGTGATGCTGTCACTCGCCGCAGTTTGGGTTATGCTTACGTCAACTTCCACAACATTGTCGATGGTAGGTAGATTCTCTAGTGAATTGAAGACGTTGTACTCATGGAAAAAAATTTTCATGATTTGATCTTGACAGGTGAACGTGCTTTGGAAAGCCTCAACTATACCTTGATCAAGGGTAAGCCTTGTCGTATTATGTGGTCTCAACGTGATCCCTCTCTTCGCAAGACTGGCTCCGGCAACGTTTTCATCAAGAACCTCGACCCCTCTATCGATAACAAGGCTCTTCATGATACCTTTTCCGCTTTTGGTAACATCTTGTCCTGTAAGATTGCCATTGATGAGAACGGTAACTCCAAGGGTTATGGTTTCGTCCACTATGAGACCGAAGAAGCTGCTGATAACGCCATTAAGCACGTCAACGGTATGCTCTTGAACGATAAGAAGGTGTAAGTATTTAGTTTGGATTGGAGGAAAAGATGGGATGTGGGTGGTTTGGCCTTGAAGGAGACAGTGGATTAACATGGATGTATAGTTATGTTGGTCGTCATGTCCCCAAGAAGGAGCGTCAAGCCAAGATTGAGCAATATAGAGCCAAGTTCACCAACGTCTACGTCAAGAACTTGGACGAATCTGTCAAGGATGATAAGTTGAGCGAGATGTTTGGCAAGTATGGCCCCATCACTTCTGCTATTGTCCAAGTCGATGAAGAGGGTAACTCCAAGGGTTTCGGCTTTGTCAACTTTGAGAACCACGAAGATGCTCAAAAGGCTGTCGATGCTTTGAATGAGACTGAGCAAGCTGATGGTAAGACTCTCTACGTCGCTCGTGCCCAAAAGAAGTCTGAGCGTGAAGAAGAGCTCCGTAAGCAATATGAACAAGCCAAGCTCGAGAAGCTTGCCAAGTACCAAGGTGTCAACTTGTACGTCAAGAACTTGGATGATGATCTCGATGACGAGAAGCTCCGTCAAGAATTCTCTGTCTATGGTGTTATCACTTCCGCCAAGGTCATGGCTGACGAGAAGGGTCAATCCAAGGGCTTTGGTTTCGTCTGTTTCTCCTCTCCTGATGAGGCCACCAAGGCTGTCACTGAGATGAACGGTCGTATGATCGGCGCCAAGCCCATCTACGTTGCTCTCGCTCAACGCAAGGAAGTTCGTCGTTCTCAATTGGAAGCTCAAATGGCTCAACGCAACCAAATGCGTATGCAACAAGGTATGCCCATGCCCGGTGCTCCTGGTTACATGCCCGGTGCTCCCATGTTCTACGCTCCTCCTGGAGGTTTCCTTCCTCAAGGTCAACGTCCCGTCTTCCCTCCTAACGGTATGATGCCTCGTCCTCGTTGGGCTCCTCAACAAGGTCAACCTATGCCCGGTTTCCCTCCTCAAGGCTTTGCTCCCAATGGCAACAACATGCGTCCTCCTCGTCAGCCTCGCGCTCCCCGTGGTGGTGCTGCTGGTCAGCGCAAGTACGCTAACCAAGCTCGTCAACAACCCGCTCAAGAGACTGCTGAGAACGCTGCTTCTGCTCCCTTGACCGCTGCTGCTTTGGCTGCCGCCCCCGCTGAAGCTCAAAAGCAAATGCTTGGTGAACGTCTCTACCCCTTGATTAACGCTCAGCAACCCGAGTATGCTGGTAAGATTACTGGTATGCTTTTGGAGATGGATAACGGTGAATTGTTGAACCTTCTCGAAGACAACAAGGCTTTGGAAAACAAGATCAACGAAGCTATGGAAGTCCTTAAGGCCCATATGTCTGAGGCTCCTAAGGAAGAAGAGAAGGAAGAGGCTACTGCCTAATTTCTTTATCTTTTTTTTTGTTTAAAAACCCACTAATAAAGAAGAAGTAAAAAGAAGAATGTAATTGCAGTTTATAAATACTTGTTATTTGATATCTGTTTATTTTCTTTATCCTATACATCTTGGTCTTTTCGGCTTGTTCTTGACTTTTTGATTGATGGTGATGGCACTTGCATTGTGCTATAATGGGTGTTGGGATACTGATGGTATTGTAGGACCATGTCAGACGCATGAATTATGTTGATAATATCAGCAGAATTGCACCGTCAAACCTCACAAACATGTTTAAATCCTAAGTGTCAATTGTAGATCTGGTACCTGAATCCGTCTGCATGCATGTCGAACATGCTTTTGTTTGATGCTCTCATCACATTCACATTGAATCAGCTTCAAGTAAGCGCTTACTTCAAGACGCAGCCATAGTCAGTGCTGTGTCTTATGCTCTTAAGGAGAGTCTAGAGTAGCCTTAATAGATTTGTCAGGGCGAAATGCAGCATTTGCTATCATATAACTCGTATGTTCTCGGGCGTATTGGATTGATCGGACCCAAGAATTGGCCTACAAAAAGCTTCCCTATTTCGCAACAAGACTGAATTTCGGCCTTGCTCATTTTCAACATGTTACATTTATACAGGCTACTATGGACAAGGCGCTGTTATGCCACAAAGATATGGACATTTAAAGAAGCAACTGCTTGGCAGCAGTCTTTCAATCAATCGCATATACCTAAAGACAATGTATCCATTAGCTTCAGTCGCAGCAGTGGACCAGGAGGACAGAATGTAAACAAAGGTTTGCCAAAATTGACAAAACTACTCTATCATGTTGTTGACCCCAATTGTATATTGTATACAGTGAGCACGAAAGTAGACATGAGACTAGCATTGAGCAAAGCCCACAAGTGGCTTCCAGAGTACGCTATTGAAAATCTAAAGAAATCTGCACACTTGCGAAAGAGTAAAGACAACGAAATAATCATAACATCTGACAAGACAAGGTCCCAGGCGAAAAACATCCAAGATTGCTATGAAAAATTGACAAGCATCATCAAAGAGTCTGTGGCAGTAGCAAAGGAGCCAGACCAAGCAACTTTATTGAGGATTGAGCAATTGTAGGTATACGAAGCATCCAAGTTGATCGAGATCTAAACTGTAATCATGCAGAAAAAAATTGCAGGATAGTAGTCGCAAGGATTACAAAAAGAAGCAATCCCAAAAGAAGAGCGATAGACGGTCGAAAGGAAGAGACTACTAATCCTTATTTCCATTGCTTCGATTGACCCATCTCCCGAACTTGGCCTGTATATCATTATGATCAATAAACTAAATGACAACTGGAAGAATCCACTCACCTTAATACCGGAGCTGCGACGAGGCTGCTCTGGCTCAGGATTAAAGTTATACACAGGCACAGTTGATGAAGAGATGGAGGGCGTTGCATTCATCAGTGAGGAGGAGGACGCTGTCTTGTAATTCTCCTTTATCTTTGTGGAATTGGATTCAATCTTGTTTATGGATTGCGTTGTGCCCAGAGTATTTTGATCGTCCTCATCATCATCTTGGCCAGTGGCTGTTGGCGGCCTTAGCTTTTTGGATACCCAAGGTTTACTTTTGATCGACGTTGTAGATGCTATGTCCTCGGATTCTTTTGAATGGATGGAGTGGTGCACCACAAGTGATGACTGTGCGATCGAGGAGGAGCAATTCAACTTGTTGCTATCAATTTGATCCTCATCCTCATCTCTGAGTTCCTCTGCGCGGACCACAACATCGGGAGATTTATCTAATGTAGTAGAGTTTGTAGTAGCTGCGTTGTTTTGCCACCATCTCCAGCTCTTTTTAGCTTTTATTTTTTGCGTATCTGGTGTAGTAGAGTTCATATGAGCAATTATTATGTTTATTTAAAAGATGAAAAAGAGGCAGGAGGAGAAAGAGAGCACATATAGAGCTGTTCAAGCAGCATTTGAAAACACGACTGCTACAGAGAGTGCATATAGATTGCTCATGTCGGCTTGTGTGCTCTTCATTCTGGTACATGGAAACTGAAGAGACGATCTATGGTTCCAGAACGCCCATTTATCACCCGTTTGCTTTGCATGTAGTGTTCCCAATATTAATCATCGATCATGTTCTTGGTATTTGTGCCGACCACATTTCAATATTTTTCCAGTGATGCTTATCATTAACAGATACAAAGGTCTATTACATTACTCAAAGGATCAGTAGCCGGTGCATTTTGAATAGCAATATGCTGCTGATTCTTGTATTTGTTGAATGTTTTAACCATCAGGACTGATAATATCAAGGAAAAGGGAGTGGTTTCCCCATATCAAATTCTACACATCTACCTTTGGACCTACTGGTGAACTCTATATTTATTTCCAATAGGAAGATTATGCTCTAAAAGAGTTGTAACGTCGAAATCAGTACAAGTATTTAGAATTAAGTTGGCACGCATAATTCAGTGATCCAATGCACTTTTATTTCTAGTAAAAACGCTATCATATGCCGTTCACATCAGATCAGACTTTGTAAATCTAAAGCATAAGAGCTGCCCAGCCAGTAATTAGAAGACAACCGCCAAGGGGCGTTATGGGCCCCAAAAAACGGAACTTTTCACGATCAAGTGTCAAAAGATACATGCTTCCACTAAACATGAGAGTGCCGCCCAAAATAAGAGGTCTAGCGATGGGATGGATACGGCGAACGGTGGGAGGAATGGAGGCCAACGCCAAAAGAGCGACGCCATGAATAAGTTGGAAATGAGCAGCAGTAGCCCAATTCTTGTATCAAAGCATCAATGACATGTGAACATCAAGTGTCAGATAGAGAGACTTACCTTGATTTTAGTGGGATTGTCGCCTACAACTTTGCTCAGACCGTGTGCGCCATAAGCACCCAAAGCAATGCCAGAAGCGCCTAATTTAAGATTGCGAATTAAGTACATACCATCCCATCTCTTTTGACATGCCAGTTTCTACCTAAAATACTGCCTGCTCTCCAGTAGAACTGTGAAGCCATTGTCAAGTAGAATATATACAAAGAGAAAAAGAATAAGAAACAATTTAGACATACAATTTATGTAACATGAACCCCGGAAATTGTTTATCCTAAAACCGAAATGGACATTTGTCGTTGTTCCAAGCTGTGAGTCTGATTGACGACTTGAGTTTCTTGATTGATGCCAGCATAAGGGGGTATTCTCTCAATACACTGAATCAGAGCTAATTGATGTCACGATTAAATAGATACATTGAAGATCAAACTCTGTGCACTTGACCACCTATCACTATCTTTTATTGGCGATGCTCACATCATGAACTTGGTAATTAAAAGAGCCCTTATGTATGGATCATTTGCCATCATCCACACTATCAGGGGAGCTATCTTCAGGAAATGGTGGTGGCGATATCGTCTAGTGGTTCAAAGTAGCATCAGATTTATGCAAATGAAGGGATCTGCCAACAAGCATCTTACCTTTTTTCTTACATATTCATCATACACAGTAAACTCCTTGAAAGGTCTTTTACCGAGCAACTGCTCCATATCATCACGCGTCAGAACCTCCTTCTTCAATAACAGTTTAGCAACCTTCTCAATGTCGTCCTTCTTTTCAGTCAGCAGCTTGCGGGTATGCTCATACGCATTCAGAACTATCTTCCTCGCTTCGTTATCAATCAGTGTGCCTGTTTCCTCAGAGAATGGCTTTTGGAATTGCTGCTCATTCTGCGGATCAGTGAATGAGATAGGGCCCACCTTATCATTCATACCATAAGCAGTAACTTGAGCATAAGCCATCTTTGTCACCTTTTGCAGGTCGTCATGAGCACCCGTTGTGATTGAGTCGAAAAAGATCTCCTCTGACACACGGCCACCTAATGTCATACAGGCTCTATCGAAAAGTTGCTTCTTGGAGTACAAATACTGATCCTTGGGCAAGTACTGAGCGTAACCAAGGCTGCCAGAACTTCTTGGTAGTATAGATACCTTTAAAAGAGGATCGGCGTACTTGAGATACCAACCGGCAATAGCATGTCCAGCTTCATGATAGGCAACCGTCTTCTTTTCTTCAGGAGAAAGCACTCTCGACTTCTTCTCCAGTCCAGCAATGACACGTTCAATAGCATCTTCAAAGTCTTTCTCGTCTACTTCCTCTTTGGCATGACGTGCAGCAATAAGAGCGGCTTCGTTACAGACATTGTGGATATCAGCACCGGAGAAGCCGGGGGTGAGAGCAGCCAGCTTGCGAGAGAGCTGTTCCATGTTCACTTGTGTCTTGATTGGCTTCAAATGCACCTTGAATATCTCTGCTCTACCAGCAATATCAGGCTTATCTATAACAACATGCCGGTCAAAACGTCCAGGTCGAAGCAGCGCTGGATCTAAGACGTCGGGTCGATTTGTGCCTGCCAGTACTACGACATGATCACTAGAATTGAAGCCATCCATTTCTACCAACAGCTGGTTCAGCGTGCTTTCTCTCTCATCGTTGCCTCCGCCCATCTGTCCTCCTTTGCCTCTTGTTTTTCCGATTGCATCAATCTCATCAATAAAGATGATGCAGGGTGCATTCTTCTTTGCTGTAGCAAACAAATCTCGCACTCGAGATGAACCAACACCGACAAACATCTCTACAAACTCTGAGCCAGACACACTCAGGAATGGGACACCAGCTTCCCCAGCAGTCGCTTTGGCCAACAGCGTTTTACCTGTACCAGGAGGACCAGACAGGATAGCGCCCTTGGGAATGGTAGCACCGAGTTTTTCAAATTGCTTGGGATTCTTTAAAAACTTGACAAACTCCATGATTTCCTCCTTGGCTTCATCAGCACCTGCAACGTCCTTGAATTTGACACTCACTTGCGATTCCTTGTCAAATAGTTTAGCTTTGCTTTTACCAATGCCAAAGATGCCACCAGAAGGACCACCCAAGCCGCCACCACCTGAAGCACGGCGGCCCATGTAGATAAAGAACCCGATGAGCAGTAGTGTAGGCACAAATTGAGCCAAGGTATTGGCAAGACTTCCGATAGTATGATATGAGATAGGGATGCGCTCATTGTCCGGTATACCTAGCTTGTCTTGACAACTCTCCATTTGACGCTCAAACTGATCCACAGATCCAATGCTGAAATAGAAGATGGCATTGGAGTTTTCTGCTAGGTAAGACTTGGATTCTGGCCTTAATACCACTTGAACATAGCTCTTGTTCATCACGCTGAGCTCCTTGACAAGCCCCTTCTCCAGCAAATTGGTCTTGAAGTCTTGAAATGTCACTTCTCTAAAGCCCCCTTTACTATTGCTGACACCTAAGAGAGTCCACAGAAAGATGGAAATCGCAAGAATCGGGGCCAATGTAACATAGCCGTTGTTCTTGTTGGGTGGTTGCGGCGGTTTGCTGTCGTTGCCTTTGTCCTGCTTGAATTGATTTGGCTGGAAAGAAGATTTATTATCCCACTTTTTGCGAGTCTTGTTGAAGAAGCTCTCGAATCCTTTGGGCACATTATCAGGATGTGGATCTTTGGCAGCAAGATTGTACTGTGAGGTTGCAAAATGTCTGATCTTGTGCTGGCTGGATATCAGATATCTATGGTATTTCAGGGCTAAAGTGTCCTTGAGATACGCATTTTTTGATATAAATAAACGGTTCAACATGGAAGAATGAGCAAGAGAAAGGATAAAGATGTTGAAATGGGTACAACTTTATGCTGATTTGTGAGAGCTGGTTGTTTCCGCTGGTCGGGGGTAGCTCTCTCATGCTGTAATTAATAAAGATCGCAACTGAAAAATATAAGTTTGCTTTTTTCTATCCTCAATAAACAAACAACCATGCTTTTACTGCTGTCTAGTTTCAGCATTACGTTGTTTCTTTATTTCTTAATACAAAGCATTATTCAGATCGATGCATTATCCAACCAGCTACATGCGTCCATTGCGCCTTCAGTGCGAAAATCAGACTGCAGACTCGAGGCAATAAACATTGTCTGCAACCGATGGACATGGGCACCTGTCTTCATTAGAGTGTACCTCATTGGTATTTTCGAGACCGTTTACATTGCGTTGTGTAAGCGTGGATTGTTCAAGCACTCACTTTCTCAACACTTGAATGAACAGCAAGTTGACACGTTGATGCAATCATATGAAAATACAACACCACAGACAGCGGTGATCACAGGCGGAGACTCAGGTATCGGATTAGAGATATGCAAAGGTTTACTTGGATCTGGATTTCATGTCATTATGGGTAACGTCAATCGATGAAGGAAACGAATGCCTGTCTAATCAATGCATTCCAAAAGGCACTCGGTCACTGGAATTAGGCCAGAGAGCAGTGGACAGTTTAAAGAAGCAGACTGGATCAGATAAAGTGTCGTGTATTGAGCTCGATTTGACACTCTTCAGATCAGTGAAGAAATTTGCGGCAGAGATCAAAAAGAAAATCCCTCAATACCAACTACAACTGCTCATTAGTAAGGATTGACAAACGACAAAGCGTATAAGGAACTGAATGGAATTGATCTAATTAGATAACGCTGGTGTCATGAACATCCCATGCGAATTGACAAAGGATGGATACGAAACGCAGTGTCAAACAGTAAGTTCAGTCAAAGTGTACACTGATGGCCATGCTGACCGAATATGACAGAACTTTTTATCGCCAACTTTACTCACTCAGTTACTGTTGCCATGGATGGATACCAAGTCTGGAAGAGTATTATTTGCATCCAGTTCGACCTTGTATGCTATCAATGATCTCGATACTACATTTTCATCTTATACATACGGATGGAATGGACTGGAGCACTATGCATACAGCAAAGCTTGCATTGCTCACATTGCAGCTCGATTAGCCAGGTCTACTCGCGTAAAGATATACGGTAATTTCTAGTAAAAAGATGGATTTGACATGAGAGTAACAAGTTTGGTATAGCGTATCATCCAGGCACAGTTCGCACAAAACTATTTGCTCACACTACCGTATTCAATCTCCCGTTTGTTTCTAAAATGTTTGATTTCATTATGCTAACACCAAAAGAAGGAAGCTTGACACCACTGCAGTTGTGTCTGCGAGAGGATCTGGGTGATAGTGGCACCTATTGGGCGAATGGACGACTTCAAACAGTCCCTGATGTTTTGATTAATGGAAAGAAGGACAACATAGATGCATTGTGGAAAGACACATTATCCAAGTGTGGAATTTAGAACACACCTTTAAATTCTGATAACGGCTGCTCAATACTACTATTCATATGTATTGAATTTTGATTTTAATTGCGGATCCATAGCATGAAAGATAAATCAAGCAACTGTAGTAGACCTAAGCAATAAACCCTTCTACATATAAAATGCCCTGATTATGTAAGCCTATCAAACAAAACGTTGAATGTAACAGTATCAAGGCCAAACGTCTGAATTATCCTATTTAATATCTTATTCATATCATTTAGATTAGTTTGACTATTATGTGAACCCTTTTTCCATGAAGTAAACTTTATCATAATATCTATGATTATGTATTACGTTAAAATTACAGCGGATGAACAGTTAATGTTGATGTTTCTCGTTAACTGCTGATGAGGTTGTCAAGTCTTTGCTGCGATGGTTTGGCAGATCCAGTTTTTCATTGGAGACGCTCGTAGAACCAACGCCATCCGTCATGGTGTCATTCAGGGACATCTGACCAGAGGAGTCGCTCATAGCATCAAGTAGATTGGCAGCAGCCTTGTTTTGCCCCTCTATTGCAATTCCTCTTTGGGGGCCATACCTGCTCTTGGCACTATCAATAGCGTAGACGACTTCCTCTTGAATTTTATGATCTCTTTGACGACGTCTGATCAGAATAAATGCGCCGACCGAGATACCTATTAAAACCAAGGTTGGAAGCACTATAGCCAGAGCAAAGCCCCAAGCTGGTAGCTTCGCCTCGTTTTCTAGCTGATCTACAGAAGGTGAGCCATCATCGTTGGGCATTATGTAGAATGGATCCTCGGGGTGAAACATTAATTGATATGCTAGGATGTTTTGGTAAGGAGCATTGTAGTCGAGGGCAACTTCTGTTTGAGACCAATCTAATCGAACATCTGCAAATGAGTCGTTTCTGGAGGGCCCTCCTACCAGTGCTATCGATGCGTAAGTATATATGCGTTTCATGTTTATACTTGAGCATCATTGGTACCTCCATAGATAGTGTGAGCGTGAGATAGGTCATTAGGGTGCGCTAGCGCTTCCTTGAGTGAAGTAAATCCACTTGCAGGGGCAGAATGCGGGTATTTCGGCGAGTTGGGTCTTTCACCTACTACGTAATGTTGATTGATAGGATTCTTTCCGAATATATAGTCGATTTGACTATTTGCAGCATCTATGATGGCTGCATCAGTATTCAAGGGTGATGTCTAGTGAAATAAAATTCTACCTTCATATCTTTTTGCTTTTGCTAGCAAAGCATCCTTTTTTGCACTTGTTTCCGCTAACGGTCGCAGTAACTTGGCAGAGTAAGACAGCAACAAAAAGCTTGTGCTCATTGCAAGTGAATTGCTATTCAGTGTACTATAATGACATGAGATATGCACAAAGTAAAGAGGGACAGACATTCACTTACCTATACGCGTCCCAGAACAACAAACCACCATCCGTCTTGTTGGCAGTTGTACCATTCAGTATACCATCGAGGTACAGTTCTGTCTCTGCACGAACAAGTGAAGCTTCGTTTTGATCCCGGTAATCTAGTGTGGCTTCTGCCAGGAGCAAATAAAATGCTCCCCACTGCCTGCGCAGTTAGAACCAACCCTGAAACTGATATACGCAATCGCAACTCACCTTATTATCCCAATCTAGAGGCTCTATATGGCTATTTAAATCTTCGGTCTCTCTATACATTTCTATCGTGTCATCCAAATAAGATTGCTGTCCAGTGGCTTTGTAAAGAACAACGCCTGCGAGCAATAGCTCATCCACATAGTCTGAATACAACCTGTGAGATCAATGGCATTTGCCAATCATCGTAGACGCACCTGAACTGCTATACACATGTTTCATCGTAGGCACGGATTTATGATATCGAGAATATGGCAAGATGTTCCGTGCTGCTGAATATAATTGGATGGCGTGCGTAAGCAATGTGTCTGCATATTTTCGGTCATCTTGGTTCTCATTCGTGATATCTACTAGATTGTTGAAAAAGACAGAGGCGCTCGCAAACGCTGTGGCTGTAGTAGTATCCATGTTAGCTGGTGAGTGCATAGTAGTACTTGAAGCGAGCATGCTCATACCTGCCATTGCCGCTGCATCTGTACCAAAATCTGTCTCGTTGATTTGGTAGCTGGGTCGTGGATTCCTGATCTCTGAGTCGGGGCCTACACAAAACAGAGTCCATGAGTATGGCATACAATGCGAAAACTGCTCAAGCGGCCATACCAAAGGATTCGTTATCAAGTTTAACATCACCCACCTAGTTCTGTCAGTAATTATTGAAAATCCTGACGAATAAACTCTTTACCTGAACAAATAGCGTAGATGGAGAGGGGTGTGCTTTTATCAGCCAATCTGTAGCCTGAGTTGATTGATTTAGATTTCTCTTTCATACAAGATATAAGAAGCAGTGGCATACCCATTTCACTTGCTCTCGCAAATATCTCGTTTGATTCGCCAATCGATAACCGTGGATATAGTCTGTGCCTGTTTGTGATATGTACTGTTAGTAACAAGCATGTATAAATACCTCTCACCATTGCAAACATGTACCTCCCCAGCATAGCATGAATGTTGTATAACTCAGAGGAAATGTAAACTGTACACAAAGCGTTTTATGGTTAGGCTTACCCTATTGAAATATCGAGATAGAACATACCTTTAGATAATTGCCGGCATCATAGTATCCCTACACACGATATTAGAAAATGAGGAAGAAATACTACTCTACTTGATCAAGCTTACACCAGAGAGGTCATGGTCCACATCGGATCCGTCTGTGAGAGCAGAATCGTGCCTCCTAAGCACTTTTGTAAGTCTATTTTCTATAGTATTCTATCCAACAATTACCATGAAACACGGTTGTCGTCAGGCAACTTGCCAGATCGTTGTGCTTCAAAAAATAAGATGGAATGGTTCAGGAGTTTCACATATTCAGGACTAGGATTCTGCACGGTAGGAGACAGGGTGAATGATGAGCGCTTGTCAATGGCATTGGCCCCAGCCAGTACTGACTGACCCAGGATAGATAGAATGACTGTGACGATAGCTCTCATAAACAAAAGAACAAGGATGGCGATACTTGTGTTGAGTAGAGACTTTCTCAAATGACAGGTCAGAAGAAAATGTGCAGTGCAAGCGATAAAAAAGTATTCAAGAGAAAAATGAAAAAAAGCATGTTGTGGGAGATGTTAAAATCTTTATATACACTGATTTTGAAGGGATGGCACATTCACCACTGTCTACACATTTGCCATGCATGCATGAATTGCGATTCAACCAGTACTCCATGTCTGTTATTTCGGATAATTATCAGTTTCACGTCATGCTTATGTGAACCAATTCAGAGGTATGTTATTGCTGGTTTTGCTAATTCTACTTTCTTGTTCCTGCACGATACCTAATACTTCATTATTGCTGGTTTCACTTGAACATTCTGATTCAGGCGATTCTTTTCGGAAAATGTCTTCAATGGGAGGGGCTAAATATTTTAAAGCGTCTCTAGAGCATGCATCAATCTTGAGCTCGTAAAACGCTAGCGAATTGCAAAGAGAAAGAAAAAGGTATAAAACGAACTTATGGCTAAGACTCTTGTTATATGAAGAGCGATTGAACAGGCATTCTTAGAACGCCATATTCACTCATTGTTCGAATGCATCAAGGCAAGTCGTTTGAAAATCTATACTGACTGGAGATTAGCACTAACCTAACCATTCTGTCACATATAAACCTGCAAGCTTACAGATCAATGAGTAAACGGAAGTGACCGCCAAAGCTTCCTTGGTCAAAAAGCGAGTAAAAAAAAAATACGTGAACTCATACCCAATGTGGGATTCTAGATTAGGTAGGCATGCCGCATTCAAATTAGCATTTTGCAATGATTGAATTAATAAGGCCTAAAAGCGTGCAGTAAAAGCAATAGGACTATGTTAGGTTAAGCTATAGCATGCTTCAAATGCCAGTACATTTCCTACTAGCTTTAGAGACATCCATTGCCTTCATGAGAATGCATTTTGGCAGCCAAAATATTTTACTCTCCGATATCCAAAAATTCGTTCCAGATTGGACAAATTCTAGACATCTTCGACTTGTTCAAACCAGTTTGCCAAGATTCGACTATAGGAAATGTGCTCATCAGCCTATACTTCCTTAAGCTTTCTTGGAGTACTTTTCCATGCGCATCCGGTGGTGCCAATTAAAACAGATGTTTTGAAAAAACTTGCTGAAGAATGTCTGAAAATATGAAATGAGGTTTTTGGCGAAAATGTCAAGCTTTTACATATGAAGGTGGCACAAATAAAGTTCCAGGGGCTGCTTTGGATCGAGAGAAACCTTTTGATGTATTATATCCCATAGAAAAAGTTCTCATTTTTGAGGTCAAAAACGCGATCGTTTGATTTTTGATGAAAATCATGAGGTATCCCTCATGGTTTTTTGGTCGATTTTTGGCAATCCCAAAAAAGTTGAGCAAAGGTGCCAGACAGTTACTGCTAGATGAGAGGGATTGTTTGGTGCTTTTCTGGCCGTCTAAAACGGCTTGTAGCATGAGAAAACGCTGCTCAAATGTATCCAGATTATACTGTAGCTTGTACATTTTTGGAGAGTAAGTGGCAATACAAGTATGCTGTATGCCCGTTTATCAATTGTTTCCATTGATACAGAAGTGAAGCACCTGAGAATTGCCAGATCCACAGTTGCAGAAGATTTACAAAGAGGTTCTATGCAACATTAGCAAATTAAAATTTGAAATTTTAATATATACTAGACAAAACTCAAGCTTTTGTTAAGGTAGTCGGCGTGCGCAAGCCATACTCTCTTCTAGCATGTCTTGAGAGCAAGGAAGGCTTCATGGTGAGAGAACGGAGCTTGTAAATTACATGATGCTTGAAGAGCGATCTCCTATAAAAGGGATTCTCAAACCTAAGTTTATCCTTCTTTTTCATCTTTTTTATTCAACTCGGCCTAAAAACAGAGCGAGCATCATGTCATACATGACCAAAGACCAACTCGGTAAGTTACTCTCACGGCCCTTCTCTCTCGTTCTGTTTTATCCAACATATTATCATGGCAGAGAACTATCTTGACGGCTTACCCTCAAGCAACAAGAAGGAGCCTAACCGAAATGATTACAACAGCATCCGAAACGAGCTTGTTTATCCCATGAAAAAGCTTTCTGTCGAGCCACAAAACCAAGAGATTGACCAGGAGGCGTATGGCTCTATACAAGATAGAATGAAACGTTTACGCAATGCAACGGGTACAGTGATGAATGCAACTCAAACAGTTACACCTGCGTTTCCAGAAACGCCTAAGCCAGCTGCGATACCTTCTACAAAGCCTGCGTTCAACACGAAAGCCCGACCTGATGCCTTTGAAGCATCTCTCACACCGAGATCTTATTCTTCTTCGTACAAACCTCCAGTCAAGCCCAAACCAAAATCATCGTCTTCGCCTCCTTTGCCTCCACCCTTACGTAATTCAGCGGGCGCTACTACACCTCCACCTGCCGTGCCCAGCAGCCCACGACCACCCAAGCCCTCTTCACAACAAGACCGAGTCAGTACATTGAATCCTATCTATGCAGGTCTGGATTGTCCAAAGTGTCATCAACCTATTGAAGGCTCAGTAGTATCTGCTTTGAATCAAGTATGGCATGCCCACTGCTTTATTTGTTCAACTTGTCGAATGCCTTTGGAGAATCAGCAGTTTTTTGAAAAGAATGGACAGCCCTATTGCAAGAAGGATTATCAAGATTTGTTTAGTTTGCATTGCGATTTTTGTCATGAACCCATAGAACAGGTAGGGTACACATCATGCAAGAGAGAGAGAGAGAGAGAGAGAGGAAGAGAAATTCATGGCTCTTGAGTAGCAAGCGATTAGTGCATTGGGCAAACACTACCACGAAGGGCATTTCTGCTGTACTGCATGTGGAACTCCATTTGGCGATCACAGTGCTTTTATGGTGCATAATGACAAACCGTATTGTCAAGAGGATTACATGAAAATGTGTGGAAAAAAGTGTAGTGGGTGTGGAAAATACATTTCTGGAGAGTATATCAATGCGTTGGATAAGGAATGGCATAAATCATGCTTTGTCTGTACGGTATGTCATTTGTAGTAGCGTGATCCGTTGCATGTTTGCTTATGAAGCATATTAGGATTGCAAGAAACCATTTACTGGAGGATCCTTTTTGGTTCGTGACAACATGCCTTTTTGCGAACAGCATTATCATCACCCTACTAGCAGCATAACTACACCTCAAAGACAACAACAACAACAACAACAACAACAACAACAACAACACCAGTCAGCCGAAAGCCAGAAAAAACCACCTCCACTCAAGCCCAAGCCATCCATTGGCAAGAAGCCCGGTCTTCCATCTCCTTCGTCATCGGTTAGTAGGCTAGAGGAACCTTATAAAAGACCTGACGTGTCCAACCGCTCTTCTTTATCGAGTACAATCATCAAGCCGAGTACCGAATCAAGACTATCAGCCAAAGTGTGTCATCAATGCAACCAGGCCATTGACGGTCCTTCAGCAAATGCGCTTGGCCATGATTACCATATCCATCACTTTCAGTGCTTTGATTGTGGTCGAGCATTATCTTCTCGTGTACCTGGTAAGTTTTATATCTTGAACATGGTATGTTTCATATGTATTAATTTCATTTCATCAGGTATGTGGCAAGGGGATGAGCATGGCGAATTAGTGTGTAAAATGTGCGCTTTTAAAAGAACACAGCAGTAGTAATAAAAACATAAAAGCAAAGTGTTAGCTTAAGGTAGCATACATGGCGACAATCTGATCTGCATAGTACTGTTTGGTTTGGTGTCGCTTAACTTTGAGTGTAGGTGTCAAAAGGTCCTTTTCCACAGTGAACGGATTGTATTCCAGATAGATGGCTTTGGGCACTTCGTAGCCATGCAGTCCTGCTGCTCTACCATCTCTATTCATTTGATCCAGCACAGCTTTCTTGACGTCTTCGTTCTGATAAAGGCGTTTAGCATCTTCTAATTCAGATTCAGGGACAATGTTCTTGGCAATGTTCTTTAATTCAATGGGGTTAGGTACTACGATAGTGATCAGAGCGCTTTGCAGTGGATTGCCATCGATAAAGATCTGAGCAATCAGTGGATTCTTGATATAGACATTTTCAATCTTTTCTGGCGCAATATATTCGCCCTGTGCCAACTTGAAGATGTTTTTTTTGCGGTCTACTACAGCTACACTTCCTTCTTGATCGATGATGCCAATATCGCCTGAATGATACCAACCCTCTGCATCCAGCACCTCATCTGTTCTTGCTTGATCCTTGTAATAACCCTTAAAAATATTAGGTCCACGCATACAAATCTCACCTCGAGGCGGGTGGCTGGTTGTAAAGCAATCCATTTCAGGTACATCTATGAGTTTGATTTCATTGCAGGTGTAAGGCCCACCCACACTACCAGCCTTGTTATCCCCCATGCGTTGCAGACACGAGGCAGCCGTTGTTTCAGTCGCACCGTAGCCTTCTCGAATATCACAGCACATGGTAACACGCAAAAACTGGAGCACATCGGGGCTGAGAGGAGCGGCACCAGAGCCAATGATTCTGACATTGCCTCCCAAAACTCGCTTCATCTTGTTAAACAAGAGTCGATCCCAAATGGCATGATGGCAGCCATCGCCGTTGGCCAGATGTCTCAGCTTGGATTCCACTGCCATGCGAGACAAAGATCCAGTGATTCCTTCTGCAAAAATGGATGCTTGAGCCAGTTTACTGTAGATGCGGTTCAGTAATCTAGGAACGGCAACAAACATGGTAGGGCACACAGCTTGACAGTCGTCTAATAAGTTCTCAATACCACCAGAGAGATAGCCGAGCTTGCCGCCACTAGCCAGTATAGTGAGATCATACACACGACCAAAGCAATGTGCCAACGGCAGATACGAGATGCCGACTTCGTTCACATCTGTTTCAAAGAGGGTCACTGTAGCTGTTACTGCAGCGACAAAGTTGGCATGCGTCAACATGACACCCTGTTTTTGTCGTATGAGATACTAGTCCTCAACGCACTGCTGTATGTATAATTACCTTTGGCATACCAGTAGTTCCACTTGTGTACATGATGCAAGCCAAATCGTCAGGAGATGGGTAATGGTGCTCTCTAGGATGCTGTATGCCGATTGCTTCCGCTTGCTCAAAATCCAGTAGTGTAACACCCTTCTCAGCAGCCCACGCTTGAATAATGGCGCCTTTGGGAACACCATCAGGCAGCTTTTCCAACGGATCCATCATCACGGTATCCATCAAAATGATGACAGAGAGTGTTGGCAATTGCTGCTTCATACTGAGCAGCTGAGCCAAGTAGTTGGACGAGCAAACAATGATTTCCAATTCTGCATGATTGATCACGTATTGCACCGTGTCTGGGCCCAGAGTTTCATACAGTGCAACATTGTACAAGCCTTGAGTAGCACAAGCGAGATCAGTGATCGTCCATTCGGGTCGATTGGCAGACCAAATACCAATCTTGTTGGCATTGTGTGTGTGTGTTGCAATGATTTGCATTAGTCCGGAGCCAAAATGGTGGATGCGGTCAGAAACTTGCGTGTAGGTTTGCCAGACAACTTCATCTCTTTGACCTAGCTCAATGTTGTAGGGACGTCTACCTAGACATTCCTTGTTGGGTGACAGTTCAAGTCCTCTTGCAAACAAGTCGTACATGGTCTTGATCTTTTTAGGCTTCAATGAATACAGGATTTCAGGTATCACACCGTTGCGATAAATGGCTATATATATATATATATATATATGACAGAGAGTCAGAACGGCGCTTCTATTCAGTAATGTATCATAACTTACCTGAGGATCCAGGCTTTTCAGTGTTTTCTAATTTCTTGGTTTGGAGTTTTACAGACATGTTTCAACGTTTGATTGTCTAATTGTACTATTGTTAGCTCCCCTTTTTATACCAATTTCAAATGTTTTCCAGGAATTGGGGATGTTTCAGATCTGTAGCAAATATAAGCAACATTAGATGGTATCAATGCCCACTCCCCAAATGCTGTCCAATATCCATCGACATCATGCCATTCACCTTTTTTCATAGATGGAGCGTCTTTCTTTTATTGTGAGTGTGTGTGTGTGTGTGTGTCTGTGTGTGTATATATATGTGCATATCTGAAAAAAAAAGCTATTCATAACGTATATTTTTGAGTAGGTTTATACGGGGAGTGATTTTCTAGTTTTTTTCACATTTTCTTGTAAATCTAATTAAATTCAGGCTTCAATTCGAGTGTACGCGTATTAGGATCAGAGGAGCGATTGCTCTTGGCCACCTTTCTCAGCAAGGCTGTAATAATATCACGGTTACGAGAGTCTTTCTTGATACGCTTACGGAAGCTCAACAAAAATTCCTTGGTGGTCATGACTTTGCCACGCAGCGTGTCAATGACTTCTTGCTCTGTAATCAGATCATCGTCGCTTCCAGCCACCTTTCTGTGCTTGCTTTCTCCACTGTTGGAGTCCTCCAATTTACGTTTCTTGGTAGGTTCCTTGGATCCTTGTGATGATGAGGGTGATGATGAGGGTGATGGGGGTGATAATGCAGGTCGATGTTGAGGCGAAGATCCAGGTCGCAAAGGCGATGATCTGCCATTGCCAAGAGGAGAGGAGGGTCTGGGTGTAGGTGAGGATGAGCCTTCGCGCTCCTTTTTTTTCATATACAGTGAAGGTGATCCAGGACGACCAATGGGCTTGGACATGCCTTCCTTCTTGATCTTGGCTGTGTGTGCTTTCTTGGGCATCATGGGCTTGGATACTGCTGTTGCCTTCTTCTTGGGTGGTACTGGTATCTTCTTTTCCTTTTCCTTTTCTTTCTCGGTTTCAGAGGTCTCATCATCGTCGTTGTCAGAATCAAGCTCTTCAGCACTGGAAGCGTAAGGATCGCCGTCTTCATCGTCACTCTCATAGGCTCGATTCTTTTCCAAATCTCTAACCAACTTACGCATTTGCTATGAAATGGCATGAGTAGTTGCACTTGGGTCAGACTGAATGCACTTTACCTTGCCCTCTGAAGTCAGTTTGCCCATATCATCGTAAGCATCATCAGCATCTTCTTGAGTGCCACTGATGGAATAGTCTTTGATCTCCTTCTTGACACGATCTTTACTATCCTTGACATCTTCGTCTTCGACTTCGTGTTCTGCAGTAGCTTCATCATCGTCTTGGAATACATCATCGAAATCCAAGTCGTCCATGTCTGAATCCTGTCTGTTGCCAGTGTCCTCGTCTGGATCAGGCTTACTAATATGAGGTAATTAGCATGGAAATAGAAGCTATTTCTGTACTAGTTACGACAACATACGTATGATCATCGTGGTCTACAAGCTTCAGCTTGGAAGAGGGTCGAGCAGCTTCCTCTGCTTCCGATTCCTTTCTATTCAACATCAACCATCGACTGCCTTCACGTTTTTGCTGTTTCTTCAACTATAGCACCATTTAATATCTAACCATCGGAAATGCACATATCATCCTACCTGCTCTTCGGCTTCTTCCAATGACAAGGTCTTGAAATGACGTTTTGGCTGGAATTTGTACCATCTATCCACAGGCATGACTTTAAATCCACTCTCCTGCAAAAAAAATGAGCCAAAAAAGATGAATCAATCAATTCAGCACACCAGAGACAAGCAGGCTTTCACTTACTGTCAGCACAAAGAACATGTAGTCGGAGCGCTGGCCACCTTCATAAGTACCCGTAAAGCTGTTTTGACCGTCGTAATCCTCCAAAATCCAAGGTCGTTGCTCTTGCTCTTTTAGTTCTCTTGTATCTTCTTTGGCCAAGTAGATCTGCTTTGTTCTTTTTTTGAAAAGCATCTGCTTGTTTCTTGTAGCACCACCCAAAGGTGCAATCAACGATGTATCAGCGCCTGTCTTAGGGCCATGTTGGTTCTGCGTGCTGGGAGTGGGCGCATCACCGCCTAAATCCTCGACATCGGAGGCAGCTGGTTTGGTTGCTGGGTGTGGGAGAGGTGTGCCTGCCATGATAGCAGCAGCATTAGCCGCAGCAGCTTCCTTTGCAGCAGCAGCAGCAGCGTTTTGTTCGTTCAAGTTCTGGATGTACTGTCTGTAAGGAAGAAAGTTGGTCTCTTTGCGATGAAGCTTGACTGGACGAGCAAAGTTTTTGGGCTCTACATGCTTGCTTCCACCCTTGAAATCCATCAGATGGTTCTTTCCTCGCTTGGAAGTGGACACCAGCTGAAATTCGCTGTAAGTGATATCCTCTGCCTGCTGTTGCTGTTGTTGCATTTGTAATTGATGCTGTTGCAGCATACGCTGTGGCCCCACGCCAGGACGCATTGGACCTCCTCCTCCACGACGAGGCACAGCACGACCTTTTCCCTTATCAGTGCGTGAAGTATTGTAGATACTAGACATTTGTTCAACAAAAAAGGTAAAAAGAAATTCTCTGTTGCTTGAAAAAAAGGTGGAGTATTTAAAGCCTAAAATGACCGTGACGTATTTACCATGTCTGCAGCCAGATCAAATGTTTAGATACGCAACCAAGTATCCTATTATGCCTCTCGAATTCAACACTTGTTTAATATTAAAAACAATGGGGATGATATTTATTTTTTCAATATAGACATAAAGATTTGCCGTAACAAAAAAAAATAGGGTTTAAAGATGTCTCTTGAGTTTATGAACAACAAATTTACTACAAGATGTTGGGTTAATGTGCTGATTCCATGAATGTGTAGACAAATCTAAAGCTCTTACCTGCTTCATAGCATCCTTCTTACCCTTGCGCTCGAGAATGGCAAGACGAGACTTGTCCAACTTGAGGTTAGTGACAACAACCTTGGAGGGAGAGATACCAATGGGGGCAGTGGCACCGTTGACCTTCTCGCGGGAGACACGGTCAATGTGGATAACCCACTTCTTACGGTAGACTTGGACAATCTTACCCTCACGACCCTTGTAAGTACCACGGACAACCATAACTTCATCATCCTTACGGACAGGAATGGAACGAACGCTGTGCTTCTCACGGAGTTCCTTGGACAAAGGAGCGCTCATGATCTTACGACGAACATCAGAGGTGGCAGCAAAGTGAGCCTTTCTGCTCTTTCTACGAGAGGAGCTAACATCTAACGGAAACATAGTACGTGGGTTAGTTTTTGCTCATGAATTCACAGCCATCAAATGTTGAATGAAAGAAATGGAAGGAGAGCCCGCCCAATGCTGAGTGAGTTTGCTGAATGTCCACATGGCGATACTGAGAGAGAGCTAGCATGTCTATCGACAGAGCGTACTCAATGTTGCGAGTGGGCTACACTACGATCGGTGATGAGTGTGAGTTGACAGCAGACGCTTTCTCTAGGTTGAAGTTGCTCCATTCTCGGCCTTTGTCCCATCAGCCGTAAAATTTGCATCCATCGTCATTGGGTTCATCCATCTTTTCCACAATTCGCAGAATAGCAAAGTTGCTGTCCATTCCTTCCATCCATTTGATGTTGATTGATTTCTTACCAGCAGAGAACTTCATCTTTTATATATGTCGGATGGAGTGAAAAAGGAAGATTTAGAAGGATGCCTTGCTATTAGTCAAGCAAATGGTAGTTTCGCCCCGCCGAGCGCTGCTTGACATCTTTACAGGTGGTTCATATGCACCTTTGAATAGCCATGTCCGAACCGAAAATGCTTGGGCATTTCGGACATTCTAGCTCCAGAATGCTCATCACAGGCATTTGGCATTTGTCTGTTCACCACTGGGTAAAGATCTTTCATTGAGAAGTTGCTTTGGTAGCACTTTCTAATTGATTATCTGTCTTCAGTTCAGATAGAGAGGAACACATAATGTCCTGAGGTTTTTAAGCGAAGCAGACCTGTAGCAATGGGCATTCTTACTGGAAATGTGAAGAAAGATATTGCTCATGGAGCAGGTCTTATTCAAATGTACGCTTGCCACGGCTCACTGACTAATAGACCAAAAGATGCCGAATCTGTATCCAGCAGACATGTCATATGAATTCAAATGATATATTGAATGTGGAGCCATGATCAATTGAAGTATTTCTTCTACCTTTATAGGACATCTTTCTAAATTCTTCTACTTGAATCAATACTATTAAGCATGAGCACAGGCATGGACAGCAAAAACAAGCAACATTTGTACTTTGATTTCCAAGATGAATATGACTATTTTGGAGAGTTCCTTGTCAACAAATATGTCAAGGTATACTGGACAGCATTCTTTATCTTGTGCATGTATTGGGGACTCTTCCTGTTTGCCCAGCATATATTTGGCGATGGCAATACGTATCGTAACGCAACTCTTCATCATAGCCGAGAAGGAGCCGTTCATAGTTTAGACATTGATACATACGATAACGTCCGTTCTTGGGTCAATCACCCTACTGCGATGAACATCTATGTATGTAAGCGCATGGCTCATAGTTCCATCATTTCCTACTCAATGGCATTGTAGTTTAGGTTGAATAGAACAGCGAATATGGTTAGAGATCTTGTTTTGCTATTGCTCTGTGTCCTCGTTATCAATACCTTGGCAAGAGGAGGCACACGCTCAGTCATGATTTTAACCTGGATGTGAGTAGATGCGTACAGTATGGCATTGCCAAAGTCTCACACACAGATATGATAGATATCTAGGAGCTGCCATATTCTGGTCGATATTCGAAATGATGTGCGAACATCACATTGCTCGGTTAGTGTACTCGACCTTGTTTTATGGAATTACAATTACAATCGGAGGCATTGCGTTCAAAAATGGTTTTGATCAGTTTGATTAGGCATGTGTTTTGTTCTAATGTGCCATCCCACCTATTGAAATAAAGATGTCTGGTAATCCTACTCTAGCCTAGAGCGAGTGAGAGAGAAAGTCGGACTGGGAGCACAGCCACCGAGCACAAATATCGCAAAGGTAACTGACTGTGTGTGTGTGTGTGTGTGTGTCTCTCTCTCTCTCTCTCTCTCTCTCTCTCTCTCTCTTTTTTTTCTCTTTTCATTTTTTTTTCTCTCTCTCTCTTGAAATGAGTGCTGAAGAACAAATCCTCAAGGCCAAGACATCTCTTGCCTCCGCTTTAGAAAGAGAAAATATCCAGGTAATTACGCAGTGCACTCTTTCAATTGAACATTTGAAAACTGATGCGAGTGTACTTAGACGTGTTTAGAAATTCTGGATTCCCTAGGCAAGATCAAGGCGACAGGAGAATTACTCAAGGTATGACATTTGACTCAATAGCAAACAAGTACACTACTAAACTTCACCCATTGCCAATAGAAAACAGACATTGGCAAGACAATTGGAAAACTGAGAACACATAAAGATGCCAAATTAGCTATGAAAGCAAAGTCAATTGTGAAGAAATGGAAGGATGATGTCGTTCAGCAAAGCAACAACAGCAACAGCAGCAACAACAAAAGCACAAATAGCAACAGCAATAGACCACCTGCTTTATCAAAAGTATCCACATCACCAGCCCCCAAGAAGAGCTCACCCTCTTCCTCTCAAGCATCGTCACCAAAGACCCCCTCCTCCCTGGAAGGTCCTCCACGCACAGTCAAAACAGATGAAGTGTCGTTCAAATCAACCGGCAATGTGCCTCGCAACAAGACAATTGAACTCATGTATGCCTCTATTGGCTTTGGAAGTGGAGCAGGTAAGATGGCGCACGAGCTATTTCATGGTCTTATGGTCAAACTGACCCTTCTCCTAGATTCCGACTTGTTGTTGAAGCGTGCCATGGCCATTGAAAAGACAATCTACTTGGAGTTTGGCGACATTAATCAAGACTACAAAAACAAAGTTCGCTCGTTAGCCCTAAATCTCAAAAATAAAAGTAATCCTGGGTTACGAGAGAGTGTAGTGAGTGGAGAATTAGCTGTGGAAAAGTTGTGTAAAATGAGTGTCGATGCCATGGCATCAGAAGAAGCTCAAGCCAGAGATCGTAAATTAGCCGAAGAAGCCTTATTCAAAGCGAGAGGTGCTGAATCCGCACAAGCCGAAACGGACATGTTCAAGTGTGGTAAATGTGGTGGCAGAAAGTGTACTTACTTCCAAATGCAAACAAGAAGTGCGGATGAACCGATGACAACCTTTGTTACATGCGTTGGGTGTGGCAATCACTGGAAATTTTGCTAAATTCTGGAACTTTTTTTTTTATATAGTAACTCAATAAAATTTTGTACATCTCTCTTTTTCCGTATGATGTCTCTGTTTATTGCTGTTGTTGCTGTTGTTGCTGTTGTTGCTCTAATTCGGCAACTTCTGCAGCAGCTTTTGAAAAAATCAGTGTTAATCAATCCATCTTAGAACCCCCCTCCCCCTCTAAAAAACAAACACCTACTTAAAAACCGACCGCCTGGTCCTCGAGGTCTTCTCATGGCATGCTTATGGCGACTTTCGTGAAGGTATGGTTTTCTGGCTCGTGAGGTTTTGTATTGTTCTTCCAATTTAAGTCGTGCTATTCTGCGTTTAAGAATTCGATGATACTGCTTTGCATTCACATACAACGGTTCCTCCTCTGGCTCCTGCTTGCTAGTTGGCGTTGTTGTTGTAGGAGCGGCAGCAGCAGGAAGAGGGTTCATTACCTGAACAATAGCTGCGACAGCAGCAGCAGTAGCAGCATTTTCAGAGGAAACCTAACAATCCGCGTGAGCGTTTCTATGGGATATGCTTGTCTAAAAGACCTTACTGGCGCCGGTTTAACAGTAGCTGTGTTTGATGTGGATGGTGTACTAGTCGAAGCTGTGAGTGAAGATGATGTTGGGTCTGGTACAGTCTATTATTTAGAGACAGCTTTTAATATGAGCTTTGCCATATTGTTTTGCTTAAGGGTCTTACCATTTGCTATCAATTGTGATGGTTTGCCAAAAAAAAAAAAAAAAAGAGATTGCAGATGAGTTTCCTCTACACGTACCTTTTATGCACCGTTTGACGACAACAGGGAAATATCTAGTCACTGATCTAGCAGCCTCCTCTAACCCTTCTTTGATACATTGGAAGAGACGTAGGACATTTACCATTATGAAAGGTATCGAGCGCTTACATGCATTGGCTAGGTATCACTGTAGCGTTAACGATGTGTATTTGATTCTTGAAGTCTAGCAAACTAGAATTTGAAGTATTGAAAACAACTGTTTCATAGCCATCCAGTCGAACTAGATTGATGGATCACCAAATCTGTTGTCCATGCTGAATGATTCTATACTAATCCAAGCTTCATTGGTGAATTCCGCCATTTTATCGCCTGCTCATTCCATCACCAATAGAAATCAAAACAAGAACGCAACAAACAAATGAACATTCCCATGAAACAAATAATGATATTGATAAATTATTTATAAATCTATTGGCATTACTAGGAGAAAGAGGAGAATGACGACTTATTTTGAGGTGAGAGAGTAGAGGCGGGTTGGTATGTAAGTATAATATTATAAATTAATAAGTTATTGAACAAGAATTAAGCAACTATAGAGGTCAATGTTAGCATACCGAACAGATAAGCATGATATGATGCTACTTACTCCTTCGAGCAAATTTAGAGGGGAGCAACAATGGCTACTACGGGAGCAACACTGGTTTCTACGGGAGCAACACTGGTTTCTACGGGAGCAACACTGACTTCTACGGGAGCAACACTGGCTTCTACAGGAGCAACACTAGCAGCGTTTGGAGCAACCCACTCGGTTATGGTTAAAGTGATGGTATGAGAGAGATCATATTCTTCATCAGTAGGATGGGTGGGCACCCACTGAGCACCATTGGCGATACCTACTACAAGGTTTGGACCAGCATTGGGGCTAACTACTACAGCGTCTTGACCAGCATTGGGGCTAACTACTACAGTGTCTTGACCAGCATTGGGGCTAACTACTACAGTGTCTTGACCAGCATTGGGGCTAACTACTACAGCGTCTTGACCAGCATTGGGGCTAACTACTACAGCGTCTTGACCAGCATTGGGTCCACCTGCTCCAGCATTTGGACCAGCATTGGCTCTACCTGCTCCAGCATTTGGACCAGCATTGGCTCTACCTGCTCCAGCATTTTGACCAGCATTGGCTCTACCTGCTCCAGCATTTTGACCAGCATTGGGTCCACCTGCTCCAGCATTTGGACCAGCATTGGCTCTGCCTGCTCCAGCATTTGGACCAGCATTGGCTCTACCTGCTCCAGCATTTGGACCAGCATTGGCTCTACCTGCTCCAGCGTTTTGACCAGCATTGGCTCTGCCTGCTCCACCGTCTTGACCAGCATTGGCTCTGCCTGCTCCAGCATTTGGACCAGCATTGGCTCTGCCTGCTCCACCGTCTTGACCAGCATTGGCTCTGCCTGCTCCAAAGCTTTCACCACCTCTTCCACCTTGTTCATCGTTTTCGCCACCCTTTCTGCGTTCTTCATAGTATTCCTTATCGTCCTTGTGCCAGTCACCCTTGCCTCCTTCATAGTCTTCCTTATCATCCTTGTGCCAGCCACCCTTATGGCCATGACTATGGCCATGACGATAACCATACTTCTTGTCATCTTCATCATCGTCATCATCGTCTTCATCGTCTTCATCTTCATCGTCTTCGTCGTCATCATCGTCATCATCTTCATCGTCTTTATCATCATCATCTTCATCGTCTTTATCATCTTCATCGTCTTTATCATCATCATCTTCATCGTCTTTATCATCTTCATCGTCTTCATCGTCTTTATCATCTTCATCATCTTCATCGTCATCATCACCGCCCTTATGGCCATGGCCATGACCGTGCTTCTTGTCATCTTCATCATCTTCATCGTCATCGTCGTGATGGCCCTTGCCGCCCTTCTTGTGGAAATCAACATTAGCATGATCCAACATACGAATAGCAGCAGTACCAGCTTCATAGGGACCCATAGCCTTGATGGTGATCTTGTGTTCACCCTTTGCCAAATCAAAGATACCCTTGCTGAAACGGTCATCGTTGAGAGCCTCCTCGGGAGTAGCAGCAAAAACTTGATCATCCTTGAGAGCGTCCACCTTGGTAGTCATACCCAAAGACTTGCCATTGTCAAAGACTTCAAACATATCACCACGGTTCTTGAAATCAGTTACTTGAATACGAGCATTGTTCTCAACATTGACATTGAATGATTCCTTGGCAACGGCCTTGTCGCCCTTCCAGCGGAAAACGACGAATTCGTTGGTCAATGCGGCAGGGGCAGCAGTGACTTCATCGGCAAAGTTTACAGGATTGAAGCCAGCATTCTCTGATGCGTATGCTGAGGCAGCAAAAAGAGCAATAGCTGAAGAAATAGCAAAGACAGTACGCATATTGAACTTTTTTTTTTTAGGTCTGGTTGAAAAAGAGGTATATGTTTAAAAAGATCAATTATAAGAAGAGAACGTACCTATCTAGCGTATCTTTTTATATGCTGCTGCTGGAAAATGTTGTGTTTGTGTGGTCCATACTTGAAGAGACAATTGCACGTCTTGATTGAAATATGACATTCTTGATGGAGGAAATTTATTTCAATGTCGCTGTAAACACAACATGCCACTCGCTGATTGCATATTCTCATAGCAGCAGAAAAGATGACTTGAATGTCCGTTGTAGCCAGATTTCACATCCACAAAAAAAAAATAAAAAAATAAAGGACAACTAGGTTGATTTAAACTTTTTTTTTTTCGTGTTTTCTTTGTTTGTCTGGATTGATAGACACAGAAAGAAAAGCAAATGAGCATCTCGGTAGAAACTTTAAAGGACGCCCTTGATTTTGCAAAGAATGGTAAATTATAAAATTCGCAAATATGCCCTGCATTTCTTGATAACAATCCACTAGATGACACTGTTGTCGAATCTGTCAATAGCTTGAACCAGTTGAGCAAGGATCACTCGAGCTGGGATAAAGGTGCTCAAGCCTGCAAGGATTTGGCTGATGCGCTGCGTACAGGTAAATACCACAAGATACAGCTACCAGACAAATGTTTTCATAGCTGCATACGAGTATAGCTTCGTTGAGATCTCCTCTTGGTGATTCGGGTATAATTGAAACCTTGGCAGGCTTATTGAATGAGACATCTGGAAGGCAATTCCATTTTCAAATTCAGGCACTGCGAGTATTAGGGAATTTATGCTTTGATCATGGTAATTTGATCTACATATTTGTTGATAAAGCAACTAATGGAGGATAAACAATAGAAAACAATCGCAAACGTATGAAAGATGCTGGTATTGTGCCTACTGTGGCCTCTTATTTGACTCAAGATGCACCTTCAGACTTGATTCGTACAGTATGTGGATTTTACTTGAACAGCAGTATGGATTACGGTAAGGACAATAAAGTGCGATTGCTACAAAAATACTCATTTGCATTGGGGGAATTCTGGCGTAGCTCCTATTCAAAATGAGATTGCTGAATGCGGGGCAGCCAAGCGTCTTGTCGATTTGATTGTACCTGGAAAACAGGACGATGGATCCATCACGATGGCCATCAAGGTGCTGGATAATATGGTCGCTGAAGGTTGGTGTCATTCGTCGCTAGATCAGTCGGTTATTGACATGCCACTGTAGAGACTGCTCGCAAGATTATTTCAACGCCATCTACAGTGATAGCCTACATCACAATGATGGAGCACATGTACAAATCTGAAGAATACATGGACGAACTGGATAATTTGGAGAACCTAGCAGACACATTGCTTCAACTCATAATGGATGATGGTATAGTACAACTGCGAACTGTCGAGGAAAAAAAAAAAAAAAACTCAGTACTCATCCAAGCAGATCTTCTTCAGAATGAAATTGTCGATATGGGCGCGTTGGACTTTCTGCTGGATTTCTTGCAGAACACTGACGTTGAATTGCAAGAAAAGGACGAGAAAGAGAAATTAGAGGAGATCCATAAAACGATGAGCAAGATTACCATCTATGCCACATCTACAGACGCCAAGATGGAGGAACTGTACAGCAACCGACATATGCTGTCCAGATTCTTGGACATGGCCAAGAGTAATTCAGAAGTTGTCCGTCAATGTGCCGTATATATACTTGGAAATCTCGCCAGAAGCGACCAGCACTGCATTGAACTGGTCGAAAAGTACAACTTGTCCAAGCTGCTGCTAGATATGTATCAAACCACAGAGAATGCTACATTCCAATACGCTATTTTGGGCTGTTTGAAACACTTGTGTCTTCCCGCGTCCAACAAGGACATTATCGGCAACGATGATTGCATCCGAATGCTATCTCCAGCTCTTGATGAATCCAAAGACATGCTCAAGAGAAACCAATTTCTCACCATTGGTATCATGAAATTGCTGTGCGCTAGCAACTGTAAGTGACCCTGTAGCTGTAATCCACAGCCAACTGACTGTTGTGGTAGATGACAACGCCAAGCGCATCATTCAAGAAGACAACACATTGTCGCTTGTTACGGGATTCTTAAAGCGAGTGGATGATGTTGCTGCCAAGAGCGAGGCTACTCGTGTGCTGACCAATCTAGTCAAAACTGTATGGGTCCAGAGCAACAACAATGACCTGCGAATGCAAGTTATGGAGGCACACATCATGGAGCCAATCATCGAGCTTGTGAGAACATCAACGTTTGCTGTGCTCAAGAACGATGGCATCATGGCACTCACATTGATCTTTTCAGAATCAAGCGAGAGTGCCACTACAAAGAAGGCGTTGTCCATCATCACTGCGGATCCACCTCAACCTATCATCGCGGGAGCGCAAGAAGAAAAAGAAGACGAGGGAGAAGAGCAAAAGGAGCACGAATCAAGATCATTTTTGCAAGTATTGATCGATGACATATGTGTGGAATCCAATGAGATCCCTGTCCAGATCAAATGCAATGCCTGCTTATTGCTCTGCAAAGTGGTGGAATCCGCCAAGAAAAACGATGATTTGCAGGTGATTGAAGCCATCAAATCCATTGCGTCAGATAGATTGGAAAGCATCCAGGACAACAGCGATTTACACAAATACGCTACCACACTATCCAAGGCATTACAACAACAATGATTAGATTGCCTAAAAAGTCAATCTTGTTTTTATGGCAGCAGCCATTTTAGCAAAATCATAACAAAGGGAATCCCCTTTTTAGGGCAATGTGTAACTCAGCAACGTCAATAGTAAATAAAGCTTATACTACCATCCTCTCTTCTTTCTTTTCTTCATTCTATACATACAATCATAAATGCCCTCTATCAAAAAACAAGAGAATTCCAGCACTGGTGGTGGTGGTTGGTTTTCAAGTTGGTTCTTCTCCAATACAGCCAGTGAGGATCAGGATGACAGTCTGCCATCCACATCTGCAGCAGCAGGAGAGACAAATTATGCCAGAAATCAGCACACACTTTCTTCACTGCGATCTCAAAAATCATGCAACAAGCCAGCCACTGCACAGAACAGAAACAGTGCAGCTACACTTGTCCGCACGGATACAGAGTCTTACCTGGATGCACCAAAATCATCTCGAGATCAAGCAAACGGAGTTTTGCGAAGAAAAGTAACTCGACGACTTCAACTCACCAACAACAATCTTGTCATTGATTGCCCCATCCCAGATCGACTACTCGGTGCACTTACCTTTAACGACCATGATGAGTTTTCTCAGCTAAGATACACTGCAGCAACATGTGAACCCGATGAATTTGAATCCAGAGGCTTCACATTAAGGCCAAAGATCTACAACCGAGAAACAGAGCTATTCATCGTCATGACAATGTACAACGAAGACGAGATCCTGTTTACTCGTACCATGCATGGTGTGATGAAGAACATTGCTCATTTGTGTAGCCTAAAGAAGAGCAGCATGTGGGGTCCAGAAGGCTGGAAGAAAGTCGTTGTTTGTATTGTCGCTGATGGTAGACAGGTGGTGAACAAAAAAGTCCTGGATGTACTGGCCTCCATGGGTGTCTATCAAGCCGGCATTGCAAAGAATGTAGTAGATGACAAGCCTGTCAAGGCACACATCTATGAAGTAAGTGCATCAGCTTGCTCTATGAAACTAGACTGACAGTTCTATTAGTATACCACGCAAATCTCTATTGATTCCGACATGAACATCAAAGGATCTGACAAGGGCATTGTGCCAGTGCAAATTATGTTTTGTCTGAAAGAAAAGAACGCAAAAAAGATCAACTCGCATCGATGGTTCTTTAATGCGTTTGGTCCAGTCATCAAGCCCAATGTCTGCATATTGCTGGATGTAGGCACACGCCCTGGCAATAGCAGCATTTATCAGCTATGGAAAGTGTTTCATCGCAATCCGTTGGTCGGCGGCGCCTGTGGTGAAATCCGCGCCATGCTGGGCACTGCCTGCTGCCAACTGCTCAACCCTCTCGTAGCAGCACAGAATTTCGAATACAAAATGTCCAACATTCTCGATAAACCATTGGAAAGTGTGTTTGGCTATATCAGTGTCTTACCGGGTGCCTTTTCAGCGTATCGATATGCAGCACTGAAAAACGATGTCAATGGTCATGGTCCTCTGGAAAAATACTTTATCGGCGAGGATTTACATAGCAACTTGCAAGGAAGCAGCCAAAGCATCAAAAACACCGGCTTGTTTGAAGCCAACATGTATTTAGCTGAAGACAGAATCCTTTGTTTCGAACTGGTGGCAAAAAAGGACGAGCGTTGGCTTTTGCAATATGTGGACAGCGCATTTGGCGAGACAGACGTTCCTAGCCAGCTACCTGAATTCATCTCCCAAAGAAGACGATGGCTGAACGGCTCTTTTTTCGCTGGTGTATACGGGCTGATTCATTTTCGCAAGATATGGAACAGTGGTCATGGCTTCAATCGAACCCTACTGCTGATGATTGAAGGCATTTACAATGTCATTAGCTTGGTTTTCAGCTGGTTCTCGGTGGTAAGTGTGTCGTACAACATCCAGTATGTATCAGCATTGACAGTTAAATGATACACCAGGGGAACTTTTACATTGCATTTTACTTTATTACCAAGAGCCTGTCAGCTTCTAATGTAGATCCATTCGGTAATGGCTGGGGAAGCAGGATATTCGATTTTTTCAAATACGCGTATGCATTCCTGTTGTTTGTTATATTTATCTGTTCTATGGGAAATCGCCCACAAGGGTAAGTGCAGACATAACACAACTATAGCTCTCCTCTAATTGTCTGCATCTAGCTCCAAGTTTCTCTTTATGGCATGCCTCGTTGGATTTGCTATCATCATGTGCTACATGTTATTCTGCTCATCATGGCTGATTTACAAGGGAATTCAACTCGCTGCTGAAAAGTACGACTGGACATATAACACCACCACCAACTTCCAAATAGCCATGAGTGATCCTGGTTTGAGAAACATGGTGATTTCTCTCAGTTCAACGTATGGCATTTATCTTGTATCAAGCTGTTTGCATCGTCAACCGTTCCATATGATGACCAGCTTCTTGCCTTATCTTTTACTTTTACCAGGTTATATCAATATCCTAAACATATACGCTTTTTGTAATACACATGATGTGAGGCAAGTACTTTTCAGTATGAATGTACTGGTGTGAGATTTGTCTAATACGTGGTCTTGTTATTTACAGCTGGGGAACCAAAGGTGATAACTCAGTAGCTAAGGACTTAGGCGTGGTCAAAGTATCCGAGAAAGAAAAAGGCGTCAAGACTGTAGAAATCGAGCTACCTGCTGATCAGCATGATATCAATTGTCAGTATGATGAGGCACTGTTTGCGCTTGATGAAAAGCCCTCCAAAGATATGGTAGGTGTTTATCAATGACTCTGCGTGGCTAGAAGCTAACCGAAAGAAAAAACACTGTCGTTAGAGCTCAAGCGGATCATTAACAAAAGATGATTACTATCGTTCTTTTAGAACACATCTGGTGTTGGCATGGATTGCTTGCAATGCCCTGCTAGTTGTTTTCATTACAGCATCCGACTACGAATCCATATTTAACCCATCTGTTGGTACAACCTATATGTCTATCATGCTCTGGGTGAATTGCGGTCTAGGCATATTCAGATTCCTGGGATCCATCATGTTTCTATTGCTTGGGATATTCACATCTGGCTAATGGGGCACTCACTCCAAGTATGCTGCAAATAAACTCTATTGACACATTTGGCAAAAACGCAAGCTCTGTGTATTTTGCGCAATCCTTTATTATGCTCATACGAGTGTTTATGCTTCCGACGGCTCTCTGCCTTCGCTTCGCTTCGGTAAGAGGCAACCTGCGCTGCCGATTGCCCTTGCGTATCTTTTCAAAATACTGCTACTTTTATTTTGACCCTGCACTTGCACATAAATACCTTTTATATTATCTGTGGATCTGATTCTTATGCGATGCTCTACATCCATATACACGTAGCTACTTCATAAACGGGCAAGTATCATACAAATGTTACCCCTTTTTAGTCAAGAGTGTGCCTACTATAGCAAACTCTGAGTGCATTTGAGCCGCGTTTTTTCGCGTTCAAGACCGTTTTAGATTGTCAGAATAACACCAAACAATTGTTCTCATATGGCAGTTACTTTCTGACACATTTGCTTAACTTTTTGGGGATCAAAAAAATATGGACACAAATCGACCAAAAAGCATGAGGTACCCCTCATGGTTTTCATCGAAAATCAAACGATTGCATTTTTCACCTTGAAAATAAAGACTTTTTCTATGGTATATATCAGATCAAAATGTTTCTATCGATCTAACGTAGCCTCTGATATCATCTTTGTGGAACTTTGACATGTAAAATTTCGATCTTTTGGCCAGAAACCTCTTTTTATATTTTCATAAATTGCTCTGTAAGTTTATTCAAAACATCTACCTTACTTGGTACCATTGGGTGCACCTTAAAAAGTACTCCAAGAAGGTATTAGGAAGCATCGGATGATTATCATATTTTATATAGTCGAATCTGCTAAAGTAGTTGAATCTAGTCGAAAATCATTAAGATTTTGGCCAATCTGGAGCAGACTATGATTCTGGGTTTGAATTGATTTTGGTTCGTGGGGCCGGCTGGCAAGCTCAATGCCCTTTTTCATCATGAAAGCAATACTGGGTGCTTTTGAAGCGTATTGAAAGTAGGTGGCAAATTACAAGGCATTATTGTCAGCCTTTTTGTTTTTTTTGTATTCTATATTTAATAACGCCAGTCTACCAAACTACTTACTAGATCGATTTTTTTTCCTTTTTGAGGCATTGAAAGTGTCTAGAGACCATTATGCTGTGAGTATACGTATCGTATAATAATAGATGCATTAAAGCCCTTGCTGTTATATTCCTTTCAACATTCTTCTCACTATCTTTATCAGTACACATTACACCTTTTACCAAACATCACGCATAATTGCCAAGCAGTGGTTGTTCAGGGTGTTTCCTATCACTTATAAGACATAATAAATTCCTCTTTTCGTATAAAAAAAACCCCCCCTTTAAACGACCTTTAACTCTAGATTCGGCCCTTTGAGATGCCCCATGTTTGTATCAATGGAAGCAATTGATAAACAGGCATACAGCATACTTGTATTGCCACTTACTCTCCAAAAATGTACAAGCTACAGTATAATCTGGATACGTTTAAGCAGCGTTTTCTCGTGCTACAAGCCGTTTTAGACGGCCAGAAAAGCACCAAACAATCCCTCTCATCTAGCAGTAACTGTCTGGCACCTTTGCTCAACTTTTTTGGGATTGCCAAAAATCGACCAAAAAACCATGAGGGATACCTCATGATTTTCATCAAAAATCAAACGATCGCGTTTATGACCTCAAAAATGAGAACTTTTTCTATGGGATATAATACATCAAAAGGTTTCTCTCGATCCAAAGCAGCCCCTGGAACTTTATTTGTGCCACCTTCATATGTAAAAGCTTGACATTTTCGCCAAAAACCTCATTTCATATTTTCAGACATTCTTCAGCAAGTTTTTTCAAAGCATCTGTTTTAATTGGCACCATCGGATGCGCATGGAAAAGTACTCCAAGAAAGCTTAAGGAAGTATAGGCTGATGAGCACATTTCCTATAGTCGAATCTTGGCAAACTGGTTTGAACAAGTCGAAGATGTCTAGAATTTGTCCAATCTGGAACGAATTTTTGGATATCGGAGAGTAAAATATTTTGGCTGCCAAAATGCATTCTCATGAAGGCAATGGATGTCTCTGAAGCTAGTAGGAAGGGGATTGAGAAGTGAAGTATGCTGTAGTTTCATTAAAATTCTTCTTGTTGCAATTTCTACTAATCTATATATAGGATAGGCTCAAGCGTTTTGAAAAGCTTCTCTAAATGCGATTCGTCTAACGAAATGCAAAATTATCACCTTTATCAGAATTGCATGATACTTGGTTCGTAATCCTTAGCAGGAATATACTGTAACATTAGTTTTTTACTTTGATCTAATGGTATTCACAGCAGTTACAGATATGGAACGTTGAAATATAGAATTGCCTTTCAAATGCCATTTTATTCAACTGTGATGAGCACCATTACATTTTATTGGTAAAGTCTTTCAGAAATCAATGTCGAACTCATTAATGATCCAAGTAGAGGTTAGAGCAAGCCTTCTCACAGAGTATTGGCGAGCTCAGGCAACTAATGTAATAGATCCCCTTTTGTGTTTGTCAGATCAGCTCTAAGCATGCGATCTACATATGTATTTCACCTTACAAAAAGTACAATAGCATCACTAACGGGGATCAAATTTCCAGTTTTGTTGTTCCTGAGCATGCTTGATTGACATTTGCAAACACTCAATACAAATGCTGTGGTGCTGCTTATAGTAGATCAACAAAACATGCGAAAGAAATGTATGTATTGTGTGCTATTTTTAGATAGTATTGCTACTGTATTGTGCCTTGTTTCCTGACAATGAGATTGATCTGCATTTAAAGATCAATCAGTAAATATGTTAGGGTAGTAACAGATTAAGACCCATCAAATCTATAAGTAGTGGCCTGATACAACTCTTCAACTAAAGACATGCGGTTGAATTACTTGTAGCTTTGATCTTTGTAGAAGGGTTGTAGCAAATGGAGATTAGATATTTATCATCTCCACGATTTTTTTTTTTTCAAACACATCACCTCTATGATTTGGCCAGATATGATTAGACCATACATTGAGCTGAAGAAGGAAGCTAATCAAAGCATTCATGGGATTGCAATAGCACCCAATCTCTTACGATCAAACAAGCAATAGCTCACTACCTTAAGTCTCAATGATTATCTCCACATGTCAGATTGAAATGGCCCCAAATCCATAACACCATTGGCTGTTTCGAGGCCAAAAAAAAAAGCGGTCTTGGTGACGTACAGACTGCAACAATGAAGGTTCATTATTTTTCTTGAATAATCTTTTTTCTTTCGCAATCCCTTCTCAGTTTCCACGAACATTTGGTAATAATATATATTCATAATCATAATATTTCGCATATTATATTCTTTATATATTTCATCAATTGGTTACAATGGCAACGAAAGAGGATAGATATCCCAAGGAACACAAGCCTTTCCCTAATGATAAACCTATATCCTCTTCTCAAGGCAGCAGCAGCATGAGCAACAATGGCACCGGCAGCAGCAGCGGCAAGCAGCATCCCGACTTTAAAGACGCATTGAAGAGCACCATCAGTCGACACATGAAGGGATTTCGAGCTACCAATGTCATTACTTACAAACGTTTTCGAGACAAAAGCACATGGCAAAGACCTGGCGAGTTTGCTGAACTTGTGGCAACCGACGATGAAGATGCATTTACAGCTGATCCAAAGGAAGCATGGCCTATTATGCAAGACATGAACATTGATATACCAGTCAGAGAGTTGACCAAACAGCACCGTGTAGTCGACCGTAACTGGACAGTGCCTGTGTCCAACAAAAAGTTCAAGCAGCCCGAGCCCATCTATCCACAAAGCACCGGTGTTAAATTGAGAAATGTGGAGGACATTATGAACGATTACAGCAAGAAGGCACCACCTCAAGCAACATCAAATACGCCCTCGCTGTCATTGTCAGCATCTTCTAATGCGAACAAATCTCTGACACCAACGACAAATTCAATACCACGCGTTGCAGATAAAAGCCAACGCCCACTTCAATTGATTCCCGATAAGATCAAAGGTGTTTTACAGAATTTGACTGATACAAGACGAAAGCCAACCTCATCAGCCAGTACTACACCTGCCAAGAGCCTTGGAAACACGCCCTCGAGTAACACACCTCTTAAATCAACTGCATTGAAATCATCTACCATCACTCCTCAGGATCCAAAAATCAAAAAACAAACAGCACATCCAATCACCACCACAACCATCACAACTGCGAAATCAGCTAATACACAAAGTCGACCTCGGGTTTCATCCAAGACGATACCGATGGAGAAAGTGACACAAATTGAAAATATACCAGTAAGTAAACAAGAGTTTATCATATGGAGCATGCTGAATTAAGCATAGTACCAGGATCTTATGGAGGCCCGCAAATACCTAATCAGTCCTGATGAAGTGGAATTTCGAAGCTTGTTGAGTTTGCAAGAGTAAGTATGCATGTGGGTGAAATGTGGAGAATATCTTAGTAATACAAGGACATGATTCTAGAATGCCCAAGAATGCTCAAGTAAAGGAACGACCTCAACTATACTTTCGTTTATATCCCAAACCCGATGAAAACGACATGTCCAAGGGCCTTAAACAACACATTGCATCAGTAAATAATATCAAACCCAAGCAGGAAAGAGCAGCATCAGCGTCGTCCACCAAAAGTAAGTACTACACAAACATTTTGCAACATAATCGTTTATTAATCTCATCATATCATAGAAAATCAAGCGAAAGCTTCAACACATTCTAAAAGTACAACATCCACCACCACAGTCAACACTAAAGACACATCATTACCACCCTCGGATTTATCAACAAGATCTGCTGGTAAATCTAATAGCAAAAAGAAATCGCAGAGCGATCATAGCCAGGCGCCAATACGTACATCCACCACCACCACGACAAAAAGCAAACAGCCCATCCATGTTAAGGAGGAAGGAGAGGAGGCTACCGCTATCAAATCTGAAAAGCAAGTCTATCCTAGTTCTGTATCTGCTGAATTCTTGAGATCAACAAAGATCCCCAAACGCAACAACAGCATTAACAAATCATCATTCTCATCGCATGATATAGAGTTGGAGGAAGGCGAAACAATTAGTCCATCGCCATCACCTATTCGTACGAAATCTCGATCAAGTCATACAGGCATGGATGATGAAGGCAGCGGAACCGAGCGTTCTACTGCCCCTGGGTCAGCTTCTCGAAAATTAGCAACCACAGCAGTTGCGGCATCCACATCTACTCAACCATCCACCTCCACCTCAACTACAACAAGTAAGCGTCGCGATGAAGAGAAATCTAGTCGTGAGCGTGAAAAGGGCCGTGATCGTCATCGTTCTGAAAGTGTCGGTTCTAGTAGAAGAGATCGTAGCCATCGCAGAAGTCGATCTCGCTCACCTGTCAGTAAAAGCCATCGTTCTGATAGCAAGAGTCAACGACAAACCAGCTCTGAATCAAGCCATCGACGCCGATCACCTGCTGTTCGTTCAGAAAGAGAATCCAGTCGTACTGAAAAAGAGGGTATTGCTTCGATTGCTGCAGTTAATACCAGCTCCCGCACTGACAAGGAGACATCGCGATCAGACCGGGAATCATCACGCCCTGAGAAAGAGACATCATCTACTAACATCAGCCGATCAGAAAGAACAAACAGGGAACGGGAATCGTCTGGTAGAGAGCCAAAACGCAAATCAGTCCATGACGCTGCTGACAGTAGATCAAGTGTCAGCGAACCACCCACAAAGCGGCTTGCAACCACTAAAACCAGCAGCAGTAGCAGCAGCAAGGATGACAGCAAATCTTCATACACTAATACTAATACTACACCCACAACTATAATAGAAAAGGATACCAAATATACCAGCAATTCTAATCCAGTGTCCAATTCATCATTATCCACTTCCAAAAATGTCAAAAAGGCGACTGCTACTGTTACTACTCAAGTGGCAAGCACGCCCAAATCAGTCTCTACGCCCTCTACATCCTCCTCGATATCAAGTAGTACAGCCATCACTGCCTCTCATGTGCCTGAAAAGATCATATCTGCTACAGCACCCAATGCTGAATCACCAGAGCAACTCAAGATTTTCACCATCATGTAAGTATTTTGTGTTTAGAAGTTAATGCGAGTATGAGACTGACACAGTGAGCGTGTAGGTTCAAGCAGCTGGCACATGCAAATAAGCGACGAGGCGATAGCCAAAAAGACCCTGTGATTGGGGTCATCGACCATTTCCACGCACTGTGTGATTACATGCTGAACTTTTATTTTATCGACAAGGTCAACACAAACGTTCCTTTCAAGCAGGCATCTGTCGCATGGAAGAGCCTGTTCCCATTTTCTGACAGTCTATTATTGAAGCTGCAGGCCAATCATTTGAATGAATTGTACGGCTTATGTGTTCGATTGGTTGCACTGATTCGATATTACATTTATAGTCGCATGGAAAGCGCCACTCGACCATTACTCACCAAGCACCTTAGCAGCAGTGGAAGTCAGGACTCGAACTATACCGACCGTACTTGCATTGAGATGACAGAAGGGCTATTGCGAGAGCATGAAAAGGCAGAGAAATGCTACAAGGAATCCGAGAAATACATGACTTTTGGCAAGGTAGCAAGCCAATTTCCAGGCACATTCAAAGACGTGTGTATAGATGGTAACATCTTGGCAGGCATCACGCTAGGCGGCGAGGCAGGCGTATCTGTTGGACCCATGTTTCCCTTCACGCCCTACTCACCCTTGCACCATGCAGCCATTGTATCCAAGTGTATCCTCAATGAATATGTAACAAAACACAACTTGAACTACTCTCCTATTACCAAGCCAGAGGAGTTCATGTAAACTGTAAATTAAACCATCTAGCAATAAACTTTCAGGCTATCATACCGAGCCATTTCATGTTTAGATTGATCTGCTTGCATAGTTAGCAATGGTGCACACAACTGTAAATTAAAGCTCAACCGTCCAACTGTACGGCAACATTCAATAGAGCTTGTTCGTGTTTTTCTCTTCTTTCATCTCCTTCTTTCTCTTATATTTGAGTCATGGCCATAGCGAGACGTACCCTCCTCCTTCTTTCTGTTCTGCTGGTATCAAAATGCATCACAGTGGCATGGTCAAATACGCATACAAACAGCATTCATGCCTTGCACAAACGCAGCAATGAACTAGGAGTAGAAGCCGGCAATAAGGTATACAGCACAAGCTTCTGCTTCTTGATGCCGATACTAAATGATCGCATAAAAAGTGTGATAACATCAACCTACAACAAGATCAGTGCGCCTACGTGCTTGAACACTGTATGGATGCAACACCTGGTCTATTCAACTATATACAACTCTACTACTGCTCGTCTGTGAGGCCACTGGTCTTTTTGTTTTTGGTATGTAGAATCTCCTTTCGAATGTACATTCGCTTAATCTCATGCCATGGCATAGTGCGGATGGCTCTTGTTTCTGTTTGGATTTGTCGGCATTGCAGCATCAGACTTTTTCTGTGAGTGTCACATTGATTCATACAGCATGTGCAAAACTCTCATAGTATATCCCCCCCCACCTAGGCCCCAACCTGCAAACGATCGCTTCAGCACTGCATCTTTCAGAAAGTCTAGTAAATATCGATACAGCTCCAGCTTGTTACGAGTACTCATTTTTGTGGAATTAGACGGGAGTGACGTTCTTGGCATTGGGTAACGGAAGTCCAGATCTCTTTTCAACATTTAGTGCGATGCATTCCAATCTAGGCTCACTGGCACTAGGTGAGCTGATAGGTGCGGCATCGTTCATCGTAAGTGTGGTAGCAGGGTAAGATTATTATGCGGGTGTATGGATAGAGTGCTAAATCAGTATTGCTTAGAACAATGTGTGCCATCAAGCCATTCAGGGCAAAAAGGTTCAGTTTTATTCGAGATGTGTCCTTCTTTACATGCGCCATTTTGCTCGTAATGGCTATTGTGTCTGATGGCTTGATTCACTTTTATGAAGCCATTATTTTGATCCTATTTTACGTTGTGTATGTCATGGTGGTTGTAGGAGGAAACTATTACATGAAAAAGAGATCAAATTACTTGAATCTGGTGGAAAGAGCGCGTTTAGAATACGAAGAAACTGGCACTGATGTGGACAATTTACTGCGAGGAAATGCGTTTATCAGCGGTAGGGTGACACAAGATCAGACTGCACTCATATTCATGCTGACATGACACTAGGCAACCAAACAAACGACGATGAGATGGAGTTGTATGACGAAGGCTTTGAAACGGAAGGATATCAGGATTTGGTGCATCAAAGGAATGGAGCACACCCAAAGCTAAGAATCCGTACATCATTATTCTCTGCTATCGAGTTTCAAGATGTAGTACGATCCCTAAAGAGCTCAAGTCCCATCTACGGCAACAATAACGACAGCTCAGCACAACGAGATCAGCCATTTTCGAGCCAGACGACTCCCTTCGAACGATATTCAGATGATGTATCACTGCACACGGCTGAGAGTAGACATAATGAACCATTGCCCACACTGTCTCCTGCTCGTCCATGGAGCAGACTGCTATACCAATTTTTTAATTCGACAAACACACACTACATCAAACGTCAAATCAACAAGCATCTGTTTCCATCGTTGGTGGGATTTCGACAAAAGTCGACGTTTGGTAAAATGAGTGCCATTATCTCCACGCCAGTAATATTTCTATTAGCAACTACGCTGCCTGTTGTCAATGAGAGCACGCTAGCTGGAGGAGGAGTGTCACAGATTGAACTGAATGATGATACAGTGGGTCTAGTCAATACGTTTGTTGGCGATGACGATATTGCAGTCAATACAGAGCAAGTGTCTTGGGCAAAATGGCTCACTGCTGTTCAATTGTTCGGCGCACCACTGCTTGTTTCGTTTGTCATGATAGCACAAGACATTGCACCGGTGTATGTTGTACTGCCTATTGGATCTGCTGTTGGCATCATGGTGTCAGTGGCATTTTGGATGACCACCTTGCCCTCAAAGCAACCACGCTTATTCTGGATGATGTGCTTTATTGGTTTTGGTGTAGCTGTTGTATGGATATTTTTAATTGCCAATGAAGTAGTCAGTGTCTTGCAAGCAATTGGTATGGCTGTGGGTGTGAGCGAAGCTATCCTCGGGTTGACTGTGTTTGCATTGGTAAGTGTGCAGGAAAGAGAGACTACTGAGATATTCATATTGAATTTGGTTTGATCAGGGCAATAGTCTGGGTGATTTCGTTGCCAACGTGACCATGGCCAGAATGGGCTATCCATTGATGGCGATGAGCGCTTGCTTTGGAGGCCCCATGTTGAGTAAGTCGCTATTGATCTCGCGGTTTAGATAGAACACTAATGCACTCAAAGATATTATGCTGGGCGTGGGCATTGGAGCCACATTTGTCACTTCACAGAGAAACGAGCCTTATAGCATTGATGTATCCAAGACAATTGTCGTGTCTAGTATAGGCCTCTTAGTTGTTCTCATTTCATCGCTTATACTGGTGCCCTTGAATGGATACAGAATGTCTCGAAGATTTGGATATAGCTGGATTGCCATCTATTTAGTCTGCACAGCCATCAATTTATATATTGAAATCAGTTCTTGAGCAGCTTTCTCTTATGCTACTATTTGTACTTTCAAACCCTCTTTTATTACATTTATACCACATCACATTTGTGAATTATACTTCATTAATAAGATTGCTTTGTGCAACAACAGTTGGATAATCCATACAGACCTTGAACCCTTGGTGCTCCTTGATGGAACATACAAAAAGCCAATCGCTAAAGATTCGACTTGGCCCCCCCCCCCAGTTGCTCTGCCCTAAAATTCATACAGGTTTGATTAGCAATAAAACCAACAATGATAGATGCAGCACTTTCAAGTGTATACTATAAAGAATGCGATACCAGATGTGGCAAAAAGCACATTAGCAGGGCGTATCCACAAGTCAAACCTATCCTATCATCAACCGCCCTGACTTGAAACATTGTATATTCAGGAACGAGAATATGGCATGCTTATTCATTGGACACTGACACAAACAAGCCATAATCTATCCCAGATGCTTATGGCTCACGTATGATAAGAAATAGCAACATTGGAATGATATCATGTAGCGTAGTTGGTTAGAGGCAGCGACTGAGATAATAAACTGTGGTATGCTAGTTGCCTCTAATACAGACTAGTATGCCAAGGTGGGAAAAATGGTTTGTGATGAAAAAAGAAACTCTTCTTCTTATCAACTAATGTAGAACATGTGTCTTATGCCTCATACTTTTTTTTATCATTGTGTATGTAGCCCCCCCACACTTAAACTGCCGTAAATAAAGGATTTGCCGTTAAACAGGGATAATTTACACGACACAGCAGGATATACATGGTGATACCCGAGACAAAGATAAACTATTATACAAAAGATATGATCCTGTGTAACACCCCACATTAGAGGAGAAGAAAGGATCTTATCTTTATAGAGCTAAATATCAAATGTGTGGGAAAATGGCAGATACCGAGAACACTACAACTGATAACGACTTGCTATTTTTCATTGCATTGACAAAGCTGCTTCAAAGATTAGGCGAGGCAACGCCATTGCGGATATATTCTGTGCGATTCCAATAAGCGCGCAGATTCTGATCATTGAGAACATGGTCCTTGAAGATCTCAGGTTTCAAGGCTGCTAAAAAGGTAAGGTGGGAGAGCAATGCTACATCAGCCCAGCCAGCTATACGCATATGAGAGTCAATATTGGTGAATTGCTGCCAAGTATGTCTACATTACGTTGTTCACCAGTAACAAAAGGAAACTCCTTGAGGTGAGCACTGATGATTGCAATACCAGTCTTGATCTTGGTAATATTCTCATTGGCATCTCCAGCAAATTGCTCCAATGTATTGCCCTTCATCCAGGACTCACGGTCTTGTCTGAACCAATCCTGCAATGCTTGATCACCTACGGATTGGTGAATGTCTAGCAAGACGAGTCTAAAGATTGGCGTATTGATGTGCTTTTCCGAGTAGGTCTGAAAGAATTTGTGGGTAGCAACATTACCATGGAACAGAGAGGGCTTGTTGGGAAATTGCTCCTCCAGGTAATGAGCAATGTGCCATGAATCAACGACGGATTTGCCGTTATGAACAATGATGGGAACAGCGGGTCTTTTGTCACTCTTACTACAAAATGGTTAGCATATTCATTATACAGTTGACATGTGCAGTGTACTTGCGTGATTGCAGGGATTACAGTTTTAATATCATCGAAATTAACCCACTTTGTTTCATAAGGGATATTCTGGATATATATGCGAGATACTGTTCAACGTGAGGTCTCCCTGAGGTATGTTTGAATGTAGCTATGTACCTTGAGATTCAATGCATAACGAGTTTTACATGTGTTGGGTGACCACACCAATCCAGGCTTCTTGAGCAGTTCGAGATCATAGAAAACGACACTATGGTTGTTTGCAAGCATGGGAAAATACTAAGCTGGAAATTATAGCAGTGAAAGAGTGCAATAGAATTATACAACTATGGCTTCCATGTCCAGACTGGTCAGGAGACAAGGGTGTTTAGATAAGATTCCGTCGACCTTAGTGATTGGCTGTTGGCAATTGCTCACTTATCACTTATTGGCCTCAACATGCATTTGTAGTTCCTTGAACTTCCGTTGCAAAATGTTAAAAATGGCCACATTGGATCAGGTATATAATGAGCGAGTTATTTTGGATTTCTCGCTTTCTCTACTTTATCTCTCTCTCTCTCTCTCTCTCTCTCTTTCTCAATTAGCATTTTATATACCATGTCTCTACCTCCTCTCGTCTTCTTTTCTCTTACCCCTGAAGATGACAACGATGATCTGTATCCCACATCACCCCAGGATTACAAAAATGAAGAGTGTACCTGGATTGACGATTCTGAATGCCAAGAAAACCTGTTCCAAATCATCTCATTGACGCCAGAAGAGACCATCATTGACAAAGACAACCACATTCAAGCATCGTTCAAGCTTTTCTTTGAGGAATTGGGCTATCTCACAGAAGAACCAGAGCCCATTGATCCAAATCGTGATTATGAACAAGAGGCAAAAGATCTCATGAGTCAGCGTGATAGAAAAGCCCGTCAGAAGCATGTAGATCTCTTTTGTCTACCTTCGCTAGATTCCTCAAGATCTGGATTATCGTCATCTTCGTCGTCGATCCATCATGAGCACCACATTGATATCAGATCACCCCATTACATGGGCCAAACACATCATGCACATACCAGCAAAGACCCCAATCTGTCATATCACTATGGATATCATCATCATCACAATTACCACCATCATCTTCATCATCAACAAAGACCAAGTAGACTACATTAAACCTGCCCCCTCTCTTTCATATACTAGTACTTATACCCCCTTTTTCCCCTCTTTGATTGTCTCTCCCTCTTTACATACATATTTATTTCAATAAAATTATCACATTTAATAATTTTCCTTGGCTGCTTTGGCTAGTGCTTCACCTTTTCTCTTGACGACGCCCATATGAACAATGCGATCACCAGCCATAGCCACTGGGTTTGAGCTGCGTCCTATAACTACACCTGTGCAGGGAGAAAAGTACTCATCAATGACATTACCAAACATGTTTTTAATGCGAGCAATAATCTCTCCCTTCTGGACGAGCTTATTCACACTTGGATATACTTCCAAGAGACCGCCAGTTTTTGTGTAGAGCTGTCAAATGAGAGAAGAAGTGTGTGTGTGTGTGTGTGTGTGTGTGTGTGTGTGTGTGTGTGTGAGTATGACCAACAACAAAAGGTCTAGTCTCTTTAGTTCAACTTACCCAAAATCCTCTTGAACACAAGACAGTGTGAGGCGGTCCGTTCAAGTTTTCCTCATTTGCCAGTGTATTGATTTCAGTCATGTTGATGTTTTTCAAATCATACATATCAAAGTGATCCAAGATTCGCATGACTCCCATAAAAGACCACTATTTAATAAGAGTCAGTACCCAAAGCTCAATCCAACTCTTCTGATGTCTTACTTGGATATAGCGATCTTGAAATGTTTGCGGGTTACCTATTTCAACTGTGATGGCTTTGATACCGCGTGCTGCTGCAGCTGATCGTAACGTGCCTGAATACCAAAAATACGATTAGCAGGAAAATAACCTTGGCTTCCATATTTATCAATGTACCATCTTGCCCAGAATTATGTAATAAAATCTGTGGCTGCTGTAACTTTGCCATTTTGGCGCCCAAGGGATCATTCTATAGTCCACCATGATCAGTATAAAGCGGGCACCCAGCTTTAATTATATACCCACCATGTCTGCTCGAACATAGTACGAGTTGATTCTGCCAAAACTCGCAGTATGCAAATCAACCATGTAATTGAACTGAGAGATGATCTTGTTCATCAAGTGGTCGCAGAACACTTGGCTTGCATAGCCATCGTTTTTACCCGGAAACTGCCGGTTGAGATCTCGTCCATCTGCAAACTCGCGCTTAAACTTGAGGAAGCCCCATACATTGACACAGGGCACAGCAACCACCGTGCCTTTTAGTTTGTTGACATCGATTTGAGAGATGACTCTAAATGTAAATATTTATGTCAATCGACAGCATTGCGTATTCGTTCATGGTCATCTCTACTTGCCTGTGGATACATGGCACGCCGTTCAACTCATTGCCATGAACCGCTGCTGTAATGCCTACAACAGGACTGTAAAATGGATAATGTCAGTATGCACCTAAATACCCCATTGTATAGTGCTTACCCATCTTCTGTCCCACGACAAACAATGATTGGGAGTTTCAACCACTCGCTAAGGCCCTGTGTCATCATCTTGATCCAGGCAGTGCTAATTGTGTTCAACGGGAACTCATCCACTTCTAGTTTATCTCGAGTTACAGGCGGTGGCATGTCGGTATCTTTGTGAATCAATGCAAACGCGGGTGGCTCATAAATAGCATTGGGATCAAAAGATTCCATGTTGATAAGGCTATCACGACGTTCCAGCCTCATTCGCTTTGGCTGCTGGTCAGATACATCCATGACGTGCACTTTGTTTTCCAACTCTAAAGTAGGTGATTGCGCAGAGGGTGCTTTGATGAAGTTGTCCTCCTGTTCTATGGGTACAAGCAGGCTAGGACGACGATGGGAAGGACGTCTTTGGCTGGGCACAATGCCTTTATTGTTGTTGAATCGCTGTGGGGGCGTCTCTTCTTCTGGAGGAGCAGTGGCAGTAGCACCTTGAGGTTGTGGTTGCCCCTGCATGATACCGCCGAATGTCTTGCCTTCCTCGATCTGAATAACGACGACAGTGGCCTCTGTATTATTTACATTAATGACTGTCTTTATATGCTGCTGCGTACAGATACATACCAACGCCAACATAGGCAGATTGTCCTGCCTGATTTGTTGCATTCAGTAGAATACTGGTTGGGCTTGCGTCTTCATCGCGTTCTACAAACAGGGTTTCTCCCTTCTTTAGCTCAAACTTTTGATTGAGCTCATGATTTTCATCCAAAATGACACTGATGAAACCCTCGACTACGTAGACAAGAGCAAACGCGCCAAACAGCATGTTCTTTCCAGAGTCTACATCGCCTTGAAGATCTGTCTCAAAGGAGCCAATCTTTTCAACTCTAACCTGCGCTTTGCCCAGCTCACGTCGAAGCATGAATTGCAAGCATGAAACAGGCGAATTTGACAATTTGCATGTAGTGGCCCTAGATGTGCACATGTGGATTAGGCACTGTAGCAGCACACGCACCCATGTCTTACCATTCTCCCTGCCATGAGTACGGGAATAAAGGTTGAATCTTGGTCAAGGTTTCTCCTCCTTGATGCAACAATGAAAAGCAGGCATTGGATTTCTTGTCATCGTCTGTGGGCAAGATTACGGTCGTACTATCACGAATAATCACGAATTAAATCAGCCCCTTTCAACCCACACTATATTGCTTACCACTCATAACCAGGAAATAGCGAGTAGCTACAGTTGGCATGCATTGTGTTTGTACTAAATCGCCAAAAAAACTCATCCTTGATGAAATTCTTATCAGGTGGATAAATCGCTATTTCGTCCGTGGTACCCAAGCCGTTCTTCCATTGCTGAGTATGATAGTCGCTTCTGTACATTCATGCGTGAGTACACAGAGGTGCGTGTATCGCCAACAACGGTACTTACTCGGGTTTCAAGACAACAGCCTGTATGAGCGTAGGATCGGGTGACTCAGATTGAAGCAATGGACCCTCTTTATCAGATTCTTGGTTTTCTTTGGATGTAGCCGACATGTGTGAGAGCTTTAAGAGAATGAATAAAGTAAATAAATAGAAAGAGAAGGAAAAAAAAAGAGAGAGAAATGAAAAGACAGGTTTTTATTAATTTAATAAATACATGGCAGATTGTTGGTGTGAATCGGCAAGCATGGCTTCAGAGCAAGGCAGTGGTCGATTTGGCTGTTGTGGTAAAACTGCCACCCAATGGGAGAACACCAAAGTCGTCTGCATTGAGCCCACGTTGTTTCATTGCAGCTTCCAATCGCTGAGGAGGATCCTGCACAGGTTCATCCGTCAACACAAAAGTGCCCCAGTGGATGGCAATCTAATATGCGCTCTAGTTGAGCCTATAGGTTTCATACTAAAGCAACATCAACTTACAGATTGTTTACTCTTGATATCTCTATGTACATCTACAGCATCCTCAGGGGAACAGTGGAATGGCGACATGAACCATCTGGGAGAATAGGCGCCAATTGGGATCAGTGCCAAATCAAAGGGGCCAATTCTATCGCCAATTTCTTATGGATACAGCATGAGTTGGTTATTAATGCAGTGATGCAAAACATGGATTACCTTTGAATGCAGGGCAGTGAGGTAATGTATCCAGATATTCGTAATTGTACTCTGATTCAGGCTTGGTATTGAGAGGAATCCCACGATAGCCTGTATCACTGTAGGCGCTTGTCAGCTGTCGACTATCATTTCATTCTTCAGTAGTTTGCTTACCCTCCAAAGAACACTTTGCCATGTGTTGCCCCTCCCTCCTTGTCCAAGGCCTCCACACTCCAGGAAGACCACAATGTCTTGTCCTTGTCAAATGGCGTTCTACCAGACTGATGTTGAGCTGGAGTGCAGGTCAATCTAATCTGTTCCTGAGTCTTGTCCTTGACAATATGCACATTATCCCACCAATCCAACTCGATAACACGATCGTTGCCTGCACTGTCTACCTTGTTGGTCAAGGAGAACCACTTTTTGTTGCCCAAAGGAACGTAAAATTTGCAGTTGGGATACAATGTGTCTAATTGTTTGATGGTATTGAAGTCCATGTGGTCATAGCTGGTGTTTGACGCAAGTCAGTCTGGTGTATACTGACGGTTAGATTATACTTAACTTACTGATTATGTGAAATGACTACAGCATCAATGGGAGGCAATTCAGAGAGCTTGCATGGCGGCTCCGTATAGCGTTTGGGCCCTCCAAACTGAATAGGTGAGCATCTATCCGAAAAGATGGGGTCAAAGAGAACATTGAAGCCTCTGAGCTGCAACAAGACACAAGCACTAGAATGCAAGAGACATCTGAATACCAACACCACAACCAAACAAACAAACAAACAACGGCAACTTACTGGCCCATCCAGGTGGCTGTAATATCGCCATTCAGCTTTTCATCGCTGTTCTTCTTAATCAGATCCCAGTTGATATCTACTTTCTGAGGTAAATCGGTAGGCCGAATCTTCTTTTCAGTGCCACTGAGGTTCATGGTCCAAAACAATTTCGGCAGAGCAGTATATGAAAATTGAGTGTAAGATGGCCATGGATTCTTGAATTTGTTGCCATCGTGGTGATCTTTGTTGCTGTTGCCTTGTGCATACACAGGTGCAGTGTGAATAGTGGAAGTTGTCATCATGGCAATTGCAGCTGTTGTGGTAAATACTCGTTTGAGCATTTTTTTTTTCCTTGAACTGTTTGAAAAAAAAAGCTCTATATTTATACAAAATAAATCCACGATACACAAAATATGTGCGCTCATTCGGTTCAATGGACTCTCTGTTATCGAGATCAGACTGATTGCTCTCCCCGAAAAAGGAGATTTGGCCGCGTAAGATTCCGCAGAAAAATAGCTTATTTAAGATCTTTGAAACATGTGCCATGTCAACTGTACTTGCGATGCGAGCGCCTTATATTGCAGTATTAGAAATATCAGAAATTTCTTAGGGCTATGCAAATAAGGCATTCAGCGACATATTGTATGTATAATCATATATGCAATACTTAATTTCATTTATTGTAAACAAGGAACTTTGTTCTAGATGATGTTGGCCAATTTACTCGTTCCAGGCTTCTTCTTTCAGACTACTTGGTTTCTAGATCGACACATTAACTTGGTGTTACTGATAGATTAAATGTGAAATTTTCAGTAAGCAACTTCTTGGAGATATCTGCTTCTGAGAGGTTTCTGAGAGGCAAACAGTGATCGAGTTCCAGTGTTCATTGGGATATAGGGATAAAGTTGGTGATTCTGAGTTTCTCCTGGTGACAATCTAAGGCTGGCAGCCTGGCATATATTTTGCTGAAAATCTGTTTTCTATCTACCAAGAGGCAACCTGAGTGTAGATAAAGTGTACAACGCATCTTTGACCCTTGGCCAAACCATAACAGAGGAAGATTTCACAAGAGGTCTGCAGTACTACGTTTCCCAATACCTAATCCATCGATTTAGCACTCGCAATTACTCGCAATCAAAAGCTTTTAATAAGAGAGTTTTCTCTTTACATAGCTCATTGCTCGAAATTGTTTACATGAGAAAAACAATGGTTTAATTGAATTTTAGATTGGATGGTGGGTTGTTTGATTTACAGAAATAAATTATTTATAAAAAAAGAGTATGAAATTAATCAGGTAAAGAATATCGTTTATTACATTGAAAATAAGAGGGTTTATATACTATTCGAATTGAGGGATTTGATGTGAGGATAAGGTATTAGATGGGTTGATTTGGGTGATAGGATAATAGATTCAATCTATTATCCTGAACATGCCATGATATAGATCGTAACTGAATCCTGTTTCATGTCAAAGTTTATGATCTGATGTGATCGGCTGCTTGTTTCTACGCATTTGGAGATCCGGTTTAGAAATGATACATCATTGTTGCTCAGAAATGGATAGCTTCAAAATAAACTTTACTAGGAAACATGCTACTTTCTGAGCTCTAGTATCAGTATTTCAAAATTTGATTTTGGGCAGACCAAGTCTCGAAACCGGATATACTTTTTGTTATATCAAATGTCATAGCAAGGTCTCACACTAAAGGTTTTAGGCTATTCTTAGGTCCTTTGGGTAAATCATGCTAATCATGATTTACAAATCAATTGTTGGGTAGATAGTAAACCTATTTGTATTATAGTTCATCATCATGCTGTAAACCCTAGCATAATGAAAAGTATATAAATGCATCCTTGGGATGCATTCTCAATAAAAGTGTAATTCTTTGGCAGATTCAATTTTACATTGTATTTTGACATAACACTTTTTTGAATCCCATAAATTTTTTACACTTACTACTATGAATAACGCAAACCCTACTACTGTTTCTGTTGGAGCTGGTGTTGGTCATCGCTCTGCATCGGGAGATGCAAGTTTTGGTTCTGGTTCATCTTTGTCGTCTCTACAAAATGAACATAGCAATGCATTGAGCAATAATGCTCTGCATAATGGTATTGATGCTTGTAGCGAAGACGCTCGCATTGATCAGGCATTGAGCGATGACGCTCTGTCAACTCTTGATAATGATACTATCATGAATGATAGTGGTGAGCTATTGGAATTTGATTTCGATAGTGAGATCCAACCCTTGGGAATGGATCATCAGGCTAGCATGGCCAGGGACATCAAGATGTTGAGGAGAAGGCTTTTTGAGGCTACAAGGCTGTCTATCACTATGCCTGAGGATGGCACGCTTGCATCCAATGCTGGGGCCCTGAAACGCCAATTGACCATGGCTAAGGAAAACTACGATTTGTTGTTTGATGATACTCCAATGCTCTCCCCATCTATGGCCTATTCCAATGCTGCTAATAGCATAGTACCTCCAGATACGCCATATATTCAATGGAAAGGACACAAGTTTAACAACAAGAAGTTTGTCTACCCTACCATGGATGCATGCCTTCAACAATTCCAGGATGTACTGGAGTCTCGTGGTGTGTCGATCGAAGCAAACTGGAAGAGAATTATTAAGCCGAAAATGTCCACGGGTATGTCTGCCTGGACAAGAGAAATCATACAAAAGTATCCCGAAATTACTTGGGGCCAGTTCAAGAGCAAGCTCAAGGTGAAATATAGCCCTTCGGAAGCAGAAGAAAGAAAAGCTGCACTCAATAAGCTAAAGACGCTTAAATTGGACAACTGTGACAATCTAGAAGACTTCATTGACAGGTTTAACTCCTTGAAGGACTTAGCGGGAGTCAAGGAAAATACGTCTCTGGTAGACTATCTGCTTCGTGGTCTGGATATCGACTTGTATGGACCGGTGTCTATGGGCATTTCACAAGCCCGTTCCAAGGGAAGCGACACTTTGGATTTTGCTATCTCACAGTTGCGCAGTGCCTACGATTTGTTGAGAAGAGATGATTATTATAGGCAGGAAAAGCAGAGAAAGGATGCTGAACTGAACAATAAGATCAAGGATGCGATCAAGGCACATCAGCGTGCTGAGGGCTCTGCTTCGTTGAGCAACAAGAAAACTCGTCGTGCTGGTCGCCGCCATGACAAGCAATCAAGAAAGAGGAATGATAGTCCTGGTGAAGTTCTTAAATGTTATGATTGTGGTTTCACACCATTTACGTATGCGCATAAGGCATTATGCAAGAAGAACCCCAAAAATATCAAAAAGATAACAAAGAAGAAGAGCAAGTTGATTGTGCCAAGACCTGCTTCCAATGATGATACTGATTCGTCATCCTCTGATGAGGAAAGTGATCAAACTTTTGCTGTTGCCACAATTTCTACAAAGGACAAGCAAAAGGAGGAAGTCGTATCCATGGATACTGATAGTGAATGTAAGCATTTGAATAATGAATATTTCAAAAAGATGCCTAGTAATAACATGGACACTAATGGACTTCTTTATCTACCTGTGATATTAGAATCAAAGAGTGGTGTTAAGGTTAACACATGGTTTTTGTTGGACACTGGTTGTACATTTAGTGCAATCTCGCCCAAGTTACTTGATTTCATGCAATTAAATGTTGTAAATAAAAATGGTATTATTAAGCTGGCTCAAAGTAACACTGTTGTTAATCGTAAAGGACAAACTGAAGAGGAACTAAAGATTAATTATGGCTCCAAAGTTGTCTATTCCAAATTTGAAGTTTTTGACTTATTTGATGATGTCCATTGCGTGTTTGGCATGGATCTACTGTATAAAGTTGGTATTACATTGGGTAATATTGCTGCAGATTGGTCTGATCGAATTGGATATGAGATTCCTGATATTGAACCCAATCCATACAAACCAAATGAGGATCCTTATGGATCTAAGGAAGAGCGTCAATTGATGATGAATGAACTACAGCCATTCATTGATGCAAACACTAGTATCAGCCCTAAAGCATATTGTAATTTGCCTGATAGCGAAATTAGATTGCCTATAAAGAAGGATACTCCACTTTCGGACACATGTCGAAGACAATTTCCAATTGCTGAAGCAATGCGACCTGTGATCCAAAAGCAAGTTGAGAAATGGCGTGAAAATGGTGTGATCAAACGAGCTAAACCTAATACACCTCATAACTCTCCCATTTTCACTGTACGCAAGAAGAACAGTGAGGGCGAATACACTGGTAAAGAGCACCGTGTAGTGATTGATTGTCGGTTGATTAATAATGCATTGGATCCAGAGAAGCTTGAACGTTTCCCATTGCCTTTGATAAGTGATTTACATCGTAAAATGTCGAAGCATTCCCTCTATACGGTAATCGACCTATCGCAATGTTTCCATGCATTTAAGGTAGCTAAGGCATCAAGACCTTATTTAACGTTTACCGACATGAATGGACTGACGTGGTCCTTCTCTCACTGCCCTTACGGATTAACTATGGTCTCATCTCATGCCCAGAAAATTCTTTCTAATTTGCTGGCTGATCTAAGTGATGTCTGTACACATTTCATCGACGATGTCACGATCCATACTGAAAACGACCTACAAAAGCATACAGAGGTTGTCAAAACAGTTATTGATCGTTTGACTAGAGCTAACTTACGTATCAACACGGAAAAGATGCATATTGCACAAAAGAGCATCTATATTTTGGGTTTCTGCCTATCTAGTAATGGACTAGCACTCGATCCACGAAAGGTTTCCAACGTATTGGATTGGGATCCTGTCGTAAAGAGTAGTCGTGAGCTGATGTCTCGCCTTGGATTGATCAATTTCTTTCGATCCAATTTACCTTGCTTGTCAAGATTGACAGCCCCACTAGATAAGCTTCGAAACGCACATGATATAACCAAAGTATGGAAGCCGGAACACACTGCATTGATGAAGCAGTTGCAGGAATTGTTAGTCAGCTCAGCAGTGTTGAGTGTGCCCAACTTGAATTATCCCATATGTGTTGTAACGGATAGCTCTGCATATGCAATTGGTGCTGCAATGTATCAAGTAATCAATAATAAAGTCAAGTATCTTGGTTTCATTGCACGCAGTTTGGGACCATCAGAGCAACGATGGGGAAGCTCCAAACGTGAATTAGCTGCTGTTGTGTACGCATTCAAAAAGTTCCATCAATGGTTGTATGGACGCCCATTTCATTTGTTTGTAGACAATCGTGGTATTTTGTTCTTACATACAAAACCTAAATTGGATAGAATGGTTGAGAACTACTATGATACTATCTTTGAAATGGATTTCGATATTACGTTTTGCAGTGGTATTAACAATATATT